GCGCAAAGTGCGCACGGTGGTGGTTCCAGTTTGCCGAGATGGCGTATCACGGTGCAGCGGGAGTGCCCTCCGGATGCTAATACCGTCAGGTAGACCCTCGGGGTACAAGAGGAGAGGGAGAGGGAGAGGGAGACGTAGACGGAGAGTGAGATGGTAAGAGGTAGAGTAAGAGGGCGAGAGGAGAGGGAGAGGGAGAGGGAGAGGGAGTAAGAGGGAGAGGAGAGAGTTAGAGGGAGAGGAGAGAGGGAGAGGAGAGAGGGAGAGGGAGAGTTATAGTGAGAGGGAGAGGGAGAGGGAGAGGAGAGAAAAGATCAGTAACCAGCCTCCGGCGGGGCCCCCCGCGCTACCATCCAAACCTGAGTACCGGTCTACTATCATAGATAGAGGCTCAAGTGTGACATAACCACACACACACACCACGACATACACATACACAAAGCAACTCTCACGACACACGGGCACCCCGGTGGAGCGGCGGCGGCGGCGGCAGCAGCACGCGCGGGCGGACGGATTCGGACGGGGCGGAGCAGCGACCGCCTGGGCGGCCGCTGCTCTGTGTCTGCCTGAGCGCGCCGTCTGTGCGCAGCTCCGAGCGCCGTCAGGTGCAGGGAAGCGTGGCGGCGCGGGGACGCGCGGCGGCGGTGGCGAGCAGGCGAGCGGCCCGCGCGCGGCGAGGCGAACAGGTGATCGGCAGGCGGGTGATGGGCCGGAGAGTGACCGCGCCCAGCGATCGGAGGCGAGCCGATCGTCGCTCGGCCGCAGCTGACCTCGAAGGCGTGCGGAGCGCGACTGTCGGTGTCGGTGGGCGGCCGTCATGTGGCGAGGAGGGAGGACGACAAGTGCGCGTCGTACGGGTCGCTCTTCATCGGCCAGTCGAGCGGACGGTAGCGTCGGTCAAAGTGAGGGCCGGTGAGGCCGGCGAGATTCGTTGCGAGATACGGTTCGCGCCCAAACACAAGTTTGGACGCTCTGTGGACGCGCCGCAAAATCAGGCAATTGGAAAGGGGGCTACTGGGGCGGCCAATTCACACCTCGCGGGACTACTTATGTTTTCGTAAACGTAGTCGTGGCCCCCCGCTACGTCGCACGAGTGCAACCGGGTAGCGGGGGGCTAAAAGAGGGAGAGGGAGAGGAGAGTAAGAGGAAGAGGGAGACGAGGGAGAGGGAGAGTAAGAGAGAGAGGGAGAGGGAGAGTAAGAGGGAGAGAAAGAGGGAGAGTGAGAATAGGGAGAGTAAGAGGGAGAGGGAGAGGGAGAGGGAGAGGGAGAGGGAGAGGGAAAGGGAGAGCTCGCCCTCCACGCGGCGCACCATTGGGGGCGCTGCGGACTATTAGGCCTCGTCGCACATCGCGCGCATTCTGGATTGTCTTATTTATCTGAGGTTAAAATATCCATTTGAAAATGCTTGCCACATCTCGGGGATGGCGACGCCAATTCAGCCATCCTGAGATGCAGCGCCCTCCGGCCAGCATCTCAGGATGTAATGGCTCAATCAGGGATGTCGTGGACATCTTTGGTTGCCTCAGGCATCCCAAGATGCATGAAGCAATTCAGGATGCGCGAAGCAATTCAGGATGCGCGCGCATCCTGAATTGCTTCATGCATCTTGGGATGCTCGAGGCAATCTCAATTAGAATGGAGATCGTATCGGGCAATTTCAGATGCCTGAGCATTTCAAATTGCGGGTTCCCCGCCCCTGACGGAGGATGGGCTGCTCAACGAGTTCGCCATGATGTGGGCGCTGCGCAACAAGTTCCCGCTGCACTACGTTCTCTTCAAGCAGACTGCGTGCCACCTGCCGCGCGAGGCCAACGTCGAGCAGATCTTCTCTCGCGCTGGGCTGCTGGCAGACCCCAACCTCAACCCGGCCCACCTCGCTGTGCTGGTCAGGATTGGCTTCAACAAGAAGGCCTTCGAGCCGGCAGTGGCAGCGATCAAGGAGAAGTACTACGAGCTGTTCCGAGGCAAAGGGGGCGAGCACAAGGAGGGCTCCTCGGGCGCGGCCGGTGCGGCATCTCCATCGGCGGCCGGGGCGGCCGGGGCGGCTTCGTCGTCGGATGCCGCCGCCGTGGCATCGTGAATATCTAGCCGCGGTGCCCTGTATCGTCTGTGGCTCGGATTGTGTGTTTTAATTTTGGTCACTATTCTCTCACAGCGCACGCGAAACGATAGCCCGGTCATGAACAACGACAAATCCTCTATCTATCGAGCCACGCCACTAGCACTACTGGCTGCCTAATCCTCAATGCCCTCGCAGCAGCCAGCCTGTTGCGCCGCTTCTTTCCGATCAGTTGATCGGGGTCGCAAAAGCGCATGCCGAGCACCGCCTCAATCTTGTAGCAGAATGTCGGCACGACCGCGTCGTCCGCACCGCCACCTGCCAGCCGCGCCTGGCGCTGCGCCGATGCTGCCTTTTGGCACTTGTAGCGAGCACACATGGTGCGGTGCGCGTACTTGAGCAGGCGGTGTGCGCCGCAGTTGGCGCAGTGGCCCTGCGAGTAGGCGTGCGCGGCATGTGGACGCGCACTTGGGTATTTCTCGGGTATACCTGGACTTTTGCGGGTATACCCGGGTTTTACCTGCAAGTTGCTCACGCACACTTGTATTTGAATACATTATTCATATTCATGAGTACAGGCAGACGTGACTATTCATATTCATGGATACCAGACGTCATGACTACTCATACTCAACAATACAAGCTGCCAAAGGATGGGTTGAGTTATTCATTGTAATCATGAATCTTGTTCTTGAATGGGCTCTTGGCGCGCAAGCGGCGAGGCGGCGCGGCGCTCCTCTTCATGGGGAATTGCATGGTGTCCCGTCGATAACATACGGTAGGCACCGACAACCAGCACACTCAGAACGAACTCAAACAGGCCGTGGGCTCTATGTACCACCGCGGAGCTCCAGATACTTCATTCACACACAGTCACGCACCACAGTATCAGACATGTTCAGTACTCACATGGTCCAATCGTCATGACAGAGGATCAGAGAGATGTTGCGCCGCCCGGGAGGGTACTTAGACCCCTTGGCGCGCCCAGAGTGCGGGTCCGCGGCACTAGGCGTCAACGGCCCGCTGCTCGATCATCATCTCTCCGGGCCCGTCCTGCTCGCGGTTGAAGACCACGAAGATGCCCATCTGCTGCCAGAGGAAGCCGATCGTGTCTGGCTCGACCAGGATAAGCTGGCCGGGCACGTAGTGCGCGTGCTGGAAGCCGCGCGCAGCGACGCGGCCCTCGCCATGGTATCGCTCGACCTCGCGCTGCTCCGAGCCGTCCGAGCCGACAGAGACAACCTCCACACGCACGCCGACCAGCTCCTCCTCGTCGATCTCCTCGACGGAGGCGCCCTCCTGCCACGGCGTCGTCAGATCGGCGCGGAAGGTTGTCTCGCCCGCGGGCACGTGCTCGTCGCCCGTCATCTGAGGCGAGGGGCGAGGAGAAGGCGGTCGGGCGGCGGGCGAGGAGAAGGCGGTCAGGCGAGGGGGCGAGGAGAGGCGGTCAGAGGGGCCGAGGGAGACGGCGGGATACGGGGCGTTCGAGTCCCACCTTGACTGCGACGAGGGTGTCGCCCTCGTAGTGGATCTTGACGGTCGCCTCGCCGTGGTTGGGATACACCCCTGCGGAGGAGGAGCACCCGACTCAGCCTGGAGCCGCCTTCTGAACTCGCGGGCGCGGGGTGCGCTCGCGGGCGCGGCGGGGTGCCGCACCCTTCCACAAGCCGGCGAGCTGGTACTGCGGTTGGAACCGCCGAAGCACAAGCAGCTGGTCGCGCGTCGTCGCGGCCTCCCCGTAGGACTCGCGCCGCACCAGCACCTCGAGCCGCTCGCGCAGGTTGCTGGCGAGAAAGGCGGGATCCTTTTGGCGCAGGTCGGAGAGTTGGTCGCGAAGCGTGGCGGCAGCGGCAAAGTCCTGCTCCTCGACCGCAGACTGCATTTCGCTCTCCAGCCTCGCCGCCTCGGTCCGTAGCGCGGGCAGCTCGGCGGCCGCGGCAAAGTGCTTGAGTTTGCTCTCAAACGTCGGGGCTGCGGCGGCGCCGGCGCGCGCGCCGGGCGCGCGGATCAGGTGCGCGGAGGAACTTGCGAGGGCGAGCAGGATCGCAGTCATGAAGATGCAGAGGATCGGCTACGGGCGCTCCTCAAATGACCGCGGTGTGCAAGGTAGCTCAATGAGGTCCTGAGCTCGTGCCGAGATCCGTTACTTTGAGTTCTTTTTTCTTGCGAGAGAGTATTGTAAAGTTCTTTTTTGCTTGCTTGACGTCCAACGCTCTTTTACGTTAGCGTACCCACGCAAAAATGTCTCTAACAACCCGATGGTGGAAAAATCGATGGTGGAAACAGGGGGTTATGATTCGATTCCTCATAAACAAAATAAATCTTCCCCCGGTTAATCGCATGACCGCACTCTACCCACCCGCTCGCGGCGGTGCACGCGGTGTTCGAAAACTACTGCCCGCCACGCCTCCCCAGATTGACCACATGCGATCGGCGCAGTTTGAGCCGCATTTGTCCACCTCCTTGGGAGCCAGTCGCAGGAAGGCGTGGAGGTGCGAGAGCGGCGGCGAGGCGCTCGCGTTGGCGGCGTCAGCCTGCTCGAGGCACGCCGCCGAGCTCTCTGCGCACAGGAAGCTGCGCCCGTTGAAGCCGGGCAGTCCGGGGCACGAGCTCCCCCCAAAGTCGGAGCCGGTGGGATGTGCAGCGTCGCGCGCCGCCGCGGAGAAGGTGAGCGGCCTCCTTGTTGTCTTAACCAGCAGCTCGGGCGCTCCCGAGAGGCGAGAGAGGCGAGACGGGGTGGGCTGGCACGAGCTCGAGTTCGGCAGATTCCCCACCCTGTGGAAGTTGGCTAATGAGAGTGGCAGCCAGTTAATCCGCTGGTGCAGGTGGTGCATCATCCACTGGCCCCAATAGGTGTGGCCAAAGAGGTAGAAGGGCCGCGCGTTCGGGTTCCGCCGCAGCACCTGGCGCTTGGTCTCGCTGACTGCGCGACGCGTGGGCCGGTGGTCTCAGCAGGAGGAGACGGAAGAGGGGAGAGGGGAGAGCATGGGGAGAGCATGGGGCGTGACACACCGAGATTCTCCCTAAAGTCTTCAGTCATGTTGTAGAAGTCAGCCGCGGTGAGCGTCGCAAAGCGGTCGGCGTTGCGCGACGACGAGGCGAAGAACCAGTCGAGCACAAACAGGCCGCGCGTCGCCGGCGCCAGATCCCATTGGCAACTCCGGTGAGGGTGCCCGCACTGTTCGGCTCCAGCCGGGAGCAGCTTGTCTTCGAGGTCGCCGCCGCATGCTGCTGTCATCCTTGGGTCGGGCTGGTCGGACCCGTAACTTGCGCAGTTCCTTGGGAGCCAGAAGCCGCTCTCCGCGAGCCGCCTGGCGAGGCCGGGCGCGAGAAGCCAAGAGGCCAAGAGCGGCTCGCCAAACCAGGCGAGGTCCCAGCGCGACACCACGACCGCGTCGTACACAGCATTGACCCGCTGCTCGTGCGCCCGTTTGAGCGCTATTGCCCGTGTCATGCCCAGAAGGTGGCTCCGAGTCCTGCCGCAGACGCCCTTAATCCACCGCGCGTTCGTCCGGTTGAAGCTCGGCGAGAGGCGCACGAAGCAGTCACGCTCGAGCATTTGGGACATGTCGGGCTCGGCACGGAGGGCAACCGGCCGCCACAGCTGTTGAATCAGCTGCTTCACCTGCGGGCTCCAGGTGTGACCAAATACATCTGAGCGAGGCAGTCGGGCCAGCAGCGCCGCGTGGAAGCTGAAGAATGCGGCCGAGACGATGGCTGGGGAGGCAGAGCTGGAAATCCAGGGGCGCTTCCTTTCAGTACCAATCTTGCCGTACATGACGAACGCGGTGCCCAGGCTCGACATCCTGCACGCAGCCAACACGCAACCACCCCGACGCGCTCACGCTAGCAAACTTGGCGACCGTCCCCGCCACGTGCCCAGAGGTCAGCAGTCCAGGTCAGGTCAGCAACGCGCGGCGCCGCAAATCCAAAAGATGGAGGCTACAGAGACGACCCACCTGGCCAGCCTGAACGGGGACCTGCTGGGCCGCATCGTCGAGCTGGCAAACTGCCTTCACACGGCCCACGCCCTCCCGCTCGCCTCCCGTGGCCTGCTCTCTCAGCTTCGCGACACACGCCCTCCGCTCCGGGTGCGGGGATCGGTGCAGACGGTGCTGGACATCGAACGAGGCAGGATCTACCGCGTGACTGCGTTCACACTGACCCCGCCGCTCTCACCGCTGCCGAACGAGGGCACGCCTGACCTACGCAAGCTCGCAGAGGCCTGCGAACATCTCGTCTCGCTCGATCTCTCTGTCAACGACGTGTCAGCTCTCGACCTGCACGCGCTGGCGACCTGCAAGCAGCTCCGGTCGCTAGCCATCTTTGGATGCAACACGAACTGTGTATTGGACGTCAAGCCGCTGGCGTGGTGCACGACGCTGCGGGACCTGACGCTCAGCCACATCGGCGGCTCCGGCCGACAGCACTTCTGGCCGAGGACTGCACTCACGGACGAGGACTCCCGCGCGCATGTGACCCTTCGACGGCATGAGGGTCGTCAAGTGGGGGCCACTTGGGGCCTCGATCACCTACTCGACACCCTCGAGAATCTGCTCGTCCGCCTTGTTCATACCACGGCCGGTCCGTTCTGCGGACGGATGAACCGGGTGACCGTCGTTCCACGCTCGAATCAGACGGACATCAAGAAAGCGCATTCAGGTGCGGCACGGGGGCATGCGCTGGTCCACGATTACTGCAGGGTGTGCACGGAGTGCGCCAACTGCACGGGGTACGGTTCCGGTTGCGTTGGCCACGAGGGCAAGGACCGGCGGCGCGACAGGGGCGGGCCCTGTGGCTGCGGCTCCGGCGACGCAGGATGCAACGCCTGCGGCCGCTGCGCCATCTGCTGCCTCGCCTCGCCGTGCAGCTCGCGTTGATGTCACGTCCAGCACCGGGCGCCCTTCGGACGCGCGCTTCGACCCGGTTAGGGGGTAGACAAAACGCTGTGAACATAATCGCGAAAAACTTAGAGTTAGAGAGGTTGTGTGTCTTGCCGCTCTTCTGTCAAGGGGGGTGAGGGGACGGATTGAAGATCCCTCACACCAAGATCGTGCAGGAGAGTTTGAGAGAGTTTGAGACTATAACACAGCTCACAGGTCGTCTCTCTCTCGTGAGGTTGTGGTTGTGAGATATATTGTGCACAGTCACACTGCCATCTGGCATGTACACTTCGTCGACGTCGTTTGTATGTATAGAATTCAGTCACTAGTGTGGGCAACGCGTGGCAGGGGCTGCGCCACCCATTCCCTTACCAAGGCCAGCTCGGCCCGCCGCGCGGCCCTGACCGGCTCGGGGTCGTCGGCGTTCGAGAACATCAGATCGAGGTGGTGCGCGCCCTGTGGCACCTCGATCGCAACCAGCGTGCTTGACAAGTTGCGCAGCACGCCGCCGCTGCGCCAGGGGTCATACTCGCCGTTCGAGAAGATGATGTGGGACGCGGAGCCGGCGGAGGAGAAAGCAGAGGTGGCGGCGATCCAGCCCGGCCGCTGCACGACGCCCGGGAAGCGGCGCGTGCAGTGCGTGGCGATGGTGGCGGCGCTCTTGTTGAAGCGCCAGAACATGTCCCGCCCGCCGGTGAGGTTGAAGTAGGTCTCCTGCGGCAGCCGCTGCGTGCAGTACTGCCAATCCCAGATGCCGTCGCCGCCGTCGAGCGCGCTACGCGGCAGCGCATAGCAGCGCGCCTTGCCGCTCGCGTTGTAGAGGACGCCTGCGGAAACATCCACTGCACATGACGGGCACGCGGCGTGGCGTCGCCGCCCGCCGGTGTGGAGGGGGAGGGGACACGCCCGCGGCCGCCGCCATCCGCCGCAGCAGCGAGGGCGCGTCGCTCGTGACCGCTCCGGCGAAGTGGGCGCACGCAGCGCGCATCGGCCAGGCGGGCAGCAGGACGGTCGGGTCCCTCGTCTGCTGGAGGAGACGATGTTGTGAGAAGGAGGGTGGCAATCGAATCGGGCGGTGGCAGTGACGGCATCTCCTGCTGGAAGACGAGGTAGTTCGAGGCGTACGGGAAGTTTCCCATCGCGAGCGTGTCAAAGACGTTCAGCAACAGCGCCTGCGGGATGCGTGTCGTGGACGCGTCGTGGACGCGTCGTGGGCGTGCCAGAGACGCTGAGCGGCAGCGCCTTGAGCCGCGCACCCGCGCCGCCCTCCGCATCGGACGGCGAGGCTCCCTCCCGCAGCGGCTCGCACAGCCGAAAGACAGACGACAGCTCCGCCCGGCCCGCCGCGCTGCCGGTCGCAGAGTCGATGGCTTCCCAAGTCGCTCGCACGGCGGGGATGCAATCGGCGTGTGCTCCGGCCGCGGGCGAAGCGTCGCGCGTCACGACGCGCCAAAAGGCGTTGCCGTCGAAGAGCGGGCTGGCTTTCCCCCGCCCCCCGCGCCGCAGGCCGTCAAAGGCGAGAACCTGAGAGGGGAGGCTCGGAGAATGCTCCGAGAAGGCTCCCAGGGCGCGGCGGGCCGTCAAAAAAGGAGCAGCGCCGGCGCGGATGCGGCCAGCGCGGCGTCCACCGCGGACGGGTAGTGCATCCGCAGCCACGCGGCGAGCATACCTACGTGCAGCTTCCTGGGCGGTTGCCAGGAAGCAGCGAGCAGCGAGCCACGGCGAGCGTGCCTCCGTACGAGCCGCCGATGGCGACCACCTTGGCGTCCGGCGCGCCGAGGGAGAGCTTGAGCCGGTGGATGAGTGTCGCGTAGTCCGCCAGCGCCTGCTCAAGCGTGAGCCAGCGGAGGGTGGACGCGTTCGTCGCGCTCGATCCTCCGAGAGGCTGCGTCTCGCCGTAGTAGCGGTGCTCGGCAAAGACGAGCAGCGCGCCGAGCTCCTCGGCGTGCTCCCACATCCAGCCCGTCGCGTTGACGTACAGCTCGACCGAGGCCTCGTTGCCGCAGTAGAAGAGGATCGGCCCGGCCGCCGAGCCGGCGTTCGGGCGTCGCCAGTAGCCGCCGTACGAGAAGACGCGCTGTTCGAACGTGCGAGTCTCGGTGAATGAGAAGTGGTCGAGCGGCTGCGTGTGCCAGTCGACGGAGCAGTTTGCAGTGCCAGGATGTGGCGCGGCGACGCTAGGCGGTCGAGAGGGCGCCCCGCGAAGCATCGCTGGGAGTTTTTTGTGCAGCGCACGACCGTAGCGCAGCGCGAACTCGCCGCGCCCTTACCTCTCTGGCGCGAATAAAGAAATTCGGCGCCCACCAACTGTTGACGTCCGCCATCCCTCCCTTGGGTTGTCTGTTTTCTTTCTTTCTTTTGTCCGACGACCGTAGCGCAGCGAGAACTCGCCGCCTGAGCCTAGCGCAGCGCGAACTCGCCGTCTGAGCCTTAGTGCGAAAACTCTCGTCATCCTCCGCCTCATCCGTCATCGGTCTTCTGATAAACGCAGTATGGAAGATTAAAAAACGGAGGAGCAACGAGCGCTCTGGCGTGAGCCAAAGACACTCCCTCCGTAGACACTGATCACACACGGGTGGGACACGGTGGGTCACAACGAAGCGCGAGAGCGTGCACGACAGAGCGACGGCGCAGCGTACTGCCGTCCAGCTAAAAAGCGGCGGCCGACGGTTGCTGCGCAAAGTGATCAGCTCTAATGAATGTACCGGGGCCCTACGGATAGATGAATCCGGGGCACCCTCCGCTCGAATCCCTGGCCAGGGGTTCGAGGCGGTGGCCCCCACCCTGGGGCCTCCCATCAAAGGGACTGCTGCAGAAGACGCCCAATCTTGCACAAGTGCAAGAACCATACGTCTTCTGATAAACGCAGTATGGAAGATACAAAGAGACGGAGGAGCAACGAGCGCCCTGGCGTGAGCCAAAGACACTCCCAACTGCGCTCCGTCACCGGTGTCGCGGTCTCCCCCCCACTGAGGACGATCTGCGGGGGGGAGTCGCGCCGCCGGCATGTATCTGTGCAACTGTGTTTTTGCCTTGTCCCGTTTGATGGAGCAAAGCCACGGGCCGCCCGCGCTTGAAGGCGGTCGCGCCAGGCGCGGGCGGCACTAGTTGCCGGCGATCCGCTTGGGCAGCGCCCGCGCTTGCCTCTGACTGGGTCTCCATAGGTCGCGCGGCCCGAATGCTCGAATTGAACGTCTCGCAAGCTGGCGTCGCTCGCGTAACTGTGGCAGGGCGATCCTCCCTCCGGTGGAAGGGAGATCTCTAGCCTCCTAACGAGGTTGCCCTCCGCCTGGCTGTTGGCGACAGCGGTTAACACCTCCGCAGTTGCGTGGGTCCGCGCCACAGGTAGAGACGTTGAGCTCGACAAAGTCTTGGTAGTTGTTTCGGGCCATCAGTCCGACAGGAGAGGGCCAGCGGTCGCCTCCTCGAGCTGCCCATGCCTTCGCCGGTTTGGAGTATCGTCGCCACCACCACCATGTGCGCCCAGGAAAAGGAGGGCTCCCCACTGAGTACGGTCTGCGGGGAAAGCCGAGTCGCACGGAACGACCTCCTGATGGGATCGCCCCTCCTCGCTGAGGACGATCTGCGGGAGGAAGGGCCCCACCTCTCCCCACTGAGGACGGTCTGCGGGGGAAGAGGTCCTGGATCGAACAAACCTTGCCTCCGCTCAGAACGGCTGACAAGGACGGCGACCACCGCACGGAGGTGTCCATTGATCCACTCGGGGGCTGGTCCCAAGGGTCCAGCTCAGGCCGAGCGGCCGCTGGTGCGACGACGAGGTCCTCCCGCCACGGGCTCCAGCGGGGCCCTCGCCGCTCCCCACTGAGGACGGTCTGCGGGGGGAGAGGTCGACGAGGCGCGCGAGGTGGATGCCGTACAGGTTGCCCGGGTTTGGCGTGGAGCCGGCCGCGATGGCGTGCCCGAGCGTCTGTTGCGGGTGGGCGATGTAGGTTAGCATCAAGTATGGATAGTTTAGTTAGGTTGAACTAGGTTCGGGCAGGGTCGGGCAAGCGCTGTACTAGTCCGTCGGCGTCGACGGCGCCGCCGCGCCGGCTCGCTGTGCGTCGGGCGGCGCCAGCGTCACTTGCGAAGGGTCGATGACGACGATCCCCGCCGCGTCGAGAACGTCGTCTGGGACGTCGTATTGGTGCGCCAGCCGCGGGTGCGCTACCAATAGCAGCCGCTGTCAGATCGCCGAAGGCCTCGGTCTGTCGGAGCAGGCGGTGTGCGAAGCGCAGCAGCGGGCTCCTCTCCGACTCTCGCGAGAGGGCGTACGGGGTGGAGATGGCGTCGCTGAGGAAGACGACCCGCGGGAAGCGCTGAAGCAGTCTCCTGAAGACGATGAACCCGAACGCGCACGCGAGGAACTCGAGCATCCGCTCGAACCCCTGGCCAGGGGTTCGAGGTGGCCCCCACCCTGGGGCCTCCCATCAAAGGGACTGCTGCAGAAGACGCCCAATCTTGCACAAGTGCAAGAACCATACCTCTCTCCTCTGTGCCTCGTTCTGCGACGACGCCGACGCCTGCCGAGCCCTTGCTCTCGCGGCTTCCCACCTTTTGGTGTAACAAAATAAATTATCCTCCGTTTAATCGCATGACCGCACTCTAGCACTCTACCCACCGCCCGCTCGCGGCGGTGCACGCGCGGTGTTCGAAAACTGCTGCCCGCCACGCCTCCCCAGATAGATTGACCACATGCGATCGGCGCAGTTTGAGCCGCATTTGTCCACACCTCCTTGGCGCTTGGGAGCCAGTCATACATGAGAAACACAAAAAAAAACATGAGAGAGATTTTGCTAGCAAGTTTTGTGTCATGTCGTTGCTCAGGTCCACTCTCTCTCGTTTCGAGCACTTGTACCTCCACGGTCGGTGTTGGCGCTGGGCCTGGGGTTCCCTTCGGGTGCATCGTGACAGCTGACGACGGGATTACCGCCTGCCGAGTTTTCTTTTTTGCACGACACTGGGCACGGGAGTCGCACTTGCGGGCTGTCAAATTCTTTTTTGCCGCCTGGACGAACATGTCGACCTGGCGAGTAGAGGCACACGCACGCACTCTCGAGGTCTCTTGGAGCAGAGCCCCGGCGAGACCTCGAAAGAGCAACCCAATGGGTCCCTCGAGAGGGGTACCCTGGGTGGCGGGGCCTCTCTCCAGCATGACCATTCGCGTCTCCTTCTGCCTCAACGCCGGTGCGAAGGCTGGCCAGCCGCTCGCCACCGTCGTCGCGAGAGACTCGGCCACCGAGGCGCTGCTGCAGGCGGCGAGCAACAAGCTGCGGCTCAAGAAGAAGGACGCGGCGGCAGCGAGGCTCTTTGTCTGGTCAAAGGACGGGCGCGGCGGCACCGAGCTGCCACGCCACGGCAGCGCGGCAGCTCTTCTACGCAACGACGACCTGCTCGCCGTCTCTGTCGGTGAGGCGTACAGCGGTCCCCGGCCGGCGCAGCCCGCCGCCGCCGCGGCCGACGCGGCGGCGCCGGAGCCGCCCCCGCTCATCTCCGGCAGCGACGACGCGGGCCGTTCCTACGCCAGCCTCGAGACGCTGTGGACCGAGCAGGCGCGGCACCTCAGTGAGTACTACGCCGCCAACGAGCGGTGGTGGGACGAGGACGGGTACGGAGGCGGCAGCGATGAGGAGGCGATGATTGGCGACGGAGGCTCCGAGGAGGACATCGAGCACTCGCTCCGGTTGCTCGACGCGCTCAAGGCTCGCAGGCCGGCGCTCGCATTCGGCTCGGCGCTTGGCACTGAGATGCCTCACCTTCCTGTATTCCAGCTGGCCCAGCAGTCCAAGGGGTGCGACGCGTAGTCGCAACCGCGCCGCCGTGTGACTCGTGTTCTAGGCGCTCGACGGCGGCTCGGGCGTCGGACGCGTGACAAAGCACGCGCTGCCAGATGCGGAACACACGCCCTCTGCATGCCCACCTCCTCGCCCTCGAGAAGAAGGGCACTGCGCTGTGCTCCGCCGCACCAGCACCCGCGCCAGGCACGTGCCATCGCCCTACCCCGCACCCGCACCCGCGCCAGGCACGTGCTGCTCCGCCGCTTCGAGCGCGTCTGCCTCGTCGAGCCGTGCGCCCGCTGGCTGAAGCAGAGCCGCCGCTACCTCGGCAACAAGCGCGCGGGCAAGTGCGCCTTTGTGCACGCGCGGCTCGAGGAGCTCGAGGCGCCGTCGGCGCGGCCGGCTGCTGCTGCGGCGGCGGCGCAACTCTTCGACCTCGTGTGGGTCCAGTGGACGCTGCAGTATCTCGTCGACGCACACGTGGTCGCGGCCCTCCGCTCCCTCGCCTCGCGCCTCTCGGCCGGCGGTCGTGCTCGCCCTCGAGAAGAGCCGGCCTCGCTCGTCAAGCGACCAGTGAGCAGTCGATGCCTTGCTAGGCGTGCTCGTCGTCAAGGAGAACAAGCCGTGCGCAGCGGGCGGCGGCGGCGGCGGCGCGGCGCCCGGCCTCGCCTTCCGCGTCGACACTCCCTCCGGTCCGCGCGCCGGCGAGACGCGCCATACCCAGGCCTATCTCGTCAGGTGCGTTTGACACGCCCGCGTGGTGGCGGTGGCGCAGGTCCGCACGGGCGGTACGACGTGACGCGGCCGGACGAGCACCACGAGTGGCTGTTCGCCTGCGCGGGGCTCGAGGTGGAGCACGCGGAGAGCGGCTGCGTGGGCGGCGAGGTGACGGCGTGGGTGCTGGTGAGGAGGGCGGGAGGCGGCGCGGGCCGCACGCCAAACGAGTGGCGGAGGCCGCACCGGGCGGGCGACGGCGAGGAGGCGGCGGCGGAGGAGGAGCGTGTACGGCGTGTGGTGTGAGCAGCGTCTCTTGACAGCTCTGCCTGTGAGCAGGAGGCGGAGAGGGAGCTCGTGCGGCCGACGCTCGACGTCGAGGCGATGGCGAGGGCGGCGGAGGAGCGCGCGCAGGCAGAGGCGAGGGAGGAGCGCGCGCAGGCAGAGGCGAGGGAGGCGAGGGAGGGCGGCGGCGCGCCGCCGAGTCTGGCCGAGATGCGCGCCGCCGAGTCTGGCCGAGATGCGCGCCGCCGCCGTGCGGGCGGGAAGCCTCGTCGGCGTCGTGCCGGTGAGCGGGTGCCGTCTAAGCGCCGACCTGACCGCCGCCTACCTGGACCGGCTCCGCCTCAGCGCCGCGGAGGTGTCAGAGCCAACCCTGCAGTCGCTCTGCAGGCGCAGTCTAACCCTAACCCTAACCCTAACCCCAACCCTGCAGTCGCTCTGCAGGCGCAGTCGCGGCCCACTCTCGTGCAGCGGCCGCGCCACCCGCCTCGCATCCCCCCACGCCAGACAGCCCGCCCCTCGCCGCCCGCCGGCGCAGGCTGCAGGCGGCGCACATCTCGCTCGTGGCCTACGAGAACCTCGACTCGCACGCGGGCGAGAGAGGCACCAGACACTTCCGAGACTCTTCCGAGCCACTTCCGAGACACCTTTTAGACACTTCCGAGACTCTTCCGAGAACTGAACCTGCAACCCTCCCGCTTCCCCGCCTCCCACCCCTCTGCCCCCCTCCCCCCCCCCGCGCGCGCGACCCACACCCTCTCCTCACGGCACCCGGCCCGCGACCAAGGCGCACCGCTCCCTCCGCCGCTAGATCTCCCTGTCTCCCTAGATAGGCGCACCGCTCCCTCCGCCGCGGCTCGACCCGGTCGCCTCCGCCGAGCGGGTGGCATTGCGGCGGCGGGGCGGGTACTGCTTCGTGCTGGTCGACGCCTTCGCCGCGCTGCTCACCTCCCTCGGCTTCGTCGTCTCGCTGCACACCGCCGGCGTGGGTGAGTCGCCCCTCGCCGCCGAGAAGTGGGGCAACCACATCGTCCTGCTGGTGCACCTCGGGGAGCGCCGCTTCGTGTCAGACGTGTCGGCCTCGGGGAGGCGCGTCCGCTGCGCGGCCACGGCGTCTCTTCACGGCGCCGGCGGTGAGTAGGTCGGCCTCGGGGACGGCCCCCTGCGGCCCTTCGAGCTGCGCGAGCACGCGTGGGAGGAGGACGGGTATGCCTTCCGGCTCGAGGCGACAGGCGCCAGCACGTGGCACTTCACCCACCATCCGCTCGGCTCGTTTCGCGGCTTCGACTTCTGCCTCTCCTCCTCGGCCGCCTCGGCGCGCGAGTTTGGCGAGTACCACGCCTTCTACTGGAGCCACCCGGACAGCCCTTACCGCGTCTCCGGCCCCGTGCTCCAGCGTGTCACGCCCGAACGAGGCGTGCTCACGCTCCGCTGCTGCACGCTCCGCCGCGTGCACCCCGGCTTCCCCGCCGGCTCGACGACGATCGCCGTGGCGACATCGGCCGACGAGTGGCTGGCGCTCGTGCGCGAGCACTTTTGCATGCCGCTGATTGACTTGCCGCCCGAGCAGCAAACCTCCCTCTGGCTATCGGCAAAGACCAAGCACGACGCGTGGCTCGCACAGGAGTGTGGGAGAGAGGCCCCCTGAAGTTTTCAAGTTTTATTTTTGTTTTGTTGCACGGTCACCGCCTTCGCGCTTCGGCTTCGCGTGTGTTGTGCGTGACTTGAGTGTAAAAAATCTTCTCAGATCTGGTGCAAGGATCACAGACTTCACTCTGCCGCTCCACCGGGCTCCGACAGCACAGCTGGAGGCATCCGCTCAGCCTCTCGCGCCCGTTCCCGAAGCCTCGAAGCGCAGCACTGCAGCCAGCACGGCTGGGGTGGCGGCACTGCCAGCACGAGGCGCACCAGCGCGTGGGCCTCGTCAAAGACCCGCGACTGCAGGCCGAGGACGGCGGCGCGGAGCAGACCGAGCGGCTGGCCGAGTGCAGCCGCGGTGCTGGGAAGTACCGCGAGGTGGGCGCCGGCTGCGTGCGCGTGGACGGCCAGCTGCGCGAGCAGCAGCGGCGGCTGCAACTCCGACGCCGCCACCACCACACGAATCTCGCCGCGCTTCACGGCGCGAGAGGTCGCCCGAAGCCCCACGACGATGCCCGCAGGATGACGTGCGCCTGCGGATGATGAGGAGCACTCCCGCGCAATGCCACCGACGATTGACGCCGCGGCCTCGGCCGACACCCGGGGCCAGGCGGGCTCGAAGGACGAGGTGAGCGCCGACTTGAGCTGCGTCTGCGACGGCCCCTGCTCGCGCGCGACGGCGCGAGCGTCGGTGCGGATGAAGCTCACTATCTCCGAGGCGGTGCCGCCGAGCTCGTCGACTGTGCTCGCGGCGCGGCCCCGCTTCCGCCTCATGCGGAGGTTTTTTTCTCCCTTACGTAAAATATGAGTGGGGATCACTGTCCTACCAGACTCAAAACGAGAACTCTACACAGCAGACGGCTCGAAAAGAATTCACTGCGCGGCGTTGTAGCGCTTCCACAACACCCTCGACAGGCTCCAACGCACCTGGTTCCAGCCCCCGCAGTTTGCTGGCCCGGCTCGCATTCACAACATATACATGTGATCGAACAGACCCACAGCGATCCCGTTGCACTACAAGGAGCTCGACCGCGAGGCACTCGTCGCTTCGTTGCTCCGCGGCTTCGCACAGCACAGGCGGCAGCCGAATCTGCCAGATGACCACTGGCTGCCGCAAGAAGCCTACGACGAGGCGCAGTGGGAGCCGCAGGATGTTTGGATGTTCGTCATCACAGATGGGAGCATCCGGCCCCACCTGTGCGAGCGCCGCGATCCCGCTGCTGCTGCTCGAAGGAGTCAGGCCGCAGGTGGTGACGACCCGCTTGACGCCCTTCTCCAGGAGGCTGGCGTGGCTGCGGTGCAGCCAAAGCTCGCCGCCGCGGCGACGACGCTGAGCGACCTCAGCGCCGCGCTTGGCGCTGGCCGGCCCGCGCTGCTCGCCAGGCTGCAGGCACTCGGACTGACGCTGCCCGAGCGGCAAAGGGTGGCCAACGTGCTCAGCAGGGCGACCCGGGAAGGGCGGCATGGCCTCTGATTGCACTTGGCGACGAGAAATGAGCGCCGCAGCCTCAACCCCCGCTGCCCATAGGGCCAGGGGGCGGCTTGCGGGTGTGAAGTCACTCGTTGTCGTTTTGGCTTTTGCACGGTCGGTTGTGGTTTTGCATTTTCACACATGAACATGAGACAATCATGGAGACAATGGATGACGTGGAGTGTGATCTTCCGGGGATGAGTCAAGGATGAGCGAGAGAGAAATGCAAAATGTGCAAAAGTGTCAGAGATTCCCCGTTTTCGTTCACGTTACAATTCTCACGCACACGGGCTCCAGTACGCGGACGCCACGGCCTCTTCTGCGCGCCGCCGCGAGGCGCTTGCGCTCGCGCGCCTCGTCCGCATCGACACCGGCTTCCAGCAGGTGGGCTCCCCAGACTCGTCGACCGCATCCGCATCGGGAACCACCTCAAACTCAAAGTCGTATAGGCCTGCGCGCGCGGGGCGGGGCGCGCACACGGCGTGAGGCAGCGAGCACGAGCGCGCACCAGCCGCCGCCCGTGGCGATAGGGAAGGGTGAGCAAGCGGCGTGTGTGGAGAGGGTGGAGCCTCACCCGGCGGGCTCATGTAGTTCATAAACTCGGTCGCCGAGCTCCAAAAGATGGTGGGTATGACGAGGTCGTCGCCGCACTGGTACGGGTCAAAGTCGGACATCGACTCGGGACACTCGTTGTACTTCATGACGCCGCACTCCTCGTACTGCCGCCGCGTCTCGTTGTGCCAGAGGGCCTGCTCGACGAAATCCTGGCAGATGCTGATCACCTGGGTGTCGGAGCCGTCGCCCTTATCCCGGGTGTACCTGCGAGGTCGGCGGGCCGCGAGGTCAGTGCGTGACCGCGCACTGTGTGCCCCGCGGCCTCCAGCAAAGCGCTCGCCTCGGCTGCTTCGGGTCACACCCGAGGCAGTAAAAGTAGCGGATTGCGGGGTACATCATTGGATTCTTGCACCCGGGCCCGAGGCCGTCGATCAAGTTCTCAAACTGCACCTGGTTCTCGAGGTCGTGGCCCGGAATACAGCACGCCTCCTCGTTGTAGTCTTGGCAAAACTTGAGGTAGCGCGGCTATGAGCACCGTTTGGTGAGGGGTCAGTCGGCGGCGTGGGAGAGAGGGCAGCATCCGGGCGGCTGCACCTCTCGTGGGGTCATGCCCGTCAGGGCGCAGACGCCCTCCTGCTCCTGAAGGCGTCGACCATATGCAGCGCCGTCTAGTCCAAGCCCCGACCCCAGGCCACAATGGAGCAGCAGCAGCAGCAGCACCGGCGGCAGTGGCGGCGCACGGTGGCGAGGCTGCGCAGCGGACACTGAGGTGCGAACCTGTTGGCAAGGGGTGCAAGGGTCGCAAGGGGTGCGGCGTGAGGCGCAAGGCTCGCACCGTCTAGTGCGGCGGCGTGAGGGGATGCGGGCGGGGAGGCACCATCGGCACGTTTTTGCCGTTCGCGGCGATTGAAACGGTCAAGTTCGGTCGCAGCGGCAGGTGCATACGCACGGCTCGGCTGTGAGAGGAGCCGCCACGACCACACAGGGATTTTAAGGAGAGGGGTGTGATGCGCTAGCCGTCACCCACCCTTGGGCGTCCGCCTCTTCCTATCTCCCTTCGCAGTCTCTCTCCGATTCTCGCTGCAACCTTCGTGCCACCTCGCGGTCGTCCCACTCTCGTCGTTCTCTCCCTTGTCGCTTCTTCCTCTGTCGCGTCGCTCTCCTCTGCCTCGTCCTGCGACGCCGCCGCCGCCTGCCGGTCCCTTGTTCTCGCGGCTTCTTTCGCCTTTCGGCGCAACTCCGCCCTCCTGGCGGCATATCTTGGCCCCTCGAGTCTATCGAGCTCTCCTCGTGCAAGGACGACTCTTCTGACGCCCACTGCGATCATTTGCCGCCAAGTCATATCGTTGCTCAGGTCCACTCTCTCTTCGAACACTTGTGCCTCCACGGATGATGCCGGCGCTGGGGTCCCCTTCAAGGAAAAAAAGAAAGAAAACAGACAGCCCAAGGGAGGGATGGGAGGACGGCACGCCGCCACCACACAGGGATTTTAAGGAGAGGTGTGTGATGCGCTAGCCGTCGCCCACCCTAGGGAGTCTGCCTCTTCCTATCTCTCTTCGCAGTCTCTCGCCGCTTCTCGCTGAGAGAGAGAGATTTTTAGCAATACCAAACAAATCTAACACTCACACGTCATTTGGGGCTCGCTGCAGCCTTCATGCCACCACGCGGTCGTCCCACTCTCGTCGTTCTCTCCCTTGTCATTTCCTCCTCTGTCGCGTCGTTCTCTTCTGTCTCGTCCTGCGACGCCGCCGCCTGCCGGTCCCTTGTTCAAGGAGGGATGGGAGGACGAGCTATCGAATTCTCTTCACGGCAGCGACACGACACGCACAGGCGGCGCCATCGAGACCACCACGGCTCCTCGGAGACGCCCTCGCCGGCCGGCCGGGGAGAAGCCACCGCCCGACGAGCCGCCGCCGACGCGCATGCCGTGTTGCGCGCCGCTCCTCGCTCTCGCCGTGCTGGCAACCGCGGCCGTCGGTCTCTGCGCCCGCGACGGTCAGCTGGCAGAGGCGCTTTCCCCGGGCGGTGCGCCGAGAGGCTTTCTGGAGCGCGCGTACGTGTGCAGCTATGTTGTCGACGCCACCGTCCCACACTTGGCCGATGCCTTCACGCAAGGGCTCACCATTGCCAACGGGACGCTCTACGAGAGCGACGGGCTGTACGGCCACTCGCAGGTGCGCTCGGTCGATCGGATATCGGGCTGGACGATCGCCTCGACGCGGATGAAGCACCACCACTTTGCGGAGGGGATCGAGGTCGTGGGCAACAAACTTGTCCAGCTCACGTGGAAGGCGAGCGTCGTGCTCGAGTACTCGCTGCCCGACTTGCAGCTGCTGCGCGAGGTGCCCGTCTCGATCGGGAGGGAGGGGTGGGGGCTCGCGAGCGACGGGCGCACGCTCTACGTCACCGACTCGGGCTCCGCCCTCTACCACGTCAACCCAGACACCTACGAGGTTGAGAAGCGGCTCACGGCGCGCCGCGGCCGCCAGTCGCTCTCGCTCTGCCCGCCCGCCCCTCGCCCTCCTCCCACGCGTCTCGCCCCCTCGCGGTGCAGATCCACGACCCGCGGCTCCGGGGCGTGGGGAAAGATGGAACGCCGACAACGGGGCGCGACATCTTCGGCGCTCCTCGCCTCCCCTTGCCCCCCACACACCGCTGCTTGCCTGTGTGCCCGCCCCTCTCCCCTCCCTCCGCCTTCCCTCCGGCCCACCCGCCCGCCCGCCGCCCACCCGTCCACAGGGGTCAACGAGCTGGAGTGGGTCGACGGGGAGCTGTGGGGCAACGTCTACCCCATGTACCAGGGAACCGCCTCAGAGTGCGTCGCGCGCATCAACGCCGCCACCGGCGAGGTGATCGGCTGGGTCGACTTTCGCGGGCTTCTCGCGCGGCAGCGGGAAGAGGTGCGGCGCTCGCCGCACAACTACGTGCTCAATGGCATCGCGTACGACGAGCGGACGCGCCAGCTCCTCGTCACGGGCAAGAAGTGGGACAAGATGTACGAGGTGCGCCTCCAGCCCCGGCCCGACCTCGAGCCGACGCACATCGAGAAGCACTGCTCCCTCGGCCACCCGAGCGGACAGCGGGTGGGGTGAGCGCGGTGCGGCGGCGCGATGATGTGGTGAGCCGATGTATCTTTTGTGATGTATTATCGCGAAGACCGTTGAACATGATTACATCATGAGCTCTCATGATAAAGCACATGTGCATGTGCATGCACATGTGCATGTGCATCTCTGCATGTGTGAGAGAGAACTCGGACAAGCCCCCCGGACATATACGGCATTACATCATTACACGGCTTAAAGCCGTATGTCAAGTTTATACGACCGCCATTGGACGACAGAGTTTTGGCACTTGAAGGCCCACTTGGTCGGCAATGGCAGTGTGTTGCTTGATGCTTCTCAGATGTCAGAACTCTCTGGCACTCTCTCTCAGACCACGAGTGACGACTCACAGTGGCCGGAGAGAGACATAGTGGTTAAAGTGCTTAGTGCACGGAGCGCGGTCACCCGGCACACACTGCACGCACACTCAGTGGAGAGTGTGTGTCTGGACCCGCGCCGGCTCCGGGCCGCCAAGGACCGAATCTGCAGACCGCAGTTGACAACTGAGTTCAAGAGTTGAGCGTTGTGTGGCCCAACCCTTTGCCCTTTTATTTTTGCGCCTCAAGGCGGTTCCCCGGGGTCCACCGCACAGTCCAGGCGGCGAGGGCGGCGGCGGCGGCGGCGGCGGAGAGGGCGGCGGGCTCGGGTGAGGCACAGACGGCGGCAGTGGCGGGGGGGGTGAGGGTGGCGGGGAAGAGGGCGGCGGCAGGAGCGGCGGCGGCGGCAGGAGCGGGGACGGGGGCGTGGGCGGCGGCAGGAGCGGCGGCGGCGGGTGGAGCGGTGGCGGGGGCGTGGGCGGCGGCAGGAGCGGCGGCGGCGGGTGGAGCGGTGGCGGCGGCAGCGGCGGCTCCGTGGGCGGCGGGGGCAGTGGTGGCGGCGAGGAGGGTGGCGGCAGCGAGGGGGGTGGCGGCGGATGGTCCGGCGGGGCCGGGGGTGCCGGTGGGGCGCGTGGCGTATAGATAGGCGGCGGCGGCTCGGGCGGCGGAGGCGAGGGCGCGATGAAGGTCGACGTGCAGCTCGAGGTGGTTTTTCGGTTGGCGAGCTCCGCGGCGACGCAGCGGCCTTGGCCGTAGCCAAACGTCTCCGTGCTCGCCTTCCCGTCGGCCAGGATGCGCGAGCAGGTGGAGGTGGCGTTGGCGACACTGAAGCCAAAGGAGCCCGAGCACGAGACGATTGACACGCGCTCGGTCAAGGCGAGCACCTGGCCGCCGAATACGCCCATGCTCTGCACGCAGGTTGCGCCGCCGCTGTTGCAGATCAGGAACTCGCACCCGAGGATGGAGGAAGTCTGACATGAGCAGCAAGACCGAACTTGACAGCCGTACGTCAAGAGGTTCTCGCAAGTGTTGTCGTAACACGTCGTGCCATCCGCGCCACAGAACTGGTTTACCGGGCAGCAGTTGGCCGCGGCGCGTGTGGCGAGCAGCAGCGGCAGCAGGTTTCGAAGCGACATGCGTCTGCTGCGGCCGAGAGCCGGTGCGGCGCCTCGAGGGAGCGGAGTGGGGTGCCCCATGCGGGCGAAACAGGTTTTCAAACGTCGAACGCCGTGCTTAAATTTCATGCTGAGGCGCCGTTCAAAAAGACGACTGTAGGCCCTGAGGAGCACAAAAGAGACCGCGTCTTCACAGTCACAGCTCCAGTGTGCCGTCATCTCCTATCTCGCGACCGCGCTGGTGTCCAGTCCGAGCCTGGCTGTTCTTCACGCCTGGTCCTTTAACTAACTCACCCGTAGTACAAGAACAAAAGAGATTCCGTTGGTCATTTCGAGGGCTGGACAAAAGTGAATGGGTTTGTTTTTGAGGGCGTGACTTACGCTATCTTTGTTCAGCATCAAAAGTTGTCTGTAGAAAATTTTCATGCATTTTTGCATTCGCATGCATCGCAAAATCTCTCTCGCAAAACAAAACAACAACATCTCTCTCTCCATGCATCGCCTGCATTACAACTGCATGGGCAAAAACAACACTATTGCATTTCGTTGCATATGCAATCGATGCATTTTGCGCGTGATTGCATTAACAGAGAGAGAGAGAGATTTTTAGCAATACCTTAAAGAGAGGTTACAGGCGTGTAAGGTCCAATACCAAACAACAGTGCATCTGCATTCGATGCATTCGGGGCATGACTGTCTGCATATCTTTTGCAATTTGAGGGCAAGAACCTAGGCAAGTGCACCCAGACTCCTCCCCCCTCCCCTCCCCTCTCCCCTCCACTCAAGTAACCCTCAGACTCCCCTCCCCTTTCCTCTCCCCTCCCCCCCTACTCCGTCAGTCCGTCTGCACCCCCTCCTCCACTCCTCCTGCCCCCCCCCCCCCCCCCTTTCCCCTCCTCCAGTGAGGATGACAAAGCGTTCGCTCTCCTGGGGAGGCTACTCGATCCTGTAGGAGAAGGTCTCGCCCGCCACCACCCCCTCGGGGATCTCCAGCTCCAGCTCGTCACCGCCCACCGTAATGGTAATGACGACCCCAGCCACCGCGTCCTTGGGGCACGTGATCTCGAACCACTCCTCCTCCTCCTCCTCCTCCTCCTCCTCCTCCGTCTCAGAGAGGGGTCCCAACTCCTTGCAGTCAATGCCGGGGATGATGTCCCCACCCTCCCGGTGAATCTCTCCCTGCCACCAGAGGGCTAGCTGAAAGAGGCGGGCTAGTGTCGCCGGCTTGGTGGGCTTGCTAACGGCGAGCTGCTGGCGGGGCCCCGGGGTGGCACGACGGGTACTGGTCCGCGCGGCCGGTCGGGGAGGGGGCTGGGGAGATGGGGAAGAGGGGAAGCTCAGGTGCTCCTTTGACGCCTTATTTTGCACTGTCAGCTCGGCGGACAGGCACTTGACCCGCACTGATGTTCGCGCTGCGGTTGCTTACTTGCGCACGGAGAACGAGATTGTAGTCGACCGAGACAGCCAGCACCCGGGAGGGACGCCATTATCTTTTTGGAGGATTAGGTGCACACGCAATGGAGGCCGTGTGTCAGTGAATCCATGCAACTAAATGCAGTCTCCCACCGAATGCAAAGAATGCAAAAAATGCATATGCGGGGACGCAGCTGCCTCCCTCTGGAACAGGCGCCGAGAGGGACAATAGTGCGCAATTTGTCAAAATCAAGGTTTTGTAACGCGAGCTGTGCCACAGTGAAATGGAACTAGCCGGAGTGGTCTTCTTGTGGTCCTCCAACTCCATGTCCATGACCATGTCGGTTGTCGCATGTGGTCATCATGTGCCCAGTTGAGCTTGAGCGTTGGAGGCAAGTTGTGACTTGCGTTGTATACTTGTGTGTGTGGGTTTGGTGCCTTCATGCTTCAAACTGTTTTCGACGTCAACTGTCTGTACCCCCCCCCCCCCCCAGCCCCGGTGTCCCGCCTGTCCCGCCGCCCCTACTGTACCCCGCACACGGCAACGGCAGACAAAACTCGCGCGCTCACAGGACGTCGTCGGCTGCGTCTGACTGAGGCGACAGCTCCAGCTCGCCCTGTTGCCGCGCGCGGCTTGGCCAGGGGCGCAACGCCTGCGGCGTGCGCCCAACGGCGGAAATGTGCAGCGACATTGTACTCCCGGACGCGTCGCTCGCCGCGGACCGCTGGTCGCTCGCCGTGCGGCGAGGGGTAGGGCGCCGCTCGCGCTCCGCCGCCTTTGCGAGGATGGTGCCGACCGCGGTGGAGAAGACCGACGAGGCGTGCGACGATGCGGCGTCCGATGCGGTGTCCATGGAGAGGCCGGCGCCTATGGGACACGTTCCGGACGTGTCACTGGGCCCCGTGTGATGGTAGAGTCCATGGGGTGGTCGGCGGCTTTGCCTTCGCGCCCGCCCCCCTCTCCCTTGGCTTCGCCTGTGCCCTTGCTGGGTCCGACGGCGCTGCTGACGAGCGACTCGCTCTCCTCCGGGTCGCGGCGGCGCGCCGACCCGCCCGCCTGAGTGAGGCCGCCCGCCTGCATCCCGAGGCGAGGCGCGCAATACTGGAGGAGGGGCCCGTACGAGAGGAGGAGGAGGAGGAGGGCTGCGATGACCAGGATCACGCGCACGTTGCGGTCGAGGGCGCGGTCGAGGTAGGCCGGCGGCGGAGGGAGGAGGGGCGGCGGAGGGGACGCCACCGGCGGGGCGGGAGGGGGAGGGGACGGGCTCGGCGGCGGAGGCGGCGGCCGGGGCGGCTGCGGCGGAGCCACAGTGATGGTGCCGTGGCCGGCAGGGTAAGCTCCGACCCACGGCAGCGGCAGCTTGCCTCGGAAGGGGGCAACGCCAAACAGCAAATCGGCGATCGCGCCTCCTCCCTCAGAGCCGGGCAGCCAAGCAGCGACCACCGCACCGACGCCGCCGGCCATCCGCGCCGACTCGCCTCCCTCGCCGCCCCCCTCGCCGCCCCCCGTGGCGTGCGCCCACGGCCCGCGGCTGCCGAAGCCGCGCTCGCTGTCGGCCGGCTCGCCGCGGCGGGCAAAGGCGGCCAGCTCCAACGGCCTGCCCGAGAGAACGACGATCGCGACCGGCCATCCCTTGCGCAGTCCCTCGGCCAGCAGCGAAGAGACGCACGCGCTGTCCAGCTCAGAGAGGGGGACCGGAGAGACGGGCGCATCCCCTCGGCCCTCGGCATACGGCGCCTGCGACGGGGGCGGAATGGGGGCGGAGAGACGTATGAGGGGGAGAGGAGACGGGGGGGGGGGGGGGGGAGGTCGCGGACGGAACACCTCGGACACGACTGCGATCGCGGCGGCGAAGGGGCCCTTTGAAGCAGAGAGCAGCTGCTCGTAGGCGGCGGCGGCGGCGATTCTTGTGGCGTTGGAAGGTGTGTCGTCGCCTACGGCGGACGTGTCATGGACGTGTCATCGACGGGAGGGGCGGGCCGTCGTCGCGCGCGCCCGGGATGCCGCCTGGCGGAGGCGGGGACGGCACGGCACCAGGGTGGGGCGAGCCGCCTGGGATGCCGTCGCCGTCCGAGTCGGAGTCGAGGCGGTCGGGGACGCCGTCCTTGTCCGTGTCGAGCCAGGACGGCTCGCTTGGGCTGCGGATCAGCGGCGTCGGCACCAGTTGCACGCAGCTGCGCGGCTCCGCGCACGCCGATCGCCGCAGCAGCCCCTGCAGCACGGTCGTCCCTTTGGTGCGCGCGCCCTCGCCCGCCCCTTGCCAGCCCAGGGACCAGCCGCCGAGCTGCCGCTCGAGCGAGTGGGCGCCCGAGCACGCGAGCAGCAGCCGCGCCTCCCTCGGCAGCGGCAGCAGCGGCGGCGCTCCGCTTTGCTCGAGAAGGACGGCGGAGCGGCGCGCCGCCTGAAGGGGATGGCAAGAAGACTCCTCTCCGCTGTGGTGTGGTGCGGGGGAAGGGCCAGGTGGGCGGTGCAGGCCCCGACCTCCTCCGCCAGCGGGCTGTGCGCCGCGTAGAGCTCGTCGTCCGTTGGCGCCGCCTCACCTCCCTCGCCCCCCGCCGCCTCGCCCCCCTCCTCGCGCCCCGTGGCGTGCGCCCACGGCCCGCGGCTGCCGAAGCCGCGCTCGCTGTCCGCCTCCACCTCTGGCGCGGGGTCACCAAACGGGGACACGAGCCCGATCGCGGCCTATAGCAGCGCGCTCTCGTGACAGCCACACTCTTCTGCGCCCCTCCCCCTCTCGCCCCCAGCGGCGCGCGCAAGCCTTGACTGCGAGCACGCGCGCCGCGGCGTCGTCGACGCGAGCCCGCGGCACTTCGCCGCTCAGCACGGCGCGCTCGACCTACGCGGGAGCAGGCCAAGACCGCGGTGAGGCAGAGGTCCGCCTCTCTGCCCCCGCCCGCCACCGCCGTCTCTGACGTCGTCGAGGAAGGTCTGCCACGAGACGGAGGCGGCCCCTCCGGCGGTCCAAGTGCCTAGTCTCGACACCATCCACTGACTAGTCTCGACACCACTAGTCTCGACACCACTAGTCTCGACACCATCCCGGCTCCTCTCGGGCCAACCTCGGCTGACTGACTACTACTGCTGCCTCAGCTGACTGGCTATAGGAGCGAGGAGGCGCAGTGCGCCTGGCAGCATGACCATGTCGACTCCGGCGTTGATGGCGGCGGCGAAGCGCGTGAGGGAGCCGCCCCGCAGCTGATCGACGCCGCCCAAGTCGGACACGACAAGGCCGCCGAAGCCGAGGTGCTCCTTGAGGAAGCCTACAGAGTCGCGCGCCGGAGGAGGAGGGTCGGAGAGGCGCCCCACGGCTGCCTGCAGGCGCCCCTTGCTCGAGGGGTGCCGGAGAGGAGCTCTTTGTTGGCGTGCCTGGAGTACGGGGGGAGAGAGAGTAGCTCTGAGCGTGACTCTGAGCACGGCCCGAGCACTCCACAAACGCCCCTGCCTCGTGGGTACGATGGGATGCGGAAAAGAGCACGCGTGATTCTGCTCGAGTGCTTCAGTTGCGGGGACATGTGCATGTGCATGTGCATGTGCATGTGCATGTGCATGTGCAGGGACATGTGCTCGCCGCATCTAGGCTGCCGGTGCATCTTTGTGCCGCGCACAGACGAGTACGAGACCATCACCGACAGCACGCCCGCCTGCAAGCCGCGCCTCGGGTCAGCAGCCTCGCGGCCCATCTCGACTACGTCTCGGGTGCAACCTCGAGAGAGAGGACATCACCGACCGCACGCCCCCCGACCGCACGCCTGCACTGCGGCGCGGTACGGCAGCAGGTGCTCCGCCAGCCCCACGGCGTCCAGGTCCGCGTCCCCCTCGTCCGCACCGGAGAGGGTCGCGCCTGCGGGACGTGTCGTGGGCGTGTCGCGGGCGTGTCGTGGGCGTGTCGCGGACGTGTCGTGGGCGTGTCGTGGACGTGTCGTGGGCGTGTCGTGGGCGTGTCGTGGGCGTGTCGTGGGCGTGTCGCGGGCGTGTCGTGGACGTGTCTCCGTGTGGGCCTGCGAGGCGTCCCGTGGTGTGCATGCGTCTAGGCGCGTGTCTAGGAGAAGGATCGTGGAGGTGTGTGGAGGGGCGAGGTGTCCAGAGATGTCCTAGACGCGTCGCGCCGTCTGCTGCAAAGTGCTTTGCGCACGCGGCGACTCGGCCGCGCGCCCGCCCCCGCCCCACGAGCCTCGCCCCCGCCGGGAGGAAGGGGCGCGTTAGGTCGGCCCTCTCGTCTGCGGGCGCCTGAAGGCCGGTGACTGCGGCTGCCGCATGCCTGCGCACGAGCCAAGGGTCAGTGTCAGTGTCAGGGTCAGGGGCAGGGCCAGTGTCAGGGCCAGTGTCAGGGGCAGGGCCAGGGTCAGGGCCAGTGTCAGGGGCAAGGTCAGGGTCAGTGTCAGGGCCAGGGCCAGTGTCAGGGGCAGGGCCAGGGGCAGGGTCAGGGTCAGGGCCAGGGTCAGGGTCAGTGTCAGGGCCAGTGTCAGGGGCAGGGCCAGGGTCAGTGTCAGTGTCAGGGTCAGGGGCAGGGCCAGTGTCAGGGCCAGGGGCAAGGTCAGGGTCAGGGTCAGTGTCAGGGTCAGGGGCAGGGCCAGTGTCAGGGCCAGGGGCAAGGTCAGGGTCAGGGTCAGTGTCAGTGTCAGAGGGGCAAGGCTTGCCGCGCGCCTGCTCACGAGCTGCTCGTCCGCCCCGAAGCCCTCGTACGTCCTCCCCCACCGGCTGTCCCGAGGCGAAGCGACGCAGGGGCCAAAGGCCCAGTTCAGCCCCGCCGCGGCCACCTCGGTCGCCGTCGCGGCGCCCGCCGCGGCGGTCAGGCTCTCGTCGTCTGCGGCGCCGAGCCCGATGTTGTGCGGCAAGACGGTGGCCTGCTCACAAGAGGGCGCGTGGAGAGACGCCGCTCCCAGGCCCCCATCTTGTGCGGCGGGACGGCGAGGCGTTGGTGGCGAGGGCGTTGCCGTGGACGGCGTCGATGCCGAGGAGGAGGGGGACGCGCCGCGGGTGGCGGCTGGCGGCCTCGCGGAGGCGGCGCGCGCGGGCGGCGAGCGACGAGGCCGAGGCGTTGAGCGTGCCTGTGGGGGCATGTCCCGGACGTGTCTCAACGACATGTCGCGGGCAGGACGAGGCGGCGAGCGGCGAGAGCACCCGCAAAGACGACGGCGCCGGCGCCTGCAGACTTGTCGAGCGAGCCATCGAGCACTGCCGTTATGTCCTCGCCCGTCGCGAGCGCGAGGTTGACATCTAGCTGCAGCATCTGGCCGATCCGCTCGCGCAGCGACAGCCGACCGAGGAGCGCCTGCACGCCAGCAGCCTCGCGGTCGACGAAGCGGCGGCTGACGTCGGGATCGAGAGAGGGAACATGGCGCTTGAGCTCGCTCAGCGTCTGCGTCCAGTCGAGCGGCGCGGAGCGTGAGCAGCTGCTCCAGCCGCACGAAGCCGTCCCGTCCGCCGCCAGCCTCTGCGGCGCTCCGCCGGCGATGCAGTCGCCGCAGGCATCTCGAAAGTCGGTGGCGACGGAGGAGCAGGCCTCCGCCAGCATCACCCGTGGCGACTGCGTAATAAGATAGTTGACGCGGCCACTGCAGGGATAGCAGCCCTCGGAGTCGCACGCCTTGAACGACGCCGCCCGCTGGCAGAGTTCCAAGCCGCACAACAGCATATGTTTTGTCGATCGATGCACACACGCCGTCACAAAGAATTTCGCCGCAAGCAGTCATGCTCGCCTGTCCTCCTCCCCCATTCCCTCGTTTGGGTTTGTCTGTTTTCTTTCTTTCTTTCTTGTGATGAGAGAGAGTCTGCGGAGACTTACACACGCCACGCACACAAGATCTCGACTGGCGAGGCTACACTCGCGCGTCCGCATCCTGGTCGTCGTCCACCAGCTGCTCCGTCGACTCCCCCACCCGCCGCGCGCCGTACGGAGGCGGCTCGCTAATCTCGCGCTCCCCCCCGCCCGGCGGCGTCGAGACCTCCTCGACGCCGAACGCCTCTGAGATCTCGTCCGCCGCCACCGCCACCGCCTCTGCGCCCGGGTGGGGCAGATCGGCCAGCTCCGCCCCCTTGCCGTCGGCTCTGCGCGAGAGACCGATGAGTCCGACGAGCGCGATGAGCACGCCTGCTCGCGCGGGCGGGGCGAGAGAGTGGGGTCGGGTATGGGCTTGGGGCCGGGGAGGGAAGTGTGGGGCGGAGGGGGGAGGAGAGGGAGGGGGGCAGGGCTGTGGGGGAGGGGGGGGGCTGGGAAGCGGGGGAGGGGTGTGAGAAGAGACTTGAATAGAGGGGTGAGGGCGGTGGGAAGAGGGCGGGCGGGCCGCACCGGCTCCGAAGAGGGAAGGGTAGAGGCCGCAGGTGTCCTGCTTGCACGCCCATGCCTCGTCGGAGAACTCTTTAAAGAAGAGGCCGCTCGTCGTCATGGTTGCGATCATGAGCAGCGACTGGTAGAGAGGCACCTGTGCTCTCCGCAACCTCGGGTCACACCTCGGACGGGGCGGCTGCACTCTCTCGCTGCACGGGCAATCTCGGGCAATCTCGGGCAGTCTCGGGCAATCTCGGGCAGTCTCGGGCAATCTCGGGCAATCTCGGGAAAGCAGCGGACCGCATACTGCACGGGCATGGCGCGGAGGGTGAGGTTGAGCAAGATGAGCTGCATCGGCGCGCAGACGACCAGTCCGAGGATCGAGATGTAAGGGATCTGTGCGAGGGGGGGAGGGGTAAGGGATCTGTGCGAGGGGGGGGGAGGGGTAAGGGATCTGTGCGAGGGGGGGGAGGGGGCGGGTGTGTGCGAGGGGGGGAGGGGGCGGGTCAGGCGTGCGTGTGTGTGTGTGTGTGCGCTTGTGCGGGTCTGGGGAGGAGGAGTGAGGGGGGGTGTGGGAGAGGGGGGGCGGTGTGGCGATGATGGAGGGGGGCGGGGAGTCGCACCCAGCTGGTCCAGGCCTCGCCCGCCTTTTCACCGTCTTGGGAGATTGTGACCTCCGCGACCTCGGCGACCATCTGACAGGGCGGGAGGGGGAGGGGAGAGTGAGCAGAGGCTATGAGCGCGGGGCGGGCGCCCGTGGGGCGTGCCTTGAGAAAGGTCTGGGAGAAGGCGCCGAACAAGGCTGCGGCGAACCCGTCGCCGACGGCGATTGTCTTTGTGCTCAGGCGGCAGCGCTTGAGGGCGGCGCTGAGGCGGCAGCGCTCTTGGGCGGCGAAGGGAAGGTGCTGCGTCGTGCAAAACACGACGAGGAAGACCCACGCGGTGATGGCGAAGGCGAGGAAGGCGGTCTGTTTGAAGTGCTCTTCCAGTCTGCGGGTGGGTCCGTGAGGAGGGTGAGGCGAGAGACCGCACCCCCGCGTCCGCGGTGTGGGCGGTGGAGGGCGGATGGGCGGTGCGGTGTCTCACATTTCGGTCGTGATTACCTTCTCCTCCTTGGGGCCGAAGAAGCTCACGAGCGTCACGCCGGCGGTGATGGCGAGGATGAAGACGATCTGCGCGCGCGAGAGAGGCTCCCGCACCTTGCAGACGCCGGTGGCGGCGAGCAGTGCGCTGAACACAATCGTGACGCCGCCGAAGGGCGCGACCATCGCCAGCGGGAGCAGCGCCAGCGCGGCGGGGGCGAGGCCGGCGGCGCTGATAAGGAGCAGCGCGATCCCGAGATAGAGCCACGGGCGTCTCGGGGGAAAGAAAACGGTTTTGCGCTTTTCGGTGTCGGCGCTGTACTTCATGATCATGAGGCTCGCGGCGTTGAAGAGGCAGCCGAGCAGCACGATGCCGATGCCCACAGGCTGGTGCCACGCCGGAGAGTCCTCCGGAGGGGAAAGTGGCGGCGGTGGTAGCGATGGCGGCGGCAGTGACGGCGGCAGTGACGGCGGCGGCAGCATCTGGTGGAAGTCCGGCGGCGTCAGGGGCTCCTTGGCTTGAGCTGCTGTCAAAAAATATCAAGACCTTCCTTCGCTGCGTTTCAGCAGGATTTTTTCTTTCTTTCTTTTTACAAGTGGATATCCCTTGGCCGCGCTGGGTAGCGAGGAATGGTGTGACGCGATCCACGCAGGCGTGTTTTCTGACGGCCGACCGTCAGTGCACGGAGTTGCTCCTTCTCCGACTGCCCTGCTACTCGAGTAGTTCCCGCTTCCCGGGTTCGTCGCCCGAGACCTAGCGCGGGTGGCTTGGAGGAGGGCTCGCTGCAAGGAAGGGCGGTGTAAGAAGCCGATCCCCGTAGTCCGCCCCACACTCCTCCCCATCGGGCCGCACAGGGCGGCCGCGCCTGGGCGGCGCTTCGTGGTCCTGGGCGAGCAGGGGCAGTGGTTAGGAGTCTTGGGCCTGGAGATATGAGGGTTGTCGAGATGTCATGCGAGAGCGGTAGGTGGGCGAAGGTAGCGCGGCTGGAGAGTGGTGTCCGAGGGACAATGATGAGGTGTCAGTTGGGGCGCGAGACGCGCGGGACAGTGTTGGAGGCGGCCAGTGAGGTAGGGTTGGCTTTGAGCAGTGCAGCGAGTGTGTGGTCAAGCGTGGGAGCAGCGCGCGAGCACCGGATTTTTTTGCTGTGCGAGTCGAGTTCGTGGCCGGTGCGCGGGAACACCTGGCTGAAAACCCGCGCATCCGGCCGGTTGTGCGACCGAGGTCGCCGATTGTACGACCGAGGTCGCAGAGCCTTGGCGACGCGACGCGCACGTCGCCAAGGAGTTCGTAAAATGTCCGAGGTTTTTTTACCTCACTTATCTACAGTGGCCTTCACGACGGCAAGGTATGCGATGTTTTGCGAGGTGCCACCTTGCCAGGGCGTGGAGTCCTGGTTCGGCGAGACCTCCACTGCCGAGGGAGGCTTGAAGCCGCCCGCGTAGTGAAAGTAGGAGCCGACGATGTGCACGTGCTCCAGGTCGTTTGTGCGCAGCCAGATGTTGACCGCCTTGGTGGGGAAGCAGCGGTTCGAGAGGGCAAACATCGCTGCGCCGCCCGGCCTGAGCACGCGCCCGACCTCCTTGCAGATCTCGAGCGGCTGAGTGAGGTAGTCGATGCTCACGACGTTGGTCACCACGTCGAAGGAGTTGTCCTCGAACGGAAGCCGCGGGTCAACGTTGAGGTCCTTGACGACGTACTCCGTGACCTGGCCGTTCCTCGCGAGCTCCTCCTCGTTCATGCCCAGCGCGACGCGGCGGCCGGAGGACTCCGCCACGTCGGCCGGGAAGTGGGAGACGTGCGACGCGCAGATGTCGAGGATATCTGGCGCCTCCCACTCGCGAAAGGCGGTCGAGTAGTGCTCGGTCAGGGCCGCCACCGCAGCCTCGTCGACGTGGAAGCAGAAGCGAGGCAGGTCGTAGAAGCGCGTGTCGGTGCTCTCGTCCTGCCGCGCAAAGTCCGCAGCCTCGAACGGAAATTCTGCCGTCCAGTCCGGCCGGGCGAGCACCTCGGCGACGCTCTGCGGCGCGACACAGAGCGAGGTGAGGCGGCGGCAGCGAGGGCGCGGGGCTGCTTGGAAGAGGATACCTTTGCCGAGGCTGGAAAGCCGGGCAGGGTGGGCTTCATGAACTGCGAGAAGAGGTTGAGGCCAGACGCGCACGCGACCAGGGCTGAGAGGCAGAGCGAGCGCATATACACACGGATGTGCTGCACCGCACCGAAGCCCAAGCGTGCAGTGTCGGGCAGTGTCGTCCAACGGTGCCAGGGTTCCGGCTCCTACCCATCGATACCCAGAGAGGGGGTCTGCGTCGCCCTTTCCCTGCGAACGCGCACCCCCGGGGGCTAGGGCTCTCTCTCTAGCCCGTAACCCGATACCGATCATCCGGCCCGCTGGGTGCGCTTCTCAGCTCCCCGGCCCTGGATGTGAGGTTAATGACTGCACTCCAAGCAAGTGCTCCAAGTGCTGGCCCCTATGCAATAGGTAGGTAGGTCCGGTTTTGACCGCCCCAGAGGGCCCCGCAATAGGTAGGTAGGTGGTGGTGGTGGGGTGGGGGTGGGGGGGGTGGATTAGCCTAAGCACGTTTTTCTCGCCAAGTACTATCTATATTCTTTTGCTTATATTCTCGCCAGACCATCTATATTCTCGAGAATATTCTCGAATATTGAGAATATTTTCACCACGCGAGAGGTCAGCGGACGCCAAAAATCGCTCTAAAGTAGAGGTTTGTGCTCCCAAACCGCTCAGGAACGTCCAAAACTTAAAGATTTCCGTCTGCATCGACCCAAAACCTACTTTTGAGGGGGCAAAAGAGCTGTTTCGAGAAGCTCTAGTCAAGACCGTTCTAGACGCCGCGATGTAACGGCGAGAATATTCAAGAATATCTTGAGACTCGAGGTCAACCAAGGTCAAGGGCTGAAGAAAACTCATAGATTCTTGAGAAAAAGCCGCGCCGGGGCATCTATATTCTCGAGAATATTCTCGAATATGCCGGAACGATCTCCCATCGGTTATAATAACCGGCGGCAATCGATAGTCAAAGTTGGGCTCCGGAAAGCGATAGAGCGCCCGCCCATGCCCTCCGCTTGTTGTGCAGCACCCGCGGCGCGCGCGCGCCGCGGTGTTGACCAACGACCGTGCCACTGGAGGCTCCCACGCCACTCGCGGCGATCCGCATCGAGGCCGCCCGTCGGCGCAGCAAAGGCACTGCGCACTTCTGGGCAGCGCCCAGAATGCAGGGAAGGCCTTGGCGCTTCTCGCCAGCCAGGCTGACTCGGCAACCGGCACGCGAGCCGACTGCGCGTCCCGAGCCCACGGATCGGCGCCGTCGCACAGGCCCGCCAGCCGCCGCACAGCTCCAGAGAGGCCACTGGCGTTGCGCTGCACTGCTTGAAGCTGATGTTGAGGCGCTGCACTGCTCAAAGCTGCCCCGTGCGCCGCCGCGAGCGCCGCGCCGTGGCCTCGTTCTCTGGCGAGCCCCAGCACGACCCCTCGCGGCCACTCGCGCCGTTGCAGCGGCTCCGACCCCGCCACTCCGGCTCCCGAGCGCGCGACGAGCACGAGGAAGAGCATGCGCATGGGCCAAAATCAGTTACTGCGGATGTGTCTCCGCGAAGAAAGAATTCTTTTCGCTGAGTGAGCGAGTGCCTGAGAGCACAAATGGCCGCAGACGACGGCCTGAGTGCCGTGCTCGCCGAGGAGGAGCCCGCGTCAGACTTGTTCGAGGAGGAGTTCGAGGAGGACGACGACGAGGAGGACGAGAATTCGCGCCACCGCCGCCACAGGGATCGCGAAGCGGTCGCCTCGGAGAACGGAGGCACCCCGGCGCAATCTCCGGCCACCCCGGCTGCCGCGCCGACCGCCGCGCCGGTCGAGGGCAGCGGCTCCGGCGCCACCAGCACCAGTGCCGCCGGCGTCGGCGCCGCCAGCGCCGCCGGCGCGGCGGGTAAGACGCTGTGCTTGCGCTCGCTCCCTCCCGACTTTTCGCCGCGGGAGCTGCGCTGCCTCGTCGGGCTGCTTCCCGGCTTCGAGGACTGTCACCTGGTCGGCCGCGACGGGATCGGCTTCGTGCGCTTCGCCAGCGCCGACGAGGCGAAGGCCGCCTGCTCACTGCTCTCTGCCTTTGTTGTCGATCCGGCAGCAGAGCCGCCCCGGCCGCTGATGGCGGAGGTGGCGAGGCGGGAGCTGGAGAGCCGCGTGCCTCGGCCGCGTCAGCCGCGGAACGGCAGGCCGCCCGTGCCTGCGGCTCCTCTCCTTCCTCACGCGGGCCTCGCGGGTGTGTGAGCTCACCCGCACTGCGCCTCGCACTCCCATCCCCCAGTGCGTCCGAGGGGGAGACGCGAGGGGCCGCCTGTCCCTCGCCCTACCAGCGCGTGTGAGGAGACGCTCACCCTGCCCTTGCCTAGTGCCTCGCAGGCAGACCAACCCCCCTCGACCGCCCGCTCTACTACGGCCGGCCGGGCCCAGGGCAAGGGCAAGACTACCAGCGAGCCCGCTTCGCCCCGCCGCCGCCCTACCCGCACCACCACCCGGCCGGCCTGCACGCGCCGCTCCACGCCTCCGCCCCAAACGGCGCCTTGCCCTCGCGCAGAGGGGAGCCGTCGGCGAGCCCTCCCACGACCCTTCTCGCCCCCTTCCGCAGGCTTCCCGCCCCCCGACCGAAAGAGACCGCGGCATGACGAGCCGCTCCCGGACGGGAACAGAGGCGGCCTCTCCCCAAGCCAACCCCCCCCCACCCAACCACACACGCACTCACCACACACTCACCCCTCTCACCAAGCCCAACCCCCCAACCCCCCCAACCCAACCACACACTCACCACGGCCCCCAGCGCCCGCCCGCCTCCCGCAGGCTCGCGAGACACGCTCTGCATCCGCGGCTTCGACCCGGCCGCAGGCGGCGGCTGGGTGAGGGAGCTGCTTCAGCGGAGCTGCGTCGGCGCCGCCACCCTCAGTCGACCCTCTCTTTCCCCCGCAAGGACACGCCGGTGACGTGTCCGCGCCACCCCCGGCAGGCCTCGGCTCGGTCAACTTTGTCTCTGCGGGGGGCGGGCACGCGAGGGCAGGCGTCGCCTTCGCTCTCTTCCGCTCGCCGGCCGACGCCGCGCGCGCCATCCCCTTCCTCCGCTCCCAGGCGACAAGACACTTCCCAGACACTTCCCAGACACTTCTCAGACACAGCCCAGGCGACAAGAGACTTCCCAGACACGGACTGGACACTTCCTCCCCCTCCTACGCCCACCCGAGCCGAGTCCTCTCGGTAGCGTGCCGCCGATCCCGCCGCATCTGCCCCCGCCGCGCAGGCTGCGCCCGGCGGCCTCGGCCCTCTGCAGGTCCAGCTCTCCCGCCGCTCGAGTCTGCCCCTTTATCATCAGAAACCCACATCATGCCACTTCAGGTCGAGTTCGCCCGCCGCTCGATGCAGCCCGGCCCCGGAGGAGGAGGAGGAGGAGGAGGAGGAGGCGCAGGCCCGCCGCCGACCCTCGCCGCGCCGCCTCGCGTCGCGTTCAGCGGCGGGCCGGGGCACCGCCGGGCCAGCGGGCCGTACTGAGGACCCCGCCCGGCCCTCTCGGCGTCGGCGGATCGATCCCCTCGACTGCGCGCGAAGAGCCGCGGGCGATGGGCGGGTAACGCGACCCTTCTCTCTCGTCCCTCCGCGCATGGTATGTACGGGAGAGATCTCACGCTTTCTCACTCTGTCTCCACAGAAGTCAGAGCGACGTCTCATGCAGGATCTCACATCAGCTATACCGTAACTATACCGCGCTGACGGGCACCGCGACGGCTTTACCACATCCACAATTTTGACATCCACACACACTCATCAGATCGGTCATCAGCTCTCTACAGCATCTTACTGGCGTTGGACTCGTGTTCTTACGTCTATAAGAGAGGAACTTATAGCTAAACTCTCTGCGTTGGCGGCTTGGCGCTGACTTGTGGTGCATGGTAAACAAACTCAAAAAATATGTAGACACTGTACTCTGCCATCCCCGCACGAATGCCACCGCGCCGCGTCACGAGCCGCCTGCATCGTCGCCCCCCTCGCCGTCGGCCTTGTTGAAGAAGTCGTCAGCACGCGTCTCCCACACAGGCCGGTGCGAGCCCCGCCCTGTCGCGTCGGGCTTTGCGACGTTGACCTTCAGGACGCGCCCAAACAGCTCCGCGCCGTCCATGTTGTCCATCGCGTCCGCCGCGTCTGTTCGCTCATCAAACTGCACAAAGGCGAAGCCGCGGTGCTTCTGTGTGCTCGAGTCCACGGGAAGGTTGACATCCAGCAGCTCGCCAAAGGGCACGAACGCGGCGCGGATGATGTCCGACGTCACGCTCTCCTCGAGGCCACCTGCGCGGCAGGGCGGGCGAGGGAGGGTGGCCGGTGGCGACGGAGACAGCTGCGCCGCGCGCGTGCTGTGTGTTGGGTCGCCGGCGGCTGCGGCGCGCGAGTGAGCCGCGGCGGCGCACCGACGTACAGCGTGCGCTTATCGTTGACTTTGCCCTCCATGCCCGGCCAGCAGAAGTAGCCAGGCCGGCGGCAGCGTCAGGACCAGCGTCGAGGCAGCGTACACACCCACCGCTACGAAGAGAAAAAGAATTTACCGGCGGACGGGACTGGCGCGCACTGGCACTAACACAGGTACACCAGAGAAAAAGAATTTTATCATCGCTCTTGCTGCGTGCTGCCGGACTTGCTGCCTGCGAGCGGGGCGGGGTCCGCGCTCTGGGGGAGGCGGGGCCCCTAGGGGGTACCCATGCGGAGAGGAGATGGGGTCCGACGGCCCGCCGCAGGCGCCGATTTTTCGCGATTTTTTCCGCGATGTTGCACTTGTGTTTCTTTCATGAGAATTCGCGTATTGCGACCATGCTATCACGCCTTGCGACAGCCTGTCGGCGCTGCTGACCGTGCCATGATGCACAATTGATCACCTGCATAGCTCGCGGCCTTAGTACCCAGCATTCAGTGACGACCTGATCGTACGGCCAGTAGGAAGGTGTCCTTCCAGCGCGTGCACGCTTCTGACGCAATGCGCGTCACAAACTGCCTCGGATTGGCTGCTGGCACTCTCGAGGCTATGCCTACACAGCCTCGCGCGCATGGGCAGTCAAGAGGGACCATGCACCTTCTCACGACAGCGCCGGTAACTCTCTCTGGGATGACGCAGGAGGATTACTGCGCCCGCCACCCAACGACTGTCGGATGCGACAGATGCGTGCCACTGTGGGGAAAGTGCGGCGGCGGCTCGAGCTGGGACGGCAGGCCATCAGCTTGCTGCGATAGCGCCAGCTCCCAAGAGTCTCCGCGAAGTGGTGCGGCCTGCTACCGCAGGGACGAGCGCTTTGCTCAGTGTCGCCCACATTGCCCAGCGCCGAAGGACGCCGCGGCGGAGCCATGGTTGTGTTATGCAGATCCGCCTGCGCCTCCACCTAGCTCGCCGCCGCCGCCGCTCCCCCCCCCTCCTTCCCCGATGCCGCCCGGCGTTCGCAAATTTGGGCCGAGATCCTTGGAGTTTGAAGAGGAGTCATACCGCGTGCTGGGCGACGCGCCGCTCAAGGCGAAGGGACACATCGGTGCACACTACCACAAATGGGGCAGCCCGTACGTTGTCGACTGGGACGGCGACGGCTGGATGGACCTCTTTGAGACGAACCACGTCAAGTACGAGTCGTGTGAGACGCACTGGTGCGCTCGTACCGCTCGAGATCGCTCACACCAACCCCTCATACACAGCACCGCACAGGCTCTTGCTCAGCCGCGCCTCATTGCCAGGGACCTTGCCCTGAATCACGGCGGCGGTTGGCTCGAGGCTGAAACGGGAGTCGTCAAATATGTGGCAGGGTTGCGCGAGGATGGAGGGAAGCTGCCATCACGCTTCGATGCGCATGGCGGGGCGGTCCTCGATATTGATCGCGACGGCCTGTTGGACTTGTACGTCGCGCAGGGTGCTGTGAGAGGCACAGACATGACAGACCAGTCGGAGAACGGCCTCTTCTGGGGCACGCCCGACGGCCGGCTCATCGGCGGACGCGGCGCGTCCAAGGAGGCGGGGCTCGCCTGCCAGGGCTGCCGCGCGTACAACGTGGGCCTACTCGACATCAACCACGATGGCCTCCTTGACGTCCTGTCGCTAAACAGGGAGCGTAATGACGACAACAAGATTCCTTCGCGGCTGTGGCTCAACCTGCCGCCGTCGCAGAGGAAGTTTGAACTCGTGCCCGAGATGTCGGTCTACGCGGTCGGCGCCATCATGACAGACTTCGACCAGGTGGCCGCTGCCCAGTCCGTCCAGGATGCCTTGCTCGCGCACCTCCCTCCTTGGGCACTGTAGGACGGCTTTGCCCAGGAGCTGCTCGTCCTCATCTACATCCCGCAGACCACCTCCGGTCAGGACATCCTCGCTGCGTACAAGTGGGACTCGGCGGCAGAACGGCTGACGGACATCACGCCGGGCTGGCAGATCTTTGGAAGCAAATGGTCTCGGCGTCATGCATGGCAGCGCCAACTCCGATCGGTCAAGACAGGTGACTTCAACGGTGACGGCCGTGTTGATTATGCGCTGCTCACGGCAGCCGAGACTCACAGCCCGCCAAGCTAGTTGCGCACCCACGCAAACACACCATTGTTGCCGGCCTAGGCGACGGGTGTCGACTTCCTGTACTCCTCATCCATCGGGCTTCGGGCGATGGAAGCGACAAGGGGCACAGTCCACCCCTTTATCAACACCGGAATGGAGCTGCTGTCTGGTACCGGTTGTAGTGAGCTGATGGATTTGAAGGCGCCACGCGTTCGCCCCCGTCGCCATCCACACCTATTTTGACCGTTCACAACCTGGCCCAGGCGGCCGATTTTGACCTTGACGGCACGCTCGACCTCTTCATCCTCTGCCGGTATACGGGCGTCTTTCTGACGCAGGAGGAGGATGGCAGCTGGGTCCGGATGCCGGGCGACTATGGGGAGCTCAACGACCCGGCGCGGAAGGAGGAGGATGACGGCTGGCTCGAGACGTGCTGCGCCGACTACGAGAATTGCTATGCCACGAACGAGATTGCAGCCTACCACCTCGTTGACTTGTGCCTCGCATTGAACGGGCGAAATGCGGGAAACAGGTGGTATGGCGTGACGGCAGTCGACCTCAACAACGACGGCTTCGTCGACCTCATGCCATGCAACACGATCTGCCGGGCCTTTCTCAACGCAGGACATACTCGCAACTCGTACATCGCCTTCAGGCTCGCCGGCACTGCGAGCAACGAGTACGGCATCGGCGCGACGGTGCTCCTGAGCTGGCGCCCCCAGCCCGGCGCCGCCGCGCAGCTGCAGCTGCGCGAGCTTAACTCGGCATCGAGCGGGAGCAACTTGTTCAGCAGCGAAGATCACCGGCTCGTGTTTGGACTCGGCCCCTCGGGCGTGCCGCTGCGCGTAGAGGTCCACCGGCTCGCGTCTACTGGTCGTGTGGGCGCGAGTGGTGACCAGTTGGCCTGCCCTCAGGTCCGCTGGCCCTCGGGCAGAGTTGACATCCTCGACGACGAAGCAGAGCTGCTCGCGCGTGCAAACTCGATGGACGACAGCGTGATCCGGCTCGAGGAGTTGCCACCGTCCCCGCCGCCGCCGCCGCCGCAACTCCCGCCCTCGCCACCGCCGCCCTCTGGGCTGCCGCCGATGTCGCCCCCGCCTCCAGCCCAGCCGCCACTCAGACCCTCGCTCTTGCCGCCGCCGAGTCCGCCGCTGCCGCGTCCACAGCCACCATCGCCGGCGCCGCCGCCACCGCCGCCAGCCTCTTGCATGGCGTTCTGCGCCCGCAAGACCCAACCCTGGCCGGATCGGTGCAAGTGGCCCCGCTGCGCCGGCTGCACGCCGTGCCGCGAGGGCACTTGAGCACTTGAGCACCGGAGATAGGGTCGATACCGCATGGTACGGAAGCAGTGTCGCCCCCCCTCTCCATCGTCTCACTGAGACGTCGGCGGTGATTATTTGTCGGTAATGCAAATGTAGCTCTAGCCGCTTGTGCCCACAAAAAAGAGCACTACCTTCTACCTACGACCTCGGTCGGGCTCAGACTAGCACCCCGCCTTGCGAGCCGATCTGCTAGCTCAGCTTTTTGCAGCGATGCGTTGTGTAAGAGCCACGTGCTCGAGTACTCCGAGACCGACAGAGTGCGGGGCACCACCACCAGTGCTGTTCACACAGGTTGAGGGCCCAACTTCAGAATCGTGCTTTTGGGTGAGGTCGAAGAGGGCGGGGTGTTCTTTTGGGCGGGGTTGGGGGAGCGTGCGCTTGTGTTCTTTGGGTGAGGTTGTCGGGGTGAGGTTAGGTTGTCGGTCCTCACCCGAGGAAGCTTAGATTATTTATTTATTGGTGACTGACGCTAGCTTGCCTTTCGATTCGTTTGTTCAATGTATGTGAGGGTGTCCCTGGATTTTATTCCTTTTCTTGGTCGCTGTGACTTCTACCCTTATAAGTCTCTCGTGTCCGCGCCGACGCTCTTTTAACGTAGAACGTAAAAGCTGAACACTCGAGAACACCGCCCGCCGACGATCGATCAGTCCACAATCGTCGGCCCGCAGTGACCCGCAGCGATATATAAATATATATTACACACATGGATGCCGCCGCCCCCCCGGCCCCTACGGCCGACGCGCCGATGCACGACCGGCCTCCGTCGGACGGCTCTCCGGCCTCTCCGGCCGCTGCCGCCCGCGTTGCTGCCGATCCAGTCCCTCTCACGCTCAGCGATACCCGCACAACCTACGACAACTTTGAGGTCGCCGGCTTTGGCCAGGTGCAGCCACCACCTGCTTGCCTCCATGTTCACGCTTCGCGCCCCTCCCCCCCCTCTGACGCCGCCGTATGACCTTAGGTGAGGGGCACGACTACCCGCCTGGAAGGCGCTCTCATCAGCAAGTCACCCAGGCACCAACTCCTGGGCGTTTACGCTTGACTACGAAACCATGCAGTGGATGCAGCTCGATCAAAACGGCGACGCCAACAGCTGGCCCCTGGGCGAGTTCCTTGCGCTCAGGATGAGGTGCGAGCCATGATGCTCGACTATCAGCGTGCACCAAGTCGCTCACATTCCGTGAGTTCGTCAACGGGCCGAACTCTCCAAGTCGACGGCGATCTCGAACTCTGACAACTGGACCGGTGCACCAGCCGCGGAGGACGATGGCTCCCTCGACGACATCCCTTCATCGACGGACGCCTTCACCGCCGCCGGCCCTGGGCCATCCAGCGCGGCCTCCGACGGCCTGCACGTGATCGAGGTACAGAAACGGTGGCTGCCGCAGCTCACACCCTAATCTATCTGCCTTAGGCACGGAGCCAACGGAGCCATCGCGCATGCCCGCATCGCGTGCGGCTCCGAGGTCTCCCGCCGAGACCGGCTCGGCGCGGCGCGTGGCCGCACGCCGCCGTCGAAAAGGCGATAGGAGAGGGGAGAGCGCCGGCCACATCGAGCGAGCGCTGACGTGTAAGGTGTCTGCGCTGCTCCGGTGTGTGTGGGATTATGCCTCCCCCCATCTGTGCGGCGAGGTGTTTGCGGTGGGTGCGATGGCCGATCGTGCGCGATAGCCTCCTATTGTGCGTGGTGTGTCGGTGTGTCGGTCGTCCGGAGCGTGTGGCGGCGCCGTTGCATGCAGCGACTCTGCTCACGTGCCACGACTGCTTTGACTGACTTATGAGTGCTGATGGATGATCTCCGACAACCCAAAACCAAAATGAAAATGCGGAGTGGCCCCACTTTGGCGTGCAGATCCTGCGTCTCTCACTGCCCGAACAACAGAGGCGGGTCCGCCGCAGGTCCCCCACTAGTCCTCAAGTAAGTGGCTGGTTGCTTGTGTGTGGGGAGGGTGGGGGTGGTGGTGGGGGCTGCGTGATTCCAGTCTCGCCGCGGAGTCGGCTGCAGCTGGTCGGCTGGGCGGCAGTTGTCACTGCCACCTGTGGCTCCGCCAGGGACTGCTCGGCCATCTGTTGCTAACACGCGACAAATGATGTGTGTCATCGCCGCCACGCTGAGCTTTGCCGTACCTCACCACTCGCTGGCGCCGGCATCCGTTCGTCACCGCTCGCCGGCACCGCGGCTCTCCGACCCGCCTTCCGCTCCGCTCGGCCACGTTTTTGTGCTTCACGCAGATTTGCGATCGCTCCTCACGGACGCCACGCTGTATCCCACAACCGATCCAGTCGATAGCGGGTGGTTCCCAAACGCTCAGCGTCAGAACGACCCGCCGCCGCTCCCGCCCTTCACGTCGAGGCAGCGGGTGCACCAGCTTCCGGGCACGCCGGCTGGCGCACCTCTAGTTTTCCTCGCCAACGTCGACGGCCGCCTCGAGCCGCAGCGCGACTGCGAGCCTTTCACCGGCCGCCCGCCGCTTGACTGGTTTGTCGACGCTGCCCGCCAGTTCCTGCAGCTGGCCGCGGCTTCGGTCGGCGAGGAGGGCACGCGTGCTCGCTGCCGCCGCGCACAGCCGTTGCTGGCGCTGCCGGTGGTGGGAACGGGCAATGGCGGCGCACGGACAGCCTCAGGGAGGATGATCTCTCGCCTGCTTGAGGTGCTGTACGACTTCACCGCGGCACGAAAACCGACGACGCGTCGTCGAGGGGGCGAGTGAGTCGCTGCCAACATGACGATGGTGTCCAGGTAGGTGCACGACATCGACGTCGCGCTCGTCGTCAAAGGCGAGCGGCGCTTCTCGGCGGCGCAGGCCATCCCGGCGCGCGGGTCTTACTGCCAACGACACATTGATCCGATTCTTACTCTCTCTGCGGCACAAGGCGCTCCGCCGGCAGATGGCGCCGGCGTGGGAGGACACCTTGGGCGCGCGGCTTTGCGGCGCGGCGCTCGAGCTGGCGCAGCGGGCAACAGCCGACGAGCTGGCCCTGTTCATCGGCGCGGGTGTGTCGGTGGGCGCTGGCTTGCCGGCGTGGCAGGAGCTCCTCACGTCGCTCGCCGAGCGGGACGACGTGCCGCTCGGGCCTGGGGAGGTGCTGCAGCTCAAGAGGCTGGACCTGCCCGACCAGGCGTGTGAACTAGCGCCAGTCCTGCACCTCCCACCTCGGCTCATCTCGACGAATCTCGACCTGCCCAGCCGCCAGGCATCGGTCCTCTGCTCGCGCCTCGGCGCCGCAGAGCTCTCTTCGGGCAGGCGGCGCAGCCGAGGCGCGGACGTAGCTGCACTCCTAGCAGAAGCAGCACCAGCCCCTCCCCACGCCGTCTCGCCTTACCGCCGCTCTCTCCTCCAGGCGCACCCGCGCTCTCCACTGGCGCCGCCGGGCCGGCGATGAAGGCGGGCGAGGCGGCGCTGCAGCGGCCCCCGCCGCCGAGGGGCTCTCCGCGAGCGAGTGGAGGCCTCCCCGACCCTTCTCGGAACCTTCGCGTAGGCTCGTCGCCGAGGAGCTCTCCGCCGAGCTCCACTCCCTCGCCCACGGGCTGCTCGCAGGCCTGCGCCTCGCCAGGTCGCCCCACCGCCACTTCCAACGAGGTCATCGCTCACTCACTCCTTGCGGCTAGGCCTGCCTGTCGAGGCGGTGGTGACCTAGGGTATGGGTTAGGGTCAGGGTTAGGGTTAGGGTTAGCTAGGCTTGCCTGTCGAGGCGGTGGTGACCACAAACTACGACGAGCTCTTCGAGGCGGCTTGGCGCGGCGCCGCCTCCGACTTCAAGGTCCTTCTCCAAGAGGCTGTGTCCTGGCCGTGTCCCGAGACATGTCCGAGACGTGTCCGAGACATGCCCCGCAGGTGCTGCCCTACGAGGCGGACGCGCGCTCCCGCTTCGTGCTCAAGCTGCACGGCGACTTGCGCCGGCCGCAGGATATCGTGCTCACGCGCGCGCAGCTGAGCGGCGCGAGAGAGCAGCGCGCCGCGCTGTCGGGGGTCGTGCAGGGCCCGCTGATGACGAAGCACCTCTGCTCTGCTTCAGCACCTCTAGATACCCCACAGGTCGTGCAGGGCCTGCTGATGACGAAGCACCTCTGCTTCGTCGGCTTCTCGCTGCAGGACCCGAACTTCTCCGAGGTTGCCCGAGACCGAGACTAGGTTACGCGAGAGCACAGAGACGGTCCGCGCCATCCCTTCTCTGAACCGTCCTGCAGGTTGCAGAGACCGTCCGCGCCACTCTCACGGGCGACTCGAGCACCGCGTCGCGCAACCTCTTTGGTTCGCTCCTCTCGCTCCACAACCGGCCCCTTCCCGGGCTGCGGCAGTCACTGCCAATGACTAGCCGCCAAGACCTGATGAGGAGTGACTAGGCCCTTCCTCGCCGAGCTGTGGCCCGACGTGCAGCAGGTGAGGGCATGGCCATGGTAAGGGCATGGCCGTTGGAGACGCCCGCCCCCTCCCGATGCTGGTGTATGGTAGTAGTAGTTACTGTCGGGTGGAGAGGCGCACTTCGCTCTTCCTAGGTCCCGATGGACATGGCCGATGCCTCCGGACCCGACCGGCTCTCCAGCACGACATGCGCCGAACTCATGGAACCGTCCCTCAAAACCTTCTGGGACCCTCTCTGTAGGCTCTCCAGCGCGCAGTGTGCCCGCCGGCTCGACATTTTTCTTGACAAGGTCTCCCTCGACGCGTCGACTCCGACACGCCACCTCCTCGACCCGAACTTTTCGGGCGTCTTCGACAAGCAGCAGCGCGAGCTGCGCGAGGCGAGATCTGCCGAGATCTGTGCCGAGGTGAGGACCTCCACAACTCGTCGACGCGTGATTCCGTGACGTGCGACTGGGGTGCAGGCGTTGCTGCTCTTCGAGGCGGAGCTCGCCAGCCGGCCCGACGCGCGCGCGGCAGCCGGCTTCGAGGCCGTCTCGGCGCTGCTGCGCGGGTTGGGCTTGCCGGCTGACTCGCCCGCACTGGCGGAACCAGACGTGCTGCAGCCGGACGAGGAAGGGGGGAATGGCTAACTCCCGGTATAGTAGGTAACTGTAGCAGCAGGCACACAGCGTGTGTGTTGACACCCAATACATCGACGACGTGTGCAAAAACACAGACCGTCCACCCCCCCGCCCCTGGGAATGGCTCCGCCGCATCCCCGTCGCGTCCTCATTCTCAACGCGCCCTGCAACATACCTCATACGGCTTTTTGCCTTTGGAGACGTGCTCTCTTCGCCTACATAATGGCTACAAGCTGCAAACAACCCCTTGCGAGGGGCGGAATGGATGCGGTCATCGTGACAACATACGCCACTCAAGCCACTCAGAGCCTCGCCCTCGATGTGCACGCCTTCAAGGGCTTCGACCCTGCAGACCCTCCCGCTCGAGGTGCGGGCGCGCCGGCTGGGCGCCAGGAGCGGGCCGGAGTTCGCAGCGCGCACCGAGAATGAGCTGCAGGCGCTTCGCCGAACTGGGAGGATTTCAGCGCTTTCGTCACATGCGCCTCAACGGACGGCGCCGCAGACCCAGGCCCCACAGTCCGCGCCCCACGTGGGCGCGCACAAGCCACAACAATCAACACAATCAATGCAACACAATCAACACATCGCACACGCACGACGTCGACGTAAAGCTAGGAGACGCAGAGGGCGGCATGCTGTATGATACATACAGGACAGCCTCAGTCGACATGTGTGAGATTCGTACACAGACATGATAGCCGTGAGTGCTTCAAAAGCCGAGCACGTTGGCCATCAGCGCCGGGTCCGAGTTAGCGAAGGACTTCTTGGAGCTCTGGTCTCGCTCCTTCTCGGCCTGATTCCCGTGAGAGTGGTTCGCAGGTTTCGCGGCCGCCGGCGTGATCAGCACCGCTTCGACTCCGTCACCTCGACTCGCAGGTGGCTTTCGTGTGGGCGTGCCAAAGTCGGTCGGCGGCCGGCGCAAGAGGGTCGGGCTCTCCGAGCGTGGCGACGGCGGCAGCGACGTGGGAGGCGAGAACGGAAGCCACGCCTCTTCGCCTGCTGAAGCGCGAGTGAACCCTCTCGCTCTCGCCGCAGCGACCTCGATCGCTGCGACCCGGCTTGCCGGCGAGCCGGCCTCCGCGTTGCGGTTCGCGGGGAGAGTCTCCGCGGTGAATGAAGCAGCGGGCGCAACTGATGACATGAAGCGATGGTCAAACAGTGGGGGCCGTCCGCCCCCTATAAACACCGCGGCACCGGGACACAAGTGGATTCTCTCTCGAGGTCTCGAGGTCACGGTGTCCCGCAGCGGTCATTCCAAAGGGACACTCATGAACTCACCGGGGTTATTCTCTCCCCCCCCTGCTGAAACCACAAAATCCGCGACAGAGAACACAAAATATCAATACGTTGTGAGCCTCAGGCCTGTTCCTTTTTACCCATCTCACAGTAGAGAGGTGTCCGTTTTTATTTATTTATTTATCACCGCGCCGTCTGTCTCGTGTCTCGACGTCTGTCGTCGGCCTGGGTCTTGAGGTGTCGTCTGGGTCTGCTGAGCTGTGCGCGAGCCCTTGTATGTCTGCGCCGGTGAACATCTTGTTTCTCTAAGGCTCCGGCAAATATGGCGAATCTGCTATCACTACGTCACCGGCAAAGATGGCGCAGCAGAATCTCGTGGCACGCCGCGTGGCCCGCGTGGGGCGCGCACGCCACCGAAGCGCCGAGGCAGAGCTCCAGCGGCGTGCGGCCGCAGCCGTCCGGCGCGGCTGGCGCGGCGCCCGCCGCGAGCAGCATCCGCGCGCTGGCGGCCTCGCCGCGCGCGGCCGCCAGGTGGAGGGGGGCGCTGCCGTCCGCCCCGCCGATGGCGGACACGTCGGCGGAGGCGGCGATGAGCGTCGCGAGGAGGTCGGTCGCGCCGAGGGCGGCGGCGTGGTGGAGCAGCGTCTGTCCGTCAGCCGCGGCGGCGCGCGCGTCGCACCGGTGGCTGAGGCAGAGTCCCGCGGCCTGCAGCAGCATCGGCGGTGAGTGGCCGCCGCCCCCTCCGCCTCCGCCTCCGCCTCCGGCCGTCCCCTCCGCGAAGAGCGGCGCCGGCCGGGCCGACTGCAGTGCGAGCAGCGCCGGAGTGCACCCGTCCGCGTCCCGCGCGTCGAGCGCCTCTTTCCCGCCGTCGGCCGCCAACAAATGAGCCATCACGGCGATCGCACCGGCCTCCGCCGCGGCGTGCAGCGGCGTGCGGCCGCGGCCGTCGCGCGCGGTCGGACTCGCGCGCGCGTCGAGCAGCCGCGCCGCGCACGAGGCGAGCCCTCGCGCCGCGCAGCAGTGCAGCGCCGTCCTGCCGAGAGGCCCGGCCGCGCTCACGTCCGACAGCGGCACCAGCGCCAGTGCGGCGTCGACGTGGCACGCCTCGAGCGCAGCCATGAGCGGCGTGCGCCCGTGCGCGTCGGCGAAGCGCGAATCCATCCCGTGCGCCAGCAGCAAGACGAGGCAGTCGGTCGAGCCCCTCTCCGCAGACTGGTGCAGCGCCGACCAAGCGTCGCCGCCCGCGGCGTCTCCGCCTCCCGAGGCAGCTGGCTCGTTATCGCCGCCGGCACTGATCGCATCACCACTGCCGCCGCCGCTGCCACCGCCGCCGTCGCCGCCAGCACCACCTCTACCGCCGCCGCCGCCGCCGCCGCCGCCGCCGCCGCCGCCCGCCGTTGCAATCACCACCGCCCTCGCCGCCTCGACACCGCCGCCATAGTCGGGCAGCGGCGCCGGTGCCGGTGTGGCAGCTGCCGCCGGTGCGGCGAGCTGGAGGGAGCCCGGCGAGCAGCGCTGGAGGAGCAGCGAGAGAGCCTTCGAGTCGTCCACGCGCACCGCCTCCTCGACCCTCCGGCGCAGCACAGAGGGCGCGGCGTCGGCGACGGCCAGCTCGGCGCGGCGCTGCTCGCGCGCAAGCCAGGTGGAGATCGCGGGGCGCGGCTCCGCCTCCAGGCCACGCTCGTAGTGCCAGAACGCGCGCCCAAAGTCGGAGAGCAGGTAGAGGGCCCGCCCGCGCGCAAAGTGCGCCTTGGCGTGGCCGGGCTCGAGCCGCAAGCACGACGCGGCGTCGTGCGCCGCCTAGGAAAGGGCGCCAAGGACGTGTGATGGACGCGGGACGGCCCCTCCCAAGCGCGGGACGGCCCCTCCCAAGCGCGAGAGTGTCCTCAGCGTGGAGTCCGAGCGCCAGCAAGCGCGAGGCGCGGGCGTAGTAGGCCGCCGCGTCGTCCGCGCTGCTCCGCACGGCGTCGGACAGGGCCGTCAGCGACTTGGCTTCGGCGGCGGCGGACGCGCCCGCGCCGCCGTCGCCCGCGCGCGCCGCCGCCTCGAACAGGAGGCAGACGCCCTCCGCGCCGTCGGCCGCGCCGCTGCCGCACTCCGCCTCCGCCTCGTCGGCGTCGGCGAGGTGCCACTCCGAGTCGCTCCGCTGCAGCGTCGGCCCGGCGGCAGCACCCTCCGCCGCCTCGCCCTCTGCAGGCGGCGCGCCGGGCATCCGACCAAGCAGCCGCACGCGCACCGCCCACAGCGCATCCTCCCACAGTAGCCTGCCGCCTTCGGTGCCGCCACCGCAGCCCGTGGCGGCGAGCGTGCGCGCATCAAACAGCGCGGGCGGCGGCGGCGGCGGCGGGAGCGCGCTCAGGATGGGCGCGACGGCGGCGGCCGCCTCTCTCCAAGCCGCCTCGCCCACCCTCGCCTGAATGCCGGCGGGCACCCAAGCCCACACGCGCTGCGAGCCGCTGCGGCGGCCACCCGGCTCGGTGGGCAATGCGCGCGCTCCACCCGGCGGCGCCGCGGACTCGCCCGTCTCGAGGAGGATCCGCGTGTCCGTCTCGTCGAGCAGCGCCACGCCCCACGCGTCGAGGCTCGACTCGGCGGAGCCGTCCATCTCGCGCAACAAGCTGCCGCCCCAGAGCTGGGCGGCCGCCGCCGCGGCCTCCGCCTCCGACGCAGGCGGCGGCGCTGCCGCCGCCTCGGCGGCGCGCGGCTCGGGTGGTCGCCGCCGGGCGCTCGCGGGGCTCTGCTGATCGCTGCCGGCCGCGGCCGCATCGCCCCGGCTCGCCTCGAGCGCGGCGCGAGCCGCTGCCACCGCCGCGACACCGCCGTTGGCCCAGCGTGCCTCCCCGTCGGCTGGCCGCAAGCGGACGGCCGTCACGACCTGCTCCACCGCTCCGCCCCCGCCGCCCGCGCCGCCCGCGCCGCCCGCGCCGCCCGCGCCCTTCGCGCCTCGCGCGTCAGTGAGAGGCGACGTGGCGGCAGCAGCGGAGGGCGCGGCGGCGCACCCCGCGGCAGCGGCCACCTCGGACGCCACCGCCCGGACCTCGGAGACCGCCTCGGCAACCTCGGACGCCGCTGCGGCGAGCTCTGCCGTGGCGACAGAGGCGGTGACGGAGGCGGCAGACGCGACGGCGGCGACCGCGGCGGCGGCAAACGCCCGAGCGCCAGCGCTGGCGTTGTTTGGAGCGTCGCCGCCTCCTCCTGGCGGAGCCGCGGGCTGCTGCTGCTGACGCGGCGGCCGCGGCGATCCCACGCCACAGAGGTCCTCCGCATCGGTGCGCCCGCGTGCTGCCTCCTTGGCCTTCGCCTCGCCAATCCCGCCGGCCGAGTCGCCGCCGTCCGTGCGGCGAGCCGTGGCGCCGCTCGCACCGCCGCCTGCGCCGCCCGCGCCCGCGCCCGCGCCAGCGCCAGCGCCAGCGCCACCGCCACCGCCGGCCTTGCCACGTGCGCCGGTGCTCGCAGCGGCTCTGCCGGCAGATGGCGTAGAGTCGCGCCGGAAGCGGATCGCGAGACCGCGCAGCTCGACGCGGCGGCGGCGCGGCGGCGCGTCGTCCGAGACAAAGCCGGGCCTAGACGGGGGCGGCGCAGTGAGGGCCGCGCCCTCTCTGTGCGTGCTGCTTGCGTATTGTGTGTGCGCTGCGTGCGCTGCGTGCGTGCGTGCGTGCGTGCATGTGCGTGTGCGGCCGGTGTGCGTGTCCATCGCGCGCCTCCAGTGTGCGTCCGCAGGGTGGGACGAGGCGCGCAGCACGTGGAGAGAGAGCGTCCCGGCGCCGGAGCCGCCCGCGGCAAGGTGCGCGCACCCGCCGGGCGCCCCGCCGAGCGGCGGCGAGGGCAGCCGTGTCTCGAGCGCCAGCAGTGCGCCGTCCACCTCAATGGCGATGTTGCTGAGAACAAGCGCAGCGATCCGCTCAAAGTAGCGGCTGAGGGTCCCTCCGCCACCCGTGCTGCCGCCACCCGTGCTGCCGCCGCCGCCGGCGGCGGCGCCACAGGCGGTGCCGCCGCCGCAGTCGCCGCCGCTGCTCGAACTGAACTCCGCACCCTGCATGGCTTCGTTGGCGGCGGCGGCAGTGGCATTGGCCCTCTCGCCGGCGTCGGCTGGCTGCGGAGAGTCGTCCGACCGCTGCACTCGCAGCTCGAGGCCCTCAATCTTGATCATGACGGGGACCGACCGGAGCGCGTGCCAAGGCACGATCAACCGAATCCGACGCACTCGACCCGCCACCACTCTGAGCGCAAGCGAGGCCAGCGCATCGGGCCGCACGCTCACGCCGTCGAGTACGCCTTCGCCCTCCCAAATGGAGAAGGAGATGCCGTCGCGAGGCACGGCGACAAACTGGCCCAGGCTGCGGCTGAGTATGTCGTGCACATACTCCTCGAGCCCGAACATCGCAGCGCAAGAGGGCAGCCGATCCGGCCGCCAGAATTTTATCGCGGTTTTTTCTTTTAACATCGTTTTTTCTTTCGAGAGCGAACATTTCGGGACAGTAGTCAGTACGAGCGGGCCGATGTGAGTTGAGTGACATTCATTCCACATTCGGAACAGGCGAAAGAGACATAAGTGTGTATATATGTACGATATACGGCGGGCGGGGCAGGGGGCGGGGACGGGGTACGTCGGGGATTTGAGTTCCTCGGGGCTGGCCGGCCGACCTCGTTCGCGCTTCAGAGTGCTGGGGCCCGCTCGCCACGCTCTTCGGGTCACGAGCTCTCACGGGTCTCCCCCGTACCTCCACCCGACCCACCGCCCACGCCGCCGCCGCCCGCCCCGCCGTCACCCTCCTCGGCCGACCACGACGCCCTCGCCAACGGCGCATCCTCGCCGAAGGAGCCGCGCACCCGCTCGAGCGCGCGGCGGGAGAGGGGCGAGACCCACGCGCAGGTGGACGGCGGCGCAGCAGCCTCAGTCGTCGTCGAGGCCGCACAGAAGCGCTGGAAGGAGCGGACGCGGCCGCCGCCCGTGACCTCCCAGAGCTGGTGCATGATCACCTCCTGGCCGCCCGTGGGCTGCTCGCCGTTGAGGAGGGTTGGCGTGTGGCGGATCTGGACGGCCACCGAGCCGTCGAGGTTCTCGAGCACGTAGTCGATGTGGTACGCGCTCGTGTTGTACTTGGAGAAGATGGCGCGGTCCCACATGAGAAAGTACTTGATGCTCGGGATTTGGAACCTGCTCACAGGGCGCATCCACGACACACGTCAACAGCGGCCGCCTTGATGTGGGGTGGCGAGTCTCCGCGTGGGCGAGAGTGGGCACACCTCCTCGCCGGCGTGGCCGCCCCCTCGATGGAGAGCTCGATGGAGGCGAAGGCGTTGGGCTCGAACATGACTTCTGCCATCTGAAACAGAGTCGGGAGGCGCTGTGCGTGAGCGCGCGGCGGACGTGGTGCTGGGTATGGGGCGTAGGCGAGAGGGCGAGAGTGTGAGCGCTCGCCGTCTCGCCGCTCGCGGTCCGGAACAGGCCGGTCAGCCAGTGGTTGAGCACACGCTCCACGACCGGCACAGGAGCCTCGCCGAGCGGGCGGTCGATGATGCTGCGCCTGCGCTTGCTCCTGCGCCGCAGCTCCTCCGTCGCGATGGAGGCGAGGTGGTCGAGTGCGCCCGAGCTCGTCGGCGTCGACTTGCCCGGCAGGTCTTCGTCGCCGTCGCCCACGCACTTGTGTACCCGCTCCACAGGCTTGGAGCACAGAGCCGCGTAGCGTGCGACGCACTTGCTCCACTCCTCGCGGCGTGCCGTCGAATTGCCCCACCCTTGCGGGATCGCGATCGTCCGTTCCATCATCGCTTGCGCCTTACTGCTCGCCTGTTGGACCTGCTCTATATGAATATGAGTCGCCGTGACCAACTTGCGGGTGACCTTGTTGCCATTCGGGTGCTGGGTGCCCCTGGGAGGACGTCTGCAAGCCCCAGGCGCCTCACTGTCACAACAACAACAGCTGTCTAACACAGGCCTCATCTTTGTGTCGTGGGTGGCTGCGCATTTTTTGCCACCCATCACCCTCATGGTCACCATTCAACTCGGCAGAGAAGGCGTATATAGCGGCGCAGCCCCGCCATCTTCTCTGCCGCAGCGTGAGGTGCAGGTTGAGGTGAAGCAGGTCTGAGTCATGAAACGAAGGAGATGCGAGGGGGGGTGACATCACGTGCTGCGGAAAAATCGCGGCCATGAACGGTGTCGCTATTGGGTATTGGGGAACTATGTGGCACCCAAGGTGCCAATATTGGATCTATGTGGCAAGGCGCGCCACCGCACAGGGTGTGGGAATATAGGGATACAGGTATACTATTCATCACTGGGGGGGGGTGGGTGGGTGATAATATAATAGGGGTGCTGAGGTGGGGGCTGGGTGGAGGTGATTCTCCGGGTCAGTCTGGAGGTCATTCTCCACAATCTCCTGCGACACGCCGCAAGCGCGGGCCCCGCCTGCCAGTGTCACCGCCGACGAACCGGGCGTCGCGCGGTATGACCTGAAGAGGAAGTTCTTCAACAAGTTCGCAAAGTCTTCGCCTCGCGCCCGCAATGGGCGGCCCGACCCAAGTCGACTACGAGCTCATCCGCATCATCACCGAGTCGACCGACGGGGCGGACTGCCTCTTCAACTTCTGCACCTCCGTTGGCTGGGGCGTCATGCACGAGCGTCTCAAGCGGCTTGAGGACGACCTCAACGCCGTCTGCCTCTGGAAGGACGATGGCGTCAGCTGCCGGCCCCTCGGGCTCTGCAGCATCTTCACGCGCTCAGCCGAACGGTGCATCGCGCTCCAGGAGCGCGACTGGGCGGAGCAGTTCTGCACCACGCAGCTGCCTCAGGTTGCCAAGGCCAGGGCGGAGGCACTCGAGGACGCCACCGTCACCACCGCCACCGCAGAAGCCGCGTACACTTCGAGGTGCATCACGCACGGACACGGCTCGGCCGAGGCGACGGCCGCTCTCGCCGTAAACGTGGCTGCCGACGCCTTCTGCACAATGACATTCGTCTGGGCAACCTTGTGGCTCAACCCGTCGAACCAGGCCTATTTTCAACTCTTTTTGCACAAGCCGCTGGCGATTATGCTTATATGGCCGCTCGGCGTGCCAGCAATCATTGCAGTGCCAGTGCCTGCAACCATGCCATGGCTCGCAGTTCGGCTCGGCCTGCTTCTCGCGGTGGTCGTTCTCTGTGTTGCTGTCGCGTGGGCCCGCGTGTGGAACTCACGGCGGCGGGCCGGGCCAATACTTGGTCGCTAACGGCAGACGGGTCGCTGGACAGTTCCTGTCGCCAGCACCTGTCGGCCAATAACCTCAACCAACGGCCTGTCTGGTATAGCCCCAGCCGACTCCGCGTGAACTCTCGAGGGATCTCGAGTTGCTCCCTGCTGCTCGGTGTACGAACTCTGTTCACACCGAGTAGCTGGGAGTGGCGCGGCCCCCGGGGGGGGCTATAGCAGACGAACCAACGGCGGCTCAGCAAGGCTTGCCCGGCAGCCCCCATTTCTGGCAGCGCTCGCTGGCCACGTATGTACCCAAATTCAAGCGTCTGTCCACCCTCCGCTCCTCCCGGCGCGCCTCCCTCCTCCACGTTCGACGACCTACCGCCTCCCCTCGTCGACGCTCTCGCTGTGCTCGTCGCCTTGTTTGGCGTCCTGCTCGCGTTTTGCGGTATGTGGGACACATCTCTCGTCCTACGCCGCTGACATACGCCTCACTCTGCGCGTGTCCCCTCCCATACCAGGTCAACGCTTCTACCAGACCGCCCTCGCCCTCTCCGCCGGCGTTTGTGCGGGCGGCGCGACGTGGTACCAGCTCGATGCCACTCTCGTCGCGTCCGGCTCCCTGTCCCCGATGGCGGGCGTGGGCGTCGCGGCGGGCGTGGGCATCGTGGCCCTCGCCGCCGTGGCCGCCTGCTCCCTCCTCGGCTTCGTCTTTGCCTCCGCAAGCGCCGGCTCCACCACCGTCGCAATCGCGCTGCACGTCGCGTCGCCTTCCCCTCCTGAGCCGGTCATCCTCACCGCCGTGGCGGGCCTCCTCGCGGCGGCGCTCGCCCTGCTCGTGCGCGCCTGCAGCCGGCAGGATGGGGAGGAGCCGAGCTCGCTCCTCGGCTGCTGCCGCCTCTCGAAATCGAGAGGCGATCGCCGCCGCCCCGCCCTGCCCCGCCGCCCCTCACCACTACACACGCTGCGCGCGGAGAGATGTGTTTCACCTCGTCTTGTGCCTCAGGCCGACTCGCCCGCCTCGTCGAGGCGTGCGCGGCTGGCATGAATTAGTCAGGCTATACAGGACAATAGACGTGTGCCACATCGGCCACAGGCGTCGGCCTGCGCTCTGCTGGGAGGCGCTTGCGTCGCCTTTGCCGCCAGCCACTTCCTCCACGCACCCCTCTCTCGCCAAAGAGGCATCCTTCCTCCGCTGTCCACGCTGTTGGATCGCGGACATCTACTTGCTATAGGCGCCCCTCTCGCCGGAGACAGCCTTCGCGCCTCCAAACAACTCCACCGGCTGCAGCAGCGACAGCGGCGAGTGCGTCCCGCCGGCCATCGCCGGGCTCGCCGTCGCCGCCGCCGGCCTCGCCGTGCAGGCGGCCGAGTCGATGAAGTCGTCACTTAGTTGGGGTGGCTTCTACGAGTTGAGTAAGGCTGCCCGCTGCTACGCGCACAGGCGGGCTGCATCTGCTGCCGCCGGTGGGGGGGAGGCCGCGCCTCGAGCCCTGCCTCGGCTGCTGGCGGCGGAGCCTCCGAGTCTTTGCTCCCCGCTAACGGCCTCGCCGCCGCTGCTGCGCCGCTGCCCGGCGGCGCAACGCCTGCCGGCCCGCGGGGGCGGTCGAGCCGAGGGGGTGCGGGCCCTCCCCTAGCTCGAGGTCGCTCTCCTTCGTCAAATGGTTGGTTGATTCCGTTCGTCCGTCGTTGGTCAGGCGGGCTCTCCTTCCTCGAGATCCTCTCCTCCCCCTTCAAAGGGGCGCCGCGGCCGGCGGAGAGCGGCGGGGTCCTCCCTCTCTCCCCCGCCGCTCTCCGCGACGGCGCCTCCTCTGCCTCCCTCTCCGCCCCCCTCTCCCCGGAAGTGGCGCCGCCGCCGCTGGGGACCCGACTCCCAGGGAGTCTGGGGACCCCTCCTCTCGTAGTGGGTGCCCGCCCCTCGCCCGCTCCCCGCTCGACGACGTCCAGGCCCACGTCCAGGCCCACGTCCAGGGCCTCCTACTCCAGTTCCTACTCTGCGCTGGCGAGCCGGCTCCGGCAAAAGTACTTTGGCGACCGCGAAGAAGGGCAACCGGGCCGGCGGCAACACGACACTGGTTAGTTCATGAAACCAATCGTGAGTTGATTAGATTAGGCCCGGCCGCGGCAACACGTCCGACCCGGGGCTGCCGCCGCCGTCGGTGCACTCAGCGTTCTCGCCAGACTTGTCGACGTGAAGCCGGCGCGCGAGACGTCGCATGTGAGCTCATTAGAATAAGGGCCCCTCGCGGGGCGGACGATGTCGCGAGAGTGCGAGTAGAGCAGTAGATGCCACAGAGCGCGGCGCCGGTCTTGCGCGGGTACAAGAACTCGTGAGCAGCCACAGTGGCTCCGACCAGCTCTCATTCCATGTCTCGCGAGAGAGGACAATAGCCCCTTGTCCTTTTCACCACTCGCGAGTGTGGAGAGGCGCGAGCGGCGCGCGCCGTGTGTTGGGACTTGGGTGTATGGCAGACGGATGTGCACACAGTGGGGCGCGAGAGCCGCATGTGGAGAGGCAGCCCCCGCGAGAGCCCGAGAGAGCCCCGAGAGTGTGTGCAGTGTGGAGAGAGCCGAGTGAGTGTGGAGAGAGAGACGGCGCAAGCCGCAACCATATTTTGTCATTTGCCGTGTCTGCTCCTTTTTACTCACCCACACATGCACATACACATGTAACTTGTGCATGTTGCATCGAGCAGAACTTACCAGTTACCTCCCTCCGACCTGGACCCCACGTTGGGCTCCTCCAACGCGACGACCTCGAGCAGCACGTCAGAGTAGTACCGCGGATCGGAGAAGGTGCGCGGGTCCGGGCGGCCCACCCGGTTGTCGAGGAAGTACTCCTCCAGGCGCGCGGCCACGCCTCGCCGCCTCAAAAAGGCGGAGAGTGGCGCCGTGAGCAGCTGACCCGGGTACAGGCCGGCGCCGCGGCCCGTGGCGGCGGTGCGGTCCTGCGCGAGCTGCGAGCCGCCCACCAGCGCGGAGCCGCTGACGACGTACTGCCAGCCGGTGGAGCCTCCGTCCTGCCAGTCGCCCTCGTCGAAGAGGTCCGAGCCCGAGCCGAGGGTCGTCTGCAGCGAGTAGCGCGAGAAGAGGCCCTTGGCTCGCATCGCATCCAGCAGCCTGCCGCAGCCGTCCACCGCCGACTGCAGCGACTGCCCCGACCGCGGCACGCCCGGCCGAGGCGACTCCGGCAGAGGCACGTCGCGCAGAGGCCCGTCGAGCATCGCGTCGCCCATCGCCTGGTAAAAGCACCGCTGCAGCCTCCTCCGCTCCTCCGGCTCGCGCTCGTCCGAGAGCGCGGCGGTCAGCACGCGCCACCGCGCGTACGCCTCGAAGCCAAACAGCGTCGAGTTGGAGAAGTCGCCGGCCGAGGCGGCGGCGATCAGCGACGGAGCGAACCCACGCACGGCGGTCCCGGGCGGTGGCTCTCCCGCCCTGCTCAGGGCGCCGTAGAAGGGCTCGTTCTGCAGCGGTGTCGGCGCTGCCCCGTCCTTGTACAGCAGGACCGCGTCTTGCCTTGCGTTCGGGACCTGAGCCTGGAGCGCGGCGCTCGTGCTCCCGCCGCACCTCGCTGCAACCTCGAGCGGCAAGTCGAGCATCACCCTCGCGAAATCGCGGTCAATCAGCGGCGGCGGGACGGTCGCCTGCGGGAGGGCGCGCGGACGCTGCCACGCCGGCACGACCTCGCCAGCCACCTGCTGCCACACAGAGTCGGCCTGGTCGGCAATCTGGGCGCCACGAACCACCGCTCGGCGAACCACGCTCGACAGGTCGGCGTCCGACGCAGCTGGACGCGGCACGGCGCCAACGCCGAGCGCCAGGAGCCGGAGGGCGGCCTGCCGATCGAGGAGCTGCATCGAGGCGATTGACGAGGCGAGGCGCAGAGCGACGAGGCGATCGGCGAGCAGCGAGAGGCGATCCGCGAGAGCACCGAGAGGCGAGCAGCGGTGAGCGCCTGGCGAGAGAGGCCCCGCCCAGGGTGCCCTCTCCGAGGACCCACGCACGCTCTTTCGAGAGGACTGTCGCCGGGGCTCTGCTCCAAGAGACCTCGAGAGAGCGTGCGTGTGCCTCTACTCGCCAGGGTGAGCGCGAACTTGCAGACGGGTGAGAAGAAAAGCAGAGCCCGTGAGCCGTGTTTTTTACTTTCTTTCTTTCTCTTTCTTTCCCTCAGGTGTGGAATCTCACGGCCCCGCGTACGGCGGGCTGCCCGGCGAGCGGTAGCGGTCGAGAGGCGACCGCTTTGCATCCGAGCCGTAATATCGGCCGTTCCCCTCGAGCTCCTCGGAGAAGAGGAGGTGCAGGGCCGACACGGTGCCCTCGTCCGGCGTCTTGGCGCCTGCAAGCTTGGTCGCGAGGAAGCGGACCGCGGCGTTGGGGAGGGGCACCCACCAGGGCAAAAAGCTGCCCATGATGTCGGTTGCGACCATGCCGGGCGAGCACGCATTCACCTTCAGCTCTGGGCGCTCGCGGGCGAGAGCCATCGCGTACGCGTTTAGCAGCGCCTTGCTCAGGCCGTACGCTCCCATCGCAGCGCCAATGCCGTGCGCCTCGAGGTCCGGATTCGCCTCCACCGCCTCGAGGAGGCCGCTGATCTCGCGCCAGGAGACACTCGCGTTGGTGAAGAAGGCAGCCATGTCGGGCGAGGAGCGCGAGACGCAACCGGAAGCGGCGCCCGACGAAATCTGCACGACGCGACCTTCGAGCGGGTCGAGCAGCGGCCCAAACGCGTCGTCCACCCGCTTTGGCCCACGCACGTTTACGTTCAGAATCTCGGCCACCGTCCCTGAAGCGATGCCAGCGTTGTTGACGATGGCGTAGAGCGCCGGATTACCGCAGGATCCCTCCAGCGTTGCTGCAGCAGCACGAACGCTGCCGTCGGAGGAGGTGTCGATCTCGAGCACCGTGAGCCGCGCTTTCCAGTCCGGCCGCTCGGTGATGAGTGCCGCGACTGCATCCTCGCCGCGCGAGGCGCTTCGACAAGCCAGGACGACATGCGTGTCGCCATGGTCGGAGAGGCAGCGGTGGACGATGGCGAGGCCAATGCCTCGGTTCCCGCCCGTGACGAGTACGCGGCGGACCATGTGCGTGGAGGCGGCCCCCTCGGGCCTTGCGTCTCGGTCCCTCTGATCGCCTCGCGCGCGCCGCAAAGGAGGCGGCGAGTTCGCTCTTTTGTGCGAAAAAGAATTTTGCGGCAAGAGCGCTCTTTCTTTTTTACGTTTGCGCTCCAAGCCGAGTACGAGTCATGACCCGCGACGCTGATCACGAGAGGACTTAGGTTAGGTAGGAAGGTGAAGAACAGCCAGGCTCGGACTGGACACCAACGCGGTATGGGTGGACGCGGGACAGATGATGACGACACGCACAAGCGACACACAGACACAAACAGGCTCACAAGACACACAGCCAGCTGGCTGCCACACACCCTGAGTTGGCATACACACATAACTCAGGGCCACATCCTCCCTGTCGCCCCCCCCCAGCACACACGGTGCCAAGGACACAAACAAGGGCACAACAACACAACAGACGACAGGAAGTAACATGTGAGACTAGAGCAGGCTTGCTCCGTCTCTAGCAATCTCGCCGGCCGCAAGGCATGGACGAGACCGTGTGTGGGTGGAGTGTTCTGGTCTTGTGAGGTGTCTATGGACGCTCCCTCACAGGCTAGCGGCCTACTGCTAGCCCTAACTCGCACTCACGGGCGGTGTCAGTTCATTATATGAGTGTATGCGAGCAGAGGCGCGTGTGCTGATTCTAGATCGCACGCCGTGGCATATGACATGGGAGGCGTGCGACCGCAGCGCGCCCGTCCTAAGGTCGACGGGGCGCGCGTGTCAGCGAGAGCGTTGCGGGCGGAGCCATACCCGACTTTGTCGAGGACGAGGGCCCCGTGCCACGGTTGCCAGCCGTGCCTTCGCGGGAGCCGCCCCTCGAGCCGCGTCCCGTCGCCACTGTCCCTGAGTGCGTCCCGCCTTGCCCTTGGCGGCACACACTCGACGAGGACAGTCCGGCCGACGGGAACGTGTCGCGCGCCGGCGACGATTGCGGCGTGGTGGGTCTGGGTGTGTGTACGAAGCGACGATGGCACGACCACCGCCCTGCATCGCAGACCGGGCAAGGAGGGGCCTTCTCGTGTTCCGCGGGGAACAGGAGGTCTCCCCCCCTCCCCCGGCCTGAGCAGCGACGGGTGGAAGGCAGCCCCTTCGAGGTTGGCACGACTGTTATTCAGTGTGAGTGACACACACACACACACACACACACACACACACACACACACACACACACACACACACACACACACTGTTATTCACACATTCACACCTCGGTCCTTGCACAGGATATCACGCCATGGGGGGGACGAGCTGTACGGTATTCCGTCGGCAGCAACACATGTCTCTCGCCATCGTGTTGCCGCTCCTCGCAGGAGGCCAGTTGCCCGACGACTCCCTCACCCTCCCCGACGACTCCCTCACCCTCCTCGCCGTCGGCGACTGGGGTGGCACGAGCAACGACGAGCCGACGAACGCATGGCGGTTGCTGGCGCGATGCAGGCCGTTGCTGCAACAAAGCGGCCACACGCGGTACTCATGATGGGCGACAATTTTTACCGCCACGGCCTGAACTGTGCTGACGATGCCGGCGCGGATTTTGGATATGGCGAGGCGGCTGACGCGCACTACGACGTGGTCGTCGTCGCGTTCAGCGTTGCGCTTCCGAGGGCAATCAGGCGTGGCATGTCGGGAGATGCCGCCTTTGAGCGTACCCTCGCGGAGGCGGTTGCTGTCGACACGACCGCAGCTGGCGAGGCGGCGTCTCCGTCGAACGTGCGAGACATGCGGCTGGGCGCGTGGCAGCAGGGCGGAGAGCCGGCGGGTCGAGCTCAGCTTGGTCCGCTTTCACCGCGACCCTGAGCAGCGGCGCCCCGCCTCGCTCCTCGCGGCGCTGAATCGCGCGCTGGAGGCGGGTGTCGCCGGCGGGCAAGGAGCGCTCGGCTCCGCCTTTGACGCCAGGTTTGGCGGGAGCGGCTCGTGGCGCATGAGCGGCGTCACGGCGCGGGTTGGCCGGCTGGAGGATCGGCCGTGCAACCAGAAGCACTCTCCGCGCTTCAACGCCACCTTCGAGGAGGTATATCGCGGCCCGGGCCTCGACGGGGCGCGGCGGAGCCCAGCCTGGAGGCCCACTCACCATTCACGACGCACCTCAGAGCGCGTCGCGGGGTCTCAGGTGCCCTTCTACGTGAATGCTGGCAACCACGACTACTATGGCTTCGTGCGGGCGCAAGTCGACTACTCGAACGACCCGCCCGCCGGCGCGTCGGGGCGGTGGAGGCGCCCGGCGGGGCCCATAGCACGACCTACGTGCATGGAGAAGTTCTCCTCACTCTCCCCCCTCTTTTTTAGGTACCCCGTCACGGACGCACGCCCCTCGCACGTCGACGGGTCGCTGTCGACGGCTCTGCTGCACCACTCTCGTAGCCTCCTCTCGGAGTCTTCTCTGAGCCTCCCCGTAGGTCGGTCGAGGCTCCGTGGTACACCTTCAGCCTGCGGCGGGAGAGGGACGGCCTCTCGGTGCTGGTGGTGATGGCCGACGCAGTCAAGTGGGCAGGCCTGTTCTCGCCCGATAGCAGTCGAGTGGTGCGCCCCACCTCACCCGCAGGAGGTTGAGTGTCCTCACGCTGCCTTTGGGGGCAGGCCTGTGCACGCCCTACCGGGGCAGCCTCTCGAGGTGGGGGAAGCAGACGCCGGTGAGCCGCATTCCCTCCGGTTTGCATTGGTGTTACTAGTTAATCTGACCACGCTCTGTCACCGTACCTCAGGTGAGCTGCATCCCTCCCGGCGAGCCGTGCGACAGCGACTGGACGGTGGCGGCGGACGGCACTTTCCACGTCTGCAGCTGCCTCCTCGGGGCGGACGGCGACCTTCACCTGCACCTGCGCCGCTCGGGGCATCTCGGAGCCGCCTCTCGGAGCCCGCTCGGAACCTTCCCTTAGGCGACTACTTTGACCTGCCGTGCTCGGGCCAGCGCACGAGGCGTCGAGGGACGGGTGTGAGACGTTTCTTTACACGCACGAGCCGTGAACAGGCCGCGCGGAGCACGAGAAGGAGAGCGCGAGGGCGCACGAGGAGTGGCTGCTCCGCACGCTCGCCGGTGCAGCGCACGACTGGGTCATCGTCTCGGGCCACTACCCGGTGCGCCTCCGAGACGCCCGCGAGACACACGCACACTCTCACGCCAGTGCGCGGCCTTGGCGAGTCTTGCCCACGACTCGCCTCGCTTGCAGATCTGGTCGGTCGCCGAGCACGGCCCCACGCCCGAGTTGGTGGAGGAGCTGCGGCCGTACCTCTTCCAGCACGGCGTGGCGCTCTACCTCAACGGGCACGACCACAACGCGCGCCCGCCGCTCTGTCGAGCCTCAGCTGTGGCGGCGAGATCCGCCGAGATCGACCTCAGATTGGCGCGAGATTAGGTGCGGCGCAGCCCGTCGACAAAAGACGGTGTGAGCGGCGTCCTTCACCGCTCCAGCTGTGAACTACAGGCGCAGCACATCGTTGAGCCGCGAGCCATCGCGCACCTCGACAAGAGGGGCACCGATTACGCCCCGCCCGCAGACGCACTGCGGTCCAACAAGGCGGCCGTTAGAGATGACCTCTCCCCCCTACCCACACACACCCGTACCTGACCCGCGCTCTCGAGATGTGTGTATGCACATGCATGTGTGCATCGGCTGCAACTACGCTACATGAGGGCCCTGGTCATCACACTCATACAGGCGGAGGACTTCGTCGGCCCGTTCACTGCCGAGTCGATGCACTACGTCACGGTGGGCGCGGGGTCGCCCATCGACCACGACCACCACCACTCCCTCTCCGCATCGGCCCGTCTCCGCCTCCGCGCGGGAGGCCCGACCAGAGAGCTGCCTCGAGCGCGGCGCGTGAGGCTGCGTGTAGGAATGCTGCTCTTCGGAGGCAGACATAGACTCCGTTGCTCCCACGTTGCAAGTGATGGTCGATGGTTCCCCGCTCTAGGTCCCATTCTTCGACGCGGAGGGCTCCTTCGCGCGGGTCGACGTCGTGGACAAGCACACCGCGGTCCGCACGTGCCGGGGAGGGAGGCCGCGGCGTGGCTGCCTTGAGCGTGACGCGAGACTGCTCGTCGCTAGGTTGTGCGGATCCTCGGGTATGGAGGCGCCGAGCTGCACCGCTTCGAGATCGACAACCCGCGCCGCAAGAGCGAGCCGGGCGGCGGCGGCGGCGGCGGCGCGCGCGAGGCGACGGTTGGGGCGTCAGCGACGGACGCGACATTGCTGTACGGTTCGCTCGCGCTCAACGCAGCGCTGCTCCTCGCTTGCATCGCCGGCGGGGCGCACTGGCTGCTGCGGAGGAGGCACGCTCTCTCGTGCGCTCGAGCACACACGCAAACGCATTCTCACTGCTTCCCCACGCGGCCGCGCCGAGTCTTTGCTAGGACGTGGAGAATGCGGGAGACAGTCCCGCGCCCATGCTTGTGCATCTTAGGCGGGCGGCGAGGCCGATCATGGTGGACCGCTCATCCTCTGGCAACAAGCCGGTGGAGGTCGACATCGTGGCGATGCCGCCTCGGGTGCTCGTGGAGGCGCGGGAGGCCGCGGCGGCGGCACGCGGCGGCGGCGCGGCGAGCGCGGTGTAGACTCTCGAGCTCTCGACTGTGGTGGGCGTGATATTGGGTCCGGGGTTGTGCCCTGGCGGGCGCGGTGTAGAGCGAGCGCCAGCGGCTGTGGTGGGAGTGATCTTGGGTCCGGGGCTGCTTTGGCCGCTGTCTTTTTTTTAAGTACTTGTACGTTGTTTTTTGCAACCACAGGTTCTGCGTACGCCGCTGGCTGCAGGTTGCAAAGTCACGCCTTCGGGCCACGCCCATTATATCTCACCCGCTTTCTGTACACTTTCGCCACACGCCCGTCACCTCGCCCGCCCCGCGCACGCCCGCGCCTCCGTATGCGTGCTCACGCTCTGAGCAAGGCCGAGGGCCCAACAAAGTCACGCCTTCGGGCCACGCCCATTATATCTCACCCGCTTTCTGTACACTTTCGCCACACGCCCGTCACCTCGCCCGCCCCGCGCACGCCCGCGCCTCCGTATGCGTGCTCACGCTCTGAGCAAGGCCGAGGGCCCAACTTGAGAATCGTGCTTTTTGGGTTGGGTTGGGTTGTAGGGTTGGGTTGGGTTGTTCCGCGTGAGGTTGGGTCGTCGGCGCGAAGGGTGAGGTCTCGACCGCCGCCGCTCACGCCAGCGGACGGCCACTGCCGGTGTTTTTGGCTTCGCCACCGTCCAAGGCGTGCGCCATGCGCTCGCCGGCATCGAGCGAGCAACGTGATCGACCGAGCGGCTTGCTGTGTGGTCGCCTTCTTGTGGCTCTCGTCGAGAGCGTTTTGCGTCCCGGCGGGTGGGAGAATGTGTGTCGTTGATGTGTCACTGTGTGCGTCACATCGATGTGGATAACAAGCACGGTCGATCCGTCAAAGCGATACACTCGTTCCTATCACGCTGGAAGGCTTGCACGGAGCTCTGTGCCGGCACACAGAAGAGCCGTGCGGCAAGAAGAGCTCGATGGGGAGCGAGAACTGCCAGAGGTGCTCACCCAGGTTTCGGAAGTCCGCCTTGATGCGGTCAGTCCCCCCCAGGTTTGACCGCGCAGCTCGCAAGACTCGTCGAACACTCGTAGCCTTTCTGCGCCTCTGACTCTGCAAGCTATGCGGGAAGAGCAGTTTATTCGCAATATATCGACGAGTTCGAGAGAGCCACAGGCTTTCGCTCGGGAGGGATTGAGTGCGTCGCGACGGACTTCAGGTTACACCTGAAAATCTGACGGTTCTCGCTCCCCATCGAGCTCTTCTCTTGCCGCACGGCTCTTCTGTGTGCCGGCACAGAGCTCCGTGCAAGCCTTCCAGCGTGATAGGAACGAGTGTATCGCTTTGACGGATCGACCGTGCTTGTTATCCACATCGATGTGACGCACACAGTGACACTTCAGACGACACACATTCTCCCACCCGCCGGGACGCAAAACGCTCTCGACGAGAGCCACAAGAAGGCGACCACACAGCAAGCCGCTCGGTCGATCACGTTGCTCGCTCGATGCCGGCGAGCGCATGGCGCACGCCTTGGACGGTGGCGAAGCCAAAAACACCGGCAGTGGCCGTCCGCTGGCGTGAGCGGCGGCGGTCGAGACTCACCCTTCGCGCCGACGACCCAACCTCACGCGGAACAACCCAACCCAACCACAACCCAACCCAACACGAAACAACCCAACTCAAAGCACGATTCTCAAGTTGGGCCCTCAAGCCGCCGTGTGCGCGCAGATGCCCCCGGGAGGAAGGGAGGGAGGGGCGTTTCGTTGTAAATTGATGAGAGGACTAGCACTCACCGCCCGCACACTGCCGCCCATCCCTCCAAACCGTCTTCTTGATCACAAAATCCCCAGATTTTTTAAACGACGACAGCGCCTCCGTCGGCTTTCGGCCTGGGCTTGATTCGCGCCATGGTTTCTCAGCTCGACCCCTTCCTCTCTGTCGCCGCGAACTGGTTCGACGAGGCCTTCCTCGACGGCCTCGCGGCACCCAAAATCCCCGCGCCGCTGGACGACGGCAAGTGGATGTTGAAGCCCATAATCGCACCTTCGGACAACGCGGGACCGTTGACGCCGCCGACGCTGCCAGCATCGCCCTTGGGCGGGCCGCCAGTAGAGGCTGAGCGACCTCGAGCCGTGGTGGCGATGGCATCGTCGCAGAGGTTCGCCTGGCGGCGCGACGACGGCCGCGTGCCGGACATTCAGTCAAATGCAGCAAGGGGGGGTGCGGGACAGTCGCCGGCGGCAGAGCCTGATGCCCTGACGGCGGTATGGCCCCGGCCGGCGCCGGCGCCCTCTCGGTCGACGGGCCTCGCCGCACCTTGCGGGGACGTGGAGGCCAGTGCGGCCGCGGCTTTTCTGGCGGAGGCCGGCAACGGCGGCGCCGAGCAAGAGGCTGCCCGCACCCCCACCAAGCTGCAGACGGACGCCGGCCTTCGCCTCATGCGCGGGATGCTGCTGCGCACCAACCGCGCCAACCACACGCCGCTCGTCCTCCGCAGCTTTGCCCGCATGGTGTGGGCCCAGATCCGCCGCCTCAGTCAGCAGGAACTCGAACACATCGTCTCTGCCGACGCCCCACAGCCTCGGTCTGCCTGCCTCGCCGCCCGCCCCTTCTTCCCATGCACCGCTTCCTCCCCCCTCGCCGCCGCCACCAGCGTCGACCAACCGTCGCCGCCGCGCCCCATTTCCCCCTCCCGCTTCTTCTCCTACTCCCCTCCCCCGGCTCCGCCCCTGCCGCCGCCGCTCCCACCGTGCGACGGGGCTGGTCGCCGCGGTCAGAGCGCCGAGCAGGGGCCCGGCGGGGCTGTAGAGGCCCGGCGCGTGCGCCCACGCCACTGACCCCCGACTCGGTCTTCGGATCCGAGTGGCTGCGAGCCTCGACTAACCGCCGAGGTGACGCGCTTCTTCATGTATTTGGGGGGGCGGGGGTGCTCCTGGCGCCACTTGTGGGGGGCTGGCAGCTCTGCTCATTGCTGTCTATTCCAGCCGCTCGTTTGATCTTTGATGGATGTGGATGTGTAACATGCATGACGTGTACTCCATAAAGGCGCCGGTTCTAGACGTGAACTACGACAATAGAGCAGACATCTCCTGGAGAGATACAGATAGAGGGAGCGGACCCTGAGTTGAGGAAATCGGAGGACGCGACCCACTTCGCCACAGACGGTCCCGCGCCTCGCCGCTATGACGGCTACACGACCGCGGCTCGTGTGCGTGTAGCCGTCTTTGTCCGGAGTGAATACTCCAACGCGCTCGTCGGTGACGGTGTCCTCCAACCTGCGCCGCGCTCGGCGAACCTCGACAGCGCCTTCGATGGCATGCAGCTCTTTGCGTCAGAAGCCTGGAGAGCAGCTCCTCGGCTGCTCACACGCTCTGCACAGTTGACACAGCCTACTGTGCGGCTACCACAGCTGTGACAGCGATGGGCTCGCCCTCACTGGCCCTCAGTCACTTGTGCTGCGGCTTGTGTGAGCGACACTGCTCGGCGACTGCCGGCACACTGTGAGACCATGGGTGTGAGGTAAAACCACGCTACCAGCGCTTGATCACATCGGCCCCGAGGTCAGATCCTTCTACTCTGTTAGTGACAAGACTTGTCTACTGGCTGGAGCCGAGCAGGAGGGCCAGGCGCACAACCCCTGGTCAACTCACGGTCCACACCCCGTAGGGCGACAACGCGACGGGCAGACCCCGGTCCCCGCGCCCCGCTGCGCCGCTCGGAGTCGGAGCGGGCGTGCACCACACAGCACACAGACATTATCTAGATAAATAAATATAAATAAAACGGGCACGCCAAACGAGGGATGGGAGAAGGACAGGGTCCCCACCTGCACGAGCAGGATCTTGTAAGGACGATCAGGGACACAGGGGAACGGGAGCGGGGAGCGCATCGCGACACGGAGGGGGGCTGGGTAGGGTTCACCCACACGACAGGGTCCCAGGGATTCCGGGATTCCTCTCTCGTATAGGACAGGTTGCACCCGGCGGCACGGGGGCAGGCGCGGGCCTCCTACTGGTTGCGCTCTCCTAGTTCTCCTGCTCCTGACTAATATCTAGAAAAAAGAAAGAAAGAAAACAGACAACCCAAGGGAGGGATGGGAGAACGGCACGCCGCCACCACACAGGGATTTTAAGGAGAGGAGTGTGGTGCTAGCCGTCGCCCACCATAACCCTTGGTCGTCTGCCTCTTTCTATCTCCCTTCGCAGTCCCTCGCCGATTCTCGCTGCAACCTTCATGCCACCTCGCGGTCGTCCTACTCTCGTCGTTCTCCCTCCTGTCGTTTCCTCCTCTGTCGCGTCGCTCTCGTCTGCCTCGTCCAGCGACGCCGCCGCCGCCTGCCGATCCCTTGCTCTCGCGGCTTCTCCCGCCTTTCGGCGCAACTCTGCCCTCCTCGCAGCATATCTTGGCCCCTCGAGTCTATCGAGCTCCCCTCGCGCAAGGACGACTCTTCTGACGCCCACTCCGATCATTTGCCGCCAAGTCATGTCGTTGCTCAGGTCCAATCTCTCTTCGAACACTTGTACCTCCACCGATGATGTTGGCGCTGGGGTCCCCTTCAGGTGCATCGTTACAGCTGACGACGGGATTACCACTGGTGTTTCGTCCTCCTCGGAGTCGTCTTCCCCGGCTTCCCCCCGTTCGGCTCTACGTTCATTACGTTCATCGTGGCTCACCCTCCATGCCCTGAACAGGCGCTTTATCCATCCTATATTCTTCTCTCTCTCCTCTGCCCGTGCCTTGGTCTTGTCGTTGTTTCGCACCCCTTCGAATTCTTTTTCCTCGCACACACGGTAGTGCCAGTGCGAGCCAGTCCCGTGCCCAGTGTTGTGCGAGGAGCTCAAGGCGGCCGCGCCCCGCCCCGCGCCGCAGCCCTCTCGCGCCTGCTCACCGCACCGCGCGTGCTCGTAGGGCATCTCGAGGGTGCGGCCAATGAGCACGCGAGGCCGATGCACGACGCCGACCGCGCCAGCGCGCTGCTGCTCCAGCTCGTCCCGGCCGCCGTGTGGTGAGACGGCCTCGGGCCCGAGATGCCGGCCCGAGAAGACTCGAGGAGATGACCCGAGGTGGCCCGAGAAGACTTGAGACGACCCGAGGCTGCTCGAGGTTAGGCGGGCGGAGCGGGCGCTCCTGCGGGGTGAGGTGAGCGAGCCCGTCCTGCGGTCGCTGCTCGAGTTCCACCAGTCGACGGCGGAGCCGCTGTGCCGCGTGTTTGCCTACGCGCTTCCAAGCGAGGTGAGGCTCTAGAGACCTGGAGGCGACGACAGAATTGCCACACAACGCCGGCGCGCTCTCAACTCCACCACGCATACGTAAAGTGCCATGCAAGCGCCACGCTTTACCCCGCCCTGCGTGCGCTCTCCCAGGCTGCGCTGCGGGCGGTGGCGCGGCACGCGCGGCACGGCCTCGTCGAGTGTGGCGCGTGGCGGCGGCCTCTGGGCGGCGCGCCTCGGAGCCCTCCCGGAGCCATGTCGGTCCCTCCCCTAGGCGCGGGGAGCGGCCTCTGGGCGGCGCTGCTCCGCAGGCGTGGCGTCGCCGTCGCCGCCTACGACGCCGTGCCGTGGGTGTGCGAGGCTGGCTTTGGCGAGGTGCAGCGCGGCGGCCCCGAGCGGGTGGGCCGCCATGCGGACGCGTCTCTGCTGCTCTGCTGGCCGCCGCTCGAGGCCTCCGCCTCCGGCAGCAACACGATGGGCGTCCGAGCGCTGCGCGCCATGACGGGCAGAGGCGCGCTCCGCCCGAGCTGTGGTTGCCGGCCGCGCGGCACGCCTCACGCCCCGCTCACGCGCCCTCCCCCGCCGCGGCGCCACACCTCAGGCGCGCTTCTGTACGTCGGCGAGTGGCGCGGCGCCGTCGGCGTCCTCTCTTCGCTGGCGCCTTCCACCGCCGACCACGGGATGGTTGGCGGGCCGCAGCTGCAGGCCGAGGTGGAGCGGCACTGGCGGCTCGCCGAGTCCGTCGCCCTGCCCCGCTGGCCAGGCGTGGGGAGCCCGCAGGCGGGGCACCGCCTCTACGTCTTTACTCGCCGCCAGCCACCGCCCGAGCCCGCGGAGGAGGATGCAGACGCCGCCGCCCCCGCCGCCCCCCCGCCGCCGCCGCCGCCGCCGCCACCGCCGCCGCCTCCGCCGCCGCCTCCGCCGCCGCCTCCGCCGCCGCCGCCGCCTCCGCCGCCCACTCAGCGACAGCCGCCGCCCGTTTCGGATGGCTACGCCGCCCGGCGCGAGAGGCTCTCTCGGCTGCAGGGTGAAGTGGACGCGCCTGGCCGGGAGTGGGCGTGGCTCATCGCCAGCCTGCTGTGGGAAGAAGCTTGCCGCCCAGAGGAGATTTGATGAAATGAAAAGTAATATATCTTTACTTCCATGTTCCAACACCCGGACGCGCGTTCCCAGGCGCCAGGGTGATGGAAGGTTCGACGCACCCCCGGACTGGGCGGAGAAATGAAACATTTCGGAAAACGGTGTGGTCCTATACACCCGCCCACACCGCGACACCCCTCGCACGCGGTCATCTCCGCTCGGTGCATATCCCTAGGGTGGGAGCTTCTCCTCTGAATGCACTCTGAGCCGAACTAGAGCTCGTCGTGGCCGTCGAGGTCGTCGTCGGCACCGAAATCGCCGCCGCCGCCCGGCGCGCCACCCGACTCGCGGTACACCTTGGAGATGATGGGTGAGCACACGTCCTGCACCTCCTTGAGCTTCTCCTCGAAGTCCTCCTTCTCGGCGTCCTGCGGCGCGAGAGAGGAGGGGGGGGTGAGAGGGCGGGCGGCGAGGCGGGTGGCGGGTGGCGGGCGGGCGATCGCCTGGTTGTCGTCGAGCCACTCGTTTGCCTCCTCGATGGCCTTCTCGACCGCCTCCTTGTCCTCGTCGCCAATCTTGTCGGCGACGCCCTTCTCGCCGTCCGAGAGGGTGTTCTTCATCGAGTAGACGTAGTTCTCGAGCGCATTGCGCGCCTCGATCTTCTCGCGCACCTTCTTGTCCTCCTCCGCAAACTCCTCCGCCTCGCTCACCATGCGCTCGATCTCCTCCTGCGACAGCCGCCCCTTGTCGTTTGTGATTGTGATCTTCTCCGACTGCCCCGTCCCCTTGTCCTCTGCGCCGACGTTCAGGATGCCGTTGGCGTCAATCTCGAAGGACACCTCGATCTGCGGCACGCCGCGCGGCGCCGGCGGGATGGAGCCGAGCTCGAACTTGCCGAGCAGGTGGCAGTCCTTGGTCATGGTCCGCTCCCCCTCGAAGACCTGGATCATCACCGCGGGCTGGTTGTCCTGGTAGGTAGAGAAGACCTGCGACTTCTTCGTCGGGATGACGGTGTTGCGCGGGATGAGCTTGGTCATCACGCCGCCCACGGTCTCAATGCCGAGCGTGAGCGGCGTCACGTCGAGCAGCAGCAGGTCCTTCGTCTCCTCTCCGCCCTCGCCGGAGAGGATGCCGCCCTGGACAGCGGCGCCGAAAGCGACAGCCTCGTCGGGGTTGATGCCCTTGTTGGGCTCCTTGCCGTTGAAGAAGTCCTTGAGCAGCTGCTGCACCTTGGGGATGCGGGTGGAGCCGCCGACGAGCACGACCTGTGCAGATGCGTGCGAAGGGATAAACGCCGGGAGGGGGCACAAGGCAGAAGGCAACGGGACGGGGCAGCACCTCGTCGATCTCGCTCTTCTTCAGCTCGGAGTCCTCCATCACCTTGGAGACGGGGGTGAGCGTCTTCTTGAAGAGGTCGATGCAGAGCTCCTCGAAGCGCGCGCGCGTCAGCGTCTCGGAAAAGTCCTGCCCGTCGAAGAGGCCCTCAATCTCCACGCGAACCTGCGACAAAGCGTGGCGGATGGGTGCGTGGCAATAGGTGCGTGGCGGCCGCCTCGGCCGTGGCGTTGAGGCGCGGGTGCGGCGCGGGCTTCGCTTCCGGGGGCAGGCAGGGGTCGCGGGGTCTGGGAAGGGTTGGGGAAGGGTTGGGGAAGGGTTGGGGAAGGGGTCGCCTGGTGCTGCGACGAGAGCGAGCGCTTTGCGCGCTCGACCTCGCGGCGCAGCTTCTGGATGGCGCGCTTGTCCTTGGAGGGGTCGGAGCCGTGCTTGCGCTTGAAGACCTTGAGCATGTGCTGGATGATGCGGTTGTCGAAGTCCTCTCCGCCGAGGTGCGTGTCGCCGGACGTGGCGATGACCTCGAACACGCCGTTGTCGATGGTGAGGAGGGAGACGTCAAACGTGCCGCCGCCGAGGTCGAAGACGAGGATGTTCTTCTCGCCAGACTTCTTGTCGAGGCCGTAGGCGATGGCGGCGGCGGTCGGCTCGTTGATGATGCGCATGACGTTGAGGCCCGCGATGGTGCCCGCATCCTTGGTCGCCTGCCGCTGCGCGTCGTTGAAGTAGGCGGGCACGGTGACGACTGCGCACGGTGAGATGTGGCGGGGTCGGCGAGATGTGGCGGGGTCGGCGAGATGTGGCGGGGAGGGGGTAGGGGGGGGGGGATGCGGCGAGATGCGGCGGGGTGCGACGAGGGTGTGGCCGAGTGCGGCTAGGTGTGCGTGTGGCGAGGTGTGGGGCTTGGGCGGGGAGAGGGGCGGGCGGCGCACCGGCGTTCTTGACGTCCTTGCCGAGGAAGGCCTCGGCCGTCTCCTTCATCTTGATGAGGACCATGGCCGAGATCTCCTCGGGGGAGAAGACCTTCTTGGCGCCCGAGACCTCGACCTCGATCATCGGCTTCCCCTCCTTGGCGACCACGCCGAAGGGCCACAGCTTCATGTCGTGCTGCACCGCCGCGTCCGTAAAACGGCGGCCAATCAACCGCTTGGCGTCGTAGACGGTGTTGGAGGGGTTGAGCGAGGCCTGGTTCTTGGCCGCGTCACCAATCAGCCGCTCGGCGTCCGCGAACGCGACGTACGACGGCGTCACGCGGTTACCCTGGTCGTTGGCGATGATCTCAACCTTGCCATTCTTGTAGACGCCGACGCACGAGTCTTTGCAAAGGGCGGCGCAAGCAGGGTGAGAGGGCCGGCGGCGGAGGGAGGAGGCGCGGGCGCGTCGCGTCACGTAAGCGCGGGCGGGCGGACTGGCTGACTGGCGGGCGGAGGGCCGTGGTCCAGTGCCCGCGGGCCGACTTTGACAGCCTCCGCACAGAGCGCGCGCGCAGAGGGCGGCGCGGGCGGTGTGGGGAGACTCACAGGTGGTCCCAAGGTCGATGCCGATGACCGTGTCGACCTAAGGGGGCGGGACGGCGGGCGTCTAGCCGGCTGGCGGGCCACGCGCCGGCGCGCAAGGGGAGGATTCTCTCAGCGCCGCGGGGTGGTGCCCGCTGGCGCGCTCACCTTCTGCTCGCCCTCCTCGGCGAGGCCGAGAGCCAGCAGCAGCGAGAGCGTGAGGATGCGCAGCATGGTGTCCAAGAGCGCCTACTCGCGTGACGGCGCTGCGTCACAGGCAGGGGGTCAACAGGGGCTAGGCGCCACCGCGGGCGCACGTCTCAAGTCGAGAGCCTTGCACAACACGTGTTCGAGGCTCGCGACAAAAAATACCCCTGCTCCTCAAATCCTTGCTGGGTCGCTGTCCCTTGTCAGGAGCAGGAGAACTAGGAGAGCGCAACCAGTAGGAGGCCCGCGCCTGCCCCCGTGCCGCCGGGTGCAACCTGTCCTATACGAGAGAGGAATCCCGGAATCCCTGGGACCCTGTCGTGTGGGTGAACCCTACCCAGCCCCCCTCCGTGTCGCGATGCGCTCCCCGCTCCCGTTCCCCTGTGTCCCTGATCGTCCTTCTCCAAGATCCTGCTCGTGCAGGTGGGGACCTTGTCCTCCTCCCATCCCTCGTTTGGTTTGTCTGTTCTCTCTCTCTCTCTCTGCACCTTGGCCAATGTTTAGCGTTTAGGCCCAAAAGCCTCTCGAAAGGACAGACCACAGCAAGTCCGTGGCACTGGCAAGAGGTGAAGAGCCACATCGGCGAACACACCTGCTTGGAGCACTTGGAGTGCAGTCGGTAACCTCACATCCAGGGCCGACCTCTGCTGTTGCTTTCATCTCGCGCGATCTGCCTCTTGCGTCTTGGGTCTTGCCAAGAGCCAAGAGGCAAGACCTTGAAGTGGTCTTGCGTAAGGAGATTGGCCGCCCGATAGTGCGGTCTGTGTGCTGGGGCCTTTTCTAGATTTCTACATCTCTAGCTACTCGCGTGACGGCGCTGCGTCACAGGCAGGGGGTCAACAGGGGCTAGGCGCCACCGCGGGCGCACGTCTCAAGTCGAGAGCCTTGCACAACACGTGTTCGAGGCTCGCGACAAAAAATACCTTCCTCCTCCTCAAATCCTTGCTGGGTCGCTGTCCCTTGTCAGGAGCAGGAGAACTAGGAGAGCGCAACCAGTAGGAGGCCCGCGCCTGCCCCCGTGCCGCCGAGTGCAACCTGTCCTACACGAGAGAGGAATCCCGGAATCCCTGTGGGACCCTGTCGTGTGTGTGGACCCTGTTTCTTCTGTTTCAGCCCCCCTCCGTGTCGCGATGCGCTCCCCGCTCCCGTTCCCCTGTGTCCCTGATCGTCCTTCTCCAAGATCCTGCTCGTGCAGGTGGGGACCTTGTCCTCCAGGCCCAAAAGCCTCTCGAAACACGAAAGGACAGACCACAGCAAGTCTGGACTGGGGCACTGGCAAGAGCCATGCGAACACCTGCTCTTGCGAGCCTTGGAGCACTTGGAGCAGCCTTGCTTGTTTTTTTTCACCTCTATAACTCCTGTCCACGTGGCGTGGTGAGGGACTCCGGAAACAAAGCCCATGCATGGGCTTTCAGGAGTCATGGGCTTTCCGGAGTCCCTCACCACGCATGTGCATGTGCATGTGCATGTGCATGTGCATGTGCATGCAGCCTCCCTCCTCAAAGGCGTGCGTGGACGCCGCCGCTTGCCCATTTTTGAACGCCGTGAAGAAGTTAACTTTGGTCATCATGCGTCATGGATGGACACTGATATAAGTCAGCCCCGGTCGGGAATTTCTTCCTCTGACCGAAAGGAACGTTTCTAAATTCTTCCTTTGCCCGAGAGACGCTAGAACTCGTCCGTTCCCCGCGACGTGCGTCCCAGCGAGCGAGACATAACAAAGCAATGAGCCATCGCAGCGAGAGGAGCGACAAGAGCGATGGCACGAGCGCGCCGCCGCCGCGTCCCGCCGCGCCACAGGCGCCGTCTCTGATGTCGAGGCTGAACCACGGCACGACGAGGTCGGGGAGCAACGTACGGAGCAGCGTGCTGAGCGTGCGTGTCCCCTCACCTCCTGCGGCACGGAGCCGGAAGCCTCCTCCTCGCCCCTCGGCCGGCATAGCCAGCTCCTCCGCGCAGCGCAACCGGGCGAGGGGCCGCCTGCGACTCCCCCCGCCGCCCGAGGGCTCCTTCACGGCCGAGGGGCCGCAGCTCTCCTCGCTGCGGGAGGACGAGCAGGTCTCGCTGCCCTACCCTTCTGCGGACTGGGAGAGCGAGTCGGGCAAGGAGGCGTGGGCGGCGAGAGGGAGGCGGGTCATGGTGGCCTTCTTGCTGTCGGCGCCGCTCCTGCTCACGCTGCTGCTCCCAAAGTCGATTGACGAGCAGCACAAGCTCAACCACGCGACCGTGGCGGCGGCCAACTACATTGGCGACGCCTCGTTTGCGCTGACCGGATCGCTAGCGGCGGGCATGGAGGGGATGGACCTGCTCGGATGCATCATCGTCGGCTTCATCACCGCCCTCGGCGGCGGCACGCTCCGCGAATTGTTCCTTGGCAAGACGCCCATCTTTTGGCTGCACGACGAGGCGGCCGCCTAGCACCGCCGCTCGCAGCTCCTGGCACCTCTCGCCAGCACACCCCTCCTCCCAGCTTAACCCCCTCCCCACAGGCGGCTTGCCGGAGCGAGTACTTTTTGTGCGTCGGCACGTCGACGCTCGCCTTTTTCCTCTGGCCCTCGCTCTCGCGGTGGCGCTGCCACTCGCTTCCTTCCCTGCCCTCCCCGCCCCGCCCCCGCCCCTCAGCGTCGCCTCCCGCCCCGGCCGCGCAAGGCGCCTCAAGCTCACCACCGCCGATGAATGGCTCTTTTGGACCGACACCGTCGGCTTGGGCGTCTTTGCCGCGAACGGAGCCCTCGCCGCCGCCGTGCTGACGCCGCGCATCCACGGGGTGGCGTGCGCCTGCTGCGGCATGTTCTCCGCGACATTCGGAGGGCTCACGCGCGACGTGCTGCTGGGGCGGCCTCCCAGAATCCTCTACGCCGAGGCCGACCTGTACGCGACGCCCCCCTTCATCGGCGGCCTCGCCACCGCGATGCTGGTGCGCATGGACCCGGAGCGGGAGGCCGACTCGGTGATGCTCGGCTTCTTCGTGACGGTGCTGCTGCGGGTGCTGGCGTACAACGAGCCGGTCCGGCTGCCCGTCTTCCCCGCCTCCGCCATCTACTCTGTCGATCAGCGGCAGAAGAGCCGCTTCTTTGGCGAGCCGTCCACGGCGAGGCAGGCGAGCCGCTGGCTCTCAAACGCGTCGGTGTACGACTCGACGGTCTACGACTCGATGGTCAGCTCGGTGTGCGACGCGGTGATGGCCAAGGCGGGCCAGTCGTCGCGCGCGTCCTTTGTGCCCTCGACCTTCCGGCAGCCTCTCGCGCCCGACGCCGCCAGGGGGAGGGAGTCGAGGTGCCACCTCAAGGGCGCCATCTCTGCGGTCCAAGCGGTGAACAAGGCGCGCGCGCCGCCCCCCGACGCCCCAACCGCGAGCGCCGCCCCCACCGCCCTCTGAGCTGACACGCCCGCTCGCCCGCAGTTGCGCCGCGGGCTGGCCTCCTGCCCCGAGCACGAACCAGCCGAGCCGACGGACGCGGTCCCGCCCTTCATCTCTGGACCCGGGGCCTTGGGGGCCTTGGTGTAGGGCGCGGTGGCGTACAGCGGTACAGGAGGGGTTGCGCGGGGTGGGATCCGGGGCGAGCTGTGCTGTGGAAGCTACATCGTTGCCGCTGCTTAAGCGGGGGTTTAAAAGGAAGCGCATTGAGATCGGGCGCTGCGCCCCTAATAACGGCAGTATTGGACAATTTGGAGAAACCAACGGCGCGGAACCCAGCGACGCATGCCGGCGAGGCCGATTTTCTTAAATGGTCTTAAAAGAGGGACCCCCCGTGCCTGCAATCTCTTAAATGGCAAGTTAAGCCCCCAAACCTCCTCGTTTCTTAAAAGGTCTTAAAAAAATCACCTTGTGATTTTTGGGTCAAAATCGTCCCGATTTCATAATGTTCGTTCGTACGTGCATCCGCGGCGCCCAGCGCGGTGCCAGCGGCTCCCATACCTCTAAGAGGCCACCCACCTCCGTATAGACCCTTATATCCGCGGTTTACGCCCAATAGAGGCAGCTGCAAGAGGGCCCGGACGGGCACTGCGGCACACACTGCTCGCTGCTCGGCCATGCGGTAGCGTCCGGTGATGCCGCCCCTGCGCGGGCGGGGGCGTCTCGCTCGGCAGCAACTGCGCCGCGCAGCGCAGGTTCGAGGGTCGCGGTGGGTGGGTGCACTGGAAGACGTAGCGGTCGAGAAAGCGCTCAGCGACCGCTACGTCTCGAGGATGGAGCCGTCGCGCGGACCCGACCGGCCGACCGGCAGTAGCAGCAGGCGCCGGAGGGCGCGGGAGGCAGCGGCGACACCTCGGGCCAGAAGCGCGAGCCCTAGGCTGGTGAGGGGGCCCGCTCATGCGTAAACGGCTCTGGGACTTAGCTAAATCGCGCATCGAAATCGGGACGATTTTGCCAGGGCACCGTCACAAGGTGTCGGCCCCTCAGAACCCTAGCCCGTACTAGCCTAGGCCCTAGGGGTCCCCTAAGGCGCGCCGCGACACAGGACGTCCGACGCGTCTCTCGCTTTTTCAAAGACCTTGTTATTGAGAAGGAAATACGTCGTGTGGCGCTGTGCGCTGGTTCACATGGTGTCATGAGATCCTCCCCGTTTCATTCGTCCGCCACACGGCCGCCCGCCTCCGACACGCGCCCGCGAGCCCCCCGCCGAGACGCTCCGCGCCGCGGTCCGGCCACGTACACGAGGTGACTTGGACCACGCTGTGGAGGCTGGTGAAATAAATAAATAAAACGGACATCCCAAGCTAGGGCTGGGTCGAGGACAGACACGTCCCCACCTTTGCAGGATTTTGCAAAAGCGAGGGGGGAGGGCGCATCGCCGCGTGGAGAGGGCTGGGCACAGGGCACAGGGGATCTCTCTCGCATAGGATACACACGCGGGGGCACGAGGGCAGGGCTGGGCGCCCTATTTGTGGGGCTGGTGAGCTTGCCTGCGGCGAGGGCGGGGCGAATATATGTATTTTCTTCTTTTGCCATCCGTCCGAGAAGACTTGACAGAGACATGCGTAACGGGAGGCTCGCTGGCTTTTTGCGGCTTTTTGGACGGCTTTTTTGGATTCTCCCGCCCTCCCACCCCTCTCTTGGTTTTTTTTTTGCCATCCGTCCGAGAAGACTTGAGACATATGCCTGGAGCGGAATAGGGATGCTCAACCGCTCCACGCCACGCCGCTTGCGGCGGTCCTATTCTCAGCCGGTGTGGCAGCTGGTTTTATTTTTTTCACGCTGTCGGCTTGACTTTCAGTCCAGAGACATGCGTGGAGAGCTAGCGGCCGTGCGGAAGGACGCAGAGGCGAGGGCGAGCGCAGCGGCCAGCGCGCGCGCACACGCAAAGGAGCTGACTGCTATGCGGCTCGGATCCGATGAGACTGCGTCCTCGCCAGACGACGTGCCAGACGACTCCTCGGACGCCTCGTCCGTCTTCAAGGTCGAGCACCACATGGCAGCCGAGGCCAGCCCAGCCGACCTGCGTCGCCGCGAGCAGGCTGCCACCACAACACACCCTTTCCCCCCAACCTCCGCTTTGAGAAACACCACCTGCGCCTGCGCAGGCGCTACGGAGAAGGGAGGCGACCGTTGCCGCGAGAGAGGCGGCGCTGCGACGACGAGAGGCTGCCAGCGCCAGCGGCGACAGCCAACGAGTCGCATCGTCGCACGCCGCAATCGTGCAGGCCCTCGAGTGCGTTAGGCGCAACCTCCGCACCGCTGACCCGCTGTAGACCCGAGCCCGTGCCGCTGCTGTGTTCGGCCGAGCCGCTGGCAATCTGGCACCCCGGCTGCGTGCGCGGCCGTCGCATAGTGTATACGCGCAGGATGGGGCGGCTCTTTGGCTGCCTGTCACAAATGTTTCCCCCGGCCTCGCTCCTTCGCGGTACGTGTACGTGTCATCCACACTGGTCACACACGTGCGTCGACGTGAGGAGCGGCTAGAGATGTAGAAATCTAGAAAAGGCCCCAGCACACAGACCGCACTATCGGGCGGCCAATCTCCTTACGCAAGACCACTTCAAGGTCTTGCCTCTTGGCTCTTGGCAAGACCCAAGACGCAAGAGGCAGATCGCGAGATGAAAGCAACAGCAGAGGTCGGCCCTGGATCCGTGGATGTGAGGTTACCGACTGCACTCCAAGTGCTCCAAGCAGGTGTGTTCGCCGATGTGGCTCTTCACCTCTTGCCAGTGCCACGGACTTGCTGTGGTCTGTCCTTTCGAGAGGCTTTTGGGCCTAAACGCTAAACATTGGCCAAGGTGCAGAGAGAGAGAGAGAGAACAGACAAACCAAACGAGGGATGGGAGGAGGACAAGGTCCCCACCTGCACGAGCAGGATCTTGGAGAAGGACGATCAGGGACACAGGGGAACGGGAGCGGGGAGCGCATCGCGACAAGGAGGGGGGCTGAAACAGAAGAAACAGGGTCCACACACACGACAGGGTCCCACAGGGATTCCGGGATTCCTCTCTCGTGTAGGACAGGTTGCACTCGGCGGCACGGGGGCAGGCGCGGGCCTCCTACTGGTTGCGCTCTCCTAGTTCTCCTGCTCCTGACAAGGGACAGCGACCCAGCAAGGATTTGAGGAGGAGGAAGGTATTTTTTGTCGCGAGCCTCGAACACGTGTTGTGCAAGGCTCTCGACTTGAGACGTGCGCCCGCGGTGGCGCCTAGCCCCTGTTGACCCCCTGCCTGTGACGCAGCGCCGTCACGCGAGTAGGCGCTCTTGGACACCATGCTGCGCATCCTCACCTCACGCTCTCGCTGCTGCTGGCTCTCGGCCTCGCCGAGGAGGGCGAGCAGAAGGTGAGCGCGCCAGCGGGCGCCGGGTGGCGCTGACTGAGAGAATCCTCCCCTGCGGCGAACGCGACCAGCGCGCCGGCGCAATATTTGCCGCAAGCAGTTCTTCACACCCGGGCAGCGTGCGTGTTGCACCTGCACAACATGCACATCTCCAACATGTCGGCCCGGTCCTGAGCCTGCGGCGCCGCAGCGTGATGGAGCCCACGTCGGCCCGGTCCTGCGCCATCTGCGGCGCCGCCTTCCCCAGCCGCAACGCGCTTTTCCGCCATCTCTCCGAGGCGTGCGCTCCTGGCCTGCGGCGGGAGAAGGTGCCTTCGCAGACGGTGCTGCTCGCTCTCGGCTATGTCGGCAGCGGCTTCCACGGCTCCTCCCTCTTGTCGGACGCCGACGAGGCGCAGCGGCCGACCGTCGAGGGCGCTGTCCTCGCTGCAGCGCGAGGCGCCTGGCCGGGTGTGCCTTGCGTCCTCTGCGCCGCCGCGAGGACGGAGAAGGGCGTTCACGCGCTCGAGACGCTGTTCGCCCTCAACGCCAAGCCCGTGTTCGGCCCGCTCGACCTCGCAGCTCTCGAGGCGCGGCTCGCGGCTCTGGCTCCGGCGGTCGTGCTGCTCGCCCCGCCCGTGGTCGTGCCGAAGCCGTACGACGACCTCGGCCGGGCGGCGCGGCGGCTCCAGTACGCGGCGGTCCTCACCTACCGCCACCTCCTCCGTGCGGGCGGAGAGGCGGCGCCGCGCGTAGAGGAGGAGCCAGAGGAGTGGGGGGAGGAGTCCGCCACAGAGGCGTGGTGCTGCGCGCTCGGCAGTGGCTCCGGTGGCGACAACGGCGGCGGCGGCGGCGGCGGCGGCGAGTCGGCCGGGCTACCTGCGTGGGCGTGGGTCGCAAATCTTCCGAACGGGCGCACCGAAGCCGACGTGGAGGCGCTGCTGCTGGAGGCGTGCGGCGCGGCGGCGCTGTGCGTCCGGCTGCCTCGCTGCGGCGGCTACGCGGCGGTCCAGCTCAGCTCGGCGGAGGAGGCTGCGCGCTGCGTGTGCGAGCTCGACGGGCTTGCGTGGCGGCGGTCCGACCTGCCGCTGGTCGCGATGGGGCTGCGCGAGGCGCCTGTCCCGATCCGGCGGCCGGGAGGAGGAGCCGGGTTGCGAGCCTTCACGGACCTTTCCTGCAGGCGCTAGCCAAGCTGCAGGTGAGAGGTGGCCGAGAGGTGGCCGAGAGGTGGCCGAGAGGTGGCCCAATATATCCTAGCTGGAGGCGCCACCGCGCCGTCGAGGTGCAGCGCTGTGGAGCCGTCTAGGAGCCTGCTCGGAGCCTCCCTGCAGGTGCACCGCGCCGTCAAGGCGGCCTTGCGCCGAATCTGTTGCCCGCCGCATTTGGCGACCCGGCCGCGCGCGCGCGACTTTCGCAACTGCGTCGACCCTGCCAAGCTCAGGCCGGGCGGCGGCTGCACGCGGCCGCTCGGCCGCTGCTACTCTGGGATCCAGCAGGACGTGCGGCGGGAGGGCGAGTGGCGGCTGAGCCACGGCGCGGTGCTGCGGTTCGGCGCAAAGGACTTTGCGCCCCAGCAGGTGCGGCGGCTGGTCGGCGCGGTGGCTGCGGTCGTGCGGGGGGACGAGCCGCCCGCGTACTTGGACAGGCTCTTCGAGGGCGGCGCGCCGCCGCTCCCGGCGCCGCCCGCGCCGGCCGAGGTCCTCTTCCTCGAGCGAGTCGAGCTGGGGCCCGCGTGGGGGGGGTGGCGCTCTCTGGTCCAGGTGGACGCCGCCCGCAGGGAGACGCACCGCGCGAGGCTCATCGAGGAGGTCGCCGCGGCGTGCGAGCGAGGCGGGCCCGTCGAGCGCTTCTGCGCGTCGCTGGGCGCGGGAGCGACGCGCGCCGCGGCGAGCGAGCGGCTCGGCGGCGCGGCGGCGCGCGGCGAGCTGTCGGCGATTGAGGCGAGCCTCTCTGACGGCGGCCGCGTCGAGGCGAGGAACGAGTACGGCCAGACGGCTCTCTTTCGGGCGGCGGCGGCGGGCAGCGCGGCCGCCGTCGCGCGGCTGCTCGAGCTGGGCGCCGACACCGAGGCGCGCGCCAACGGAGGCGCCACCCCGTGCCTCGCCGCGTCTGCCGGCGGCCACTTGCAGGCGTACCGCTTGCTCGAGGCGGCGGGCGCTTGCACGGACGCCGCGGGGCCGCGGGGCGTGCGCGCGTGCGACTATGCGGCGCAGGCGGAGCGGCGCGAGGGCGGCGCCTCCCTCCCCCTTCCCGCCTTTCCGCCCTCCCGCCTCCCTCCCGCTCCGCCTCTGGCTCCCGCTCCGCCTCCGGGCGCGGCGGTGGGGCGGCTGCTTGAGGCGGGAGGTGCCTCGCACCCGGGAGCAGGCAGCTGCACGGTCGACAACGCGCTCCCGCCCGAGGCGCTCGAGCGCTTGCTCGCGCTCTGGCGCTCGCTGCCCGTCGCGATCAAGGACAAGGACTCGCCGATCGAGCGCTCCTACCTCTTCGACTCCGAGGGCTGGCTCACCGGCTTGCTCACCGCCGCGGCCGCAGCCGCGGGCTTGCGGTGCGTCGCGCTGCCGGGCGTGCGCTTCCTGCACTACCCCGAGCCGGGCGGGCACCTCCCGCCGCACGTCGACTTGCCGCGCTGCACCGCGGGCGGCGCAAAGTCGACGCACACCTTTCTGCTCTACCTGACCGGCTGCGGCCGCGGAGGAGAGACGCTCCTGCTCGAGGAGAGGGAGGGAGATGCAGCGCTGGCGCGGATGGGCGGCGTGGCACCCGGCCCGCGCGCCACCCTCGAGGCGGTGCGGCCGCGCGAGGGCCGGCTGCTGCTCATGCCGCACGCGTGCCCGCACGCGGCGGCGCCCACCATTGACACGCCAAAGCTCCTGGTCAGGGGCGAGGTGAGGGTGTTGGCGTGAGATCTCTGAGGCCCGCGCCTAGGCCCGCGCCCCTTCCCCCGGATAAAACAAACCGGAAGGCCCGACACCAGCAAATAAGTCCACCTCTCCTAAGGTGTCGTTTTTATATTGATTTATATTTCCACCATAAATAAATAAATAAAAACGGACACCTCTCTACTGTGAGATGGGTAAAAAGGAACAGGCCCCCGCCCTTGCGATCTTTGTGCAGGGTTCTTTGTGGGTGTGGTCGGCGGCTAGCAGGCTGCAGGGGTCGTCCTCCCGATGGGGGACTAGCACTAGCCGTCTTCCACATGGTCCCTCGGGTCCCTGCTGCTCCTAATCTCTTCGTACATCCTCCTGCTGATCTCCGCAAAGTCCTGCTCCCTCCCTCGTCTCGCCCTGCGCGTCTGCTCCGCCTCACCGTCTTCTGCCCTGCGTCGTCTGGCGACGGGTCCTCCATAGTCGGTCGAGGTCGCCGCCCTCCTCGTGCCTCTTCCCAACGTTCCCTCGGCGGCCGATGCCGTCTGCTCCGGCTCCCCAGTCCCCGGGTCTCCCCTGCTCTCGTCTGCGCTAGTTTCTGCATATTTCCACCAGCACAAAGTCTCTCTACTGAAAAACTACTCTCCAGCCACTCCACCACCCTCGCCCAGGGATCTACAATGTGCTGTCTCAAGGTTCGGCACCCAGGGATCTACAATGTGCTGTCTCAAGGTTCGGCACCGGGCACCGCCTCGTCGGTACATACAAAATGCGCCTGCGGGCGCGGAGAGCCGGACCCTTTTTTCTTCTACTCCCTACTATCCTCTCGTTCCTGTCATACAGAACCCCTTTGGGGGGGACTTTGCTGGCGATCTGTGATCTGAAGAAAGCAAAGAGGAGCTCGATGAGCTATCCAAATCTCCAAATGCACTTGGAGCACTTGGAGTGCAGTCATTAACCTCACTCACATCCAGGGCCGGGGAGCTAAGAAGCGCACCCAGCGGGCCGGATGATCGGGATCGGGCTACGGGCTAGAGAGCCCTGACCCCTAGGGGAGGGTGCGCGTTCGCAGGGAAAGGGCCGTAAAGTAAACACGGGTCTCCGAGGGTTAGCGCCAAATATTCAAATTTCGGACTTCTCCGTGCGTCCTCGGTCTCTTGGCGAGTTGGACCACCGCACCAGCAAGAAATCGCCTCCCCATGCCGAAGCTACAGCACGCCAACCACGCCAGCAGCTTCCGCCACGGCCAACACCACGTGCAGCAAATAACCGACTTGCTCGGCTGGCCAGAGCTCGTCGACCCGCCGGTGAACGGCTCCTACTACAATGACGCAGTAGACGACCACTCGGCCTCTGTGGCAGCGGCTACTCGTCGCTGGTCGCAGCGGTTCTACGTTGATGAGCGATTCTGGTGCGGCGGCGCATGTCCAGTCTTCCTTCTCATCGGCGGCGAGGGGCCTCAGGGCCCTCCGACTCCGCGGCTGCTGCTCTGGCACCTCGCTCGAAAGCACAGCGCCTTGATGCTCGCAATCGAGCACCGCTTCTATGGCGAGAGCCGCCCAACCGATAGCCTGACCGTCTCCTCTCTACGCCTGCTCACCTCTGGGCAAGCGCTCGCAGACATTGTCCGCTTCATCGGGTACGTGTCCTCGGTGGAACCAGGCGTACCCGACGGCAGCTCGTCGCCTCCCCTTCTCTTGAAGCGCGGAGCCGCGCGCGGTGCGTGGGTCGCCTTTGGTGGAAGCTACGCAGGTGCGCTGACAGCGTGGCTAAAGCTCAAGTACCCCTGGGCTGTCACCGCCGCCGTCGCCTCGTCTGCGCCAGTGTACCCTCTCTTCGATTTCCGGCAATACGCGCAGGTAACTGGCTCAGCTTTGGCGTACTCGCCGATCGGGGGCTCGCAAGCGTGTCTTGGCGTCCTACACGCCGGAGCCGAGGAGCTCGCTGTCGCGGTGTCCGGCGGGGCGCTGGCTCTTCGCTCGCGACGCTGCCCGCTGCCAGCGGCGCTGTGCCCGTGCACGAGTGCGGAGACCCGCCTTGACACCGCGGCTTACTACAGTTCGATCCTGGCGCAGTTTCAGAGTGTCGCGCAGTTCAACCAGCAGGGCCGCTTCCCTGATGTTGCCGATGTTTGTGAGGTGACTCTCAGCGCTTGGAAGTGGTATGGCGGAGGCGGAGGCGGACCGGGTGGAGGGGGTGGAGGGGGCAGCAGCTCTGCGCGCCCCTGGACTGGATGCGCCAGCTCGCAGCGCACGACGGTGTCGCGCATCCAGTGGCTGCCCACACAGTCGGCTGCGTCGCCAGGCGACTCGAACTCGACGACAAGCCGGCCAGGCTCGCGCCCAATCGAGAGGATCGTGCCGCGCGTGCAGAGGGGCAGCAGCAGCCGCTCGACCTCGCCCAGGGCCACGTCTAAGGGCGGGCCCAGCAGGTGGCAGAGGCCGCGCAGGCCCGTCGGCCCGTCAGCGTCCGGATAGCGTGCCGGGGGACATTCCATTCCCGGCGCAGCGGCGACGCGCGCCGCCTAGCTCTGCACCGGGAATGCCCCGGGAGCCAGTAATGATGCTGCACCTCCTATTCCGAACGCGCAAAACTTTTACCAAAAGCGCACATACTTAAGCAGTTTTCCCGGCGCTATCCGGCGGCAGGGCGGAAGTTGAGGCTCGTTGTGCGGCGCCGCGAGTGCAGGCCTCTTGCAACCTCGATAAAAAAGATTTCTTGGTGCTGTGTCCGTGTTAGCTCCGTCCGAGTAGAGGGGGCGTTCTGCATGCAGTTAATTAAGGAAGGGGAACCCCGGTACACGAATTCCGGTACACGGAACTAACCCTCGCTCGGAGACACGTGTTTACTTTACGGCCCCTTCCCTGCGAACGCGCACCCCCCAGGGCTAGGGCTCTCTAGCCCGTAACCCGATGCCAATCATCTCACATGGATACCCATCACTGAGCCGACAATGCTACGGGTAGCCCCAGGGTGGCGCCCACCCCCATGCCCTCTGGCACTTGCCTGCGCCCTCGCGCACTAGCCCACGCCCTGCCCCGCAAGATCTCACTCCATCCCGGCCTGTGGCATACCTCGGCACCCCCTTGCACGGAATCTGAGCGTGAGGGAATCTGAGTGTGAGGGAATCTGAGCGTGAGGGAGGCGCTCGAGCCGGCGCGCAGTGGAGGGGGCGCCGCGCAGGGGGATCGGGGGGGTGCGAGAGGGGGCGTGGGTCGGGCGCGCACCGGCCGGCTCCGGGAGCGGCCGTCACGTCGAAGAGGGGACCTGGTGCTGCTCGAATGACGACGCATGCCGCTCTGCTGCGCCGCCGATAGCCCCTCTTCCGAGCCGGCGCGTGGCGGCGAGCCGCGGCCAGTATCGCTGGTGCGGTGGAGGCGGCAGCTTGCATCGGCCGGCAGCGGGTGCGGCCATCACGTCGATGAGGGGGGGTTGTCGGCGACTCGTGTGGCTCGAGGCCTACGCTGCGCCGCCCAAGCCCTACTGCCGATCCAGCGCCTGGCGTTTGGGGCGAGCCGCGGTCGTCGTCGCTGATGGTATATGGCGGCGGCGGCGGCGGCTCGCCCTTCCCTCCGGCCGCAATTCCCGCCGCGCTCGCGGGAGGTGGCGCGCCCACCGCGGCACGGCCGTGGCTGCGCATACACCTTACGCCCTTTCTCCTCAACGGCTATCCGTGCTTGCTGTGCCCCTGCGTGGTGTGTTTCAAGTTCTTACAACCCAAGGTGATAGAGGGCAAAAAGATCGATTGCGCTCTTGCCGATCCGCACCTACCTAGGCTCTTGGGTGGCGCGCCCCAGTCTTCACAGCGAACCTGGTTTCTTCGCGGAACGAGCGGCACGGCCTCTCCGTTGGTGGTGATTTACGATGTGCAAGGCCGTGACGCCCAAGGTGCTCGCGAGGAACAACGACCTGCCGATCCGCACGGAGCAGCCGATCCACAGCGGCAAGGTGCGCGCCGTGTACTGGCTCACCGCCGCCGATAGCGCGCGGCTGATTGCGGAGCGCAAATATGACGTCGCGCCCGATGCGAGCCTCGCTGTGATGGTCATCTCCGACCGGATCTCTGCGTACGAGATCATCTGGAAGGGCGAGGATGGACTCGACGGCGTGCCCGGCAAGGGCGCCGCGCTCAACGCCATCTCAAATCACTGGTTCGACCTCTTCAAGCAGTGAGCCGCTTGCCAAGATTCCTGCTGAGGCGCCGCACACGCCGTCGCCTAAGCCCGCCCGCGCGCGCACGCAGGCGCGGCCTCGCCTCCTCACACATCCTCGAGGTGCCGCACCCGCTGGTGTGGATTGTGCAGCGCGCGCAGCCGGTGATGATTGAGGCCATCTGCCGCCAGTACATCACCGGCTCGATGTGGCGAGACTACGCAAAGGCGGTGGCCCCCCGCGCGCCTCGCGCCTCCCCTCTCACGCCGCATCCGCCGCGAGGCGCACCCCTCCGCCTCGCCTCGCCTCACGCCGCTCCGCCGCCGCCTCCCAACCCCCGCGCAGGGCAGCCGCACGTTCTGTGGACTCAACTTGCAAGACGGGCTGACTCGCGACCAGAAGCTGCCCGGTGCACGCTGCCCCCTCTGCCCCCCCCCCCCCCCCCCCCTGGTCGATGAGGACAGCACGCGGGCCAGCCAGCCCTTTCGTAGCGCTGCGAGGCGCCGTGACGGCTCATTCTTCGGAATGAACGCTTGGCAACTGAGACTCCACAACCCCCCCACATCCCGCCGGCCCCGCTTGGCTCTGCCGATCGCCCCTCGACTCCTCCGCCCACCACCCGCACTCCCGCCCCGTCGGACAGAGCTGCTCGTGACCCCCTCCACCAAGGGCATCCTCACCGGCATCCCGGTGCGCGCCACCACCACACGCCACGCGCCACGCCACACGCCACTACCGCACGCCACTACCAGGCGAGCAAACCGCACGCCACACGCGCAAGCGCGTCGCACAGCCACCGCCGCAGCCTGTCTGAGCGTCGCGGGGTCGCTCGCGCCCCACGGCGCATTTTTTCGGCTGCCAGACTGAACACTGATCAAGCCAGGCTCTGGCAAGGGGCCGTGCGAACCCCGTCACGGCTTCTTATGCTTTGCCCTGGCACAGCCCGCGCACCACCTCGCCCCTCCCTCGGACGCGCCAAGCAATCCCAACCAGCAACCCCGAGGCGCCGCCCGCCGCCCCGCCGCAGGGCGTGCCCGAGCAAGACGACGTCAACGTCTCCCGCGACGACATCACCGCCCACTTCGCAGAGTTTGGCTTCGCCTCGCCGGCGGACGTCGACGTGTACGAGCGCCTCCTGAAGCAGGGCTTCGAGGCGATCAGCGAGGCGCCCTCTGCCCGCCTCCACCAAGCAGCGCCCTCCCCGCTTCGGCCCCGGACCCCGCCTCCCCTCGCCCTTCGCCCACCCCTTCCCGCCGTGGCCAGGCGCTGGCGGGCCTCGACCAAATCTTTGTCGACACAAAGTTTGAGTTTGGGTACGCGACCAATGCTAAGGGGGAGAGGCAGCTCATCTACATGGACGAGGTCGGCACGCCCGACTCGAGCCGCATCTGGGAGGGGGGGCCGTACCGCACCGACGGCCGTGTGGTCGAGAAGTCGAAGGAGGAGTTCCGCAAGCTGCTGCAGGGCCACTTCCCTGACCCGGACATCCTGCTCAACAAGAACCGGATGGAGGAGAGGCAGGCGCTCGACACGACGCTGCCGTGCGCATTCCTCGAGGCGGTCTCGAAGACGTGCGCCGCGCCACTCGCGCACAGCCCCGCACCGTGGCGCGGCGGCATCGTATGAGAGCTCTGTCCCTCCGCGCCGCAGGTACGTTGGCCTGGCGGAGAAGATCACGGGCAAGCCGCTGCCCGTGTCGGAGGACCCGCGCAGCGAGATCATCGCCGTGCTGCGCGACCAGTTTGGCCTCATCCGGGACTGAGGCGCGTCTACGTGACTTGCCCGCCACCCTCTGCATTCGGCCCTTCTCGGTCGTCTCGCTCGTCTGTTCTATCCTTGTACTCGAGTACTGTAGTCCATCTCTCTCTTTAGCCGGTGTCGCGGTACTCAATATAGCATGTTTCTTGTTGCAGTCTTGTTCGGTTTGGGTAATGTCCCCACGATCTCAGCTCTCTAAAGCTTACACACCCGCGGACACACGCTGAGCAGCGCCTCTGGTGACCTGCACCTGGTGAGTGGTGTGTGGTCTGCACTGCGATCACACGTGAGTCTCGTGACCAGCCATCAGCCTGTGAAACAGCAAACCCGGACAGCGCCTGAGCTGGGACAGTGCCCGACAGCGTTGACAGCAGGGTGAAATTCTGAAAAACGTGCAGCACTTCTAGCCGACATCGACAAAAGTCACTCTCTAGCCCCGCGGCGAGCGGCCCCGCCGGAGGCGAAGAAAATTTTGCCATCTAGCGCTCTCTAACACACATTTTTGCACAAATCGACGCCTCCAAACAAATTCAATAAGACTGGTCTTCACTGCAGCACGCCTCGAGCGAGTAATGCGTCTGTAGGCCAATATAATAGAGCTTCTCGCGCGCGCTCCTCAGCTGGCGGTCCGCAGGGCCGCCCGGGCCGGGCGAGAAGCGCAAGCCCGCCAGCCGCACCATGTGATTCACGATGATGAGCGTCTCGGCCTCGAGCAGCGTGTAGGAGCGAAGCTTGCCCTCGCACTCGCGTTGCTCGAGCCTGAGCCACTGCGCCTTGACCACGAGATAGCCCGCGGGGATGGTGTCGGTGTTGACGACCGTGTCCTCGGCCAGCGTGTACGCCTTCCCCTTGAGCACCGCCAGCCAGTAGAGCCCCTCGAGCGACTGCTCGCGCCGATCTGCGCGGCGACAGCGGCCTGGACAAGTCCGGCCAAGTCGGTTACGGGGAGGGCTACTACGAGGTCTTTGCGCGGGGGTGGTCGGGCGCCAGGCGCCCAGTCGATTGCCGCATAGTTCGTCGTAGTAGCCCTATCATAAACCTCTTATTCACACCTTGCACTTTGAAAAAAGAAATATCCGACCTTTGTCGAAGATCCGGAGGGTTTATCAGAGCATCACCCAGCACGTTCTCTGACAGCCTGACAGAGCACGTCTCTGCGGCAGTCTGTGACAGCAGAGTCTGACATCCGAGGGGCTCCTTCGCTGCGCAGCGGCCCTAACGTGACCGACACAGCACTGTTGGGTTGAGGCACCTGACAGCGCCTGACAGTGCCTGACAGCCCGACAGATCACCTGACAGCACCTCAGGCACCGGGCGCGAACCGCGAAGCGCGAACCCCCCGCCATGGTGATCGCTGTGCGGCCCACACGCGCGCGGCCGCGGCCGGCGGTGTCGGGCGCCGCAGGTATTTGAAAAGTCCGAAACAGAATTTTTTCACTACCCCTGCGCAGCTGCACCGGCCACCGCCTGAATCCAGCTCTGGAGCCGCCGGGCGCGCGCATGCGGCTTCTCCCGTTCTGCAGTGTGCGGCGAGGACACGGCGACCCCAAAGGACATGCTCATCGTCTCGTACGGAATGGTGTATTGCGCCATCGGCGTTTCGTAGCTACCCCAGCTATCGATGCCGCCGACGCCCTGATGAGTCGGCGGGGGGGCAGGGGCAAACGTGCCTCAGTGAGCCCTCAGCAGTTGTGGGCAGTGAAACAGGCTGAAGGGTGCAAGAGGCCCTAGACTCACCTGCTGCGCTCGGTCCACGTGTAGGAACGTCTCGTTGCGCGGGCGCAGATCGGACGTGTGCCGTGACAGCAGAAAGTTCGTCGCGCCAAAATCGTCGTCACTAAAGTGGTGCGCGCTCAGCCCAAACTGCGATGGGTCGAGTCCCACAAGGAGCACCTAATGGACCAGGCTAGGCAGGTGAAAAGCGCGTCCCTCCGAGGATATGGCTCGCTTCCCACGAGAGCAACCTTAACGCCGTCGGTGCGCTCCACCGTAGCGTACGAGACCTCTTCACGATGCCCGTTCTCCTGCGAGGCGGCCCTCCCTCAGTGAGTGACGGGGCGGCATGCGGGGGTGGTCGGTGACAGACATTCCTGCGGCCGCAAGTACGGGACCGTCATGTTGAGGATCGGTGCTGCGTGCAGCCCAAGCCGCGATCCACGCTTGCGGTCCCAGTAGTTCTCATTGGGTCCGCGGCCGAGCCACTCTAGCTCTCGCATGCCGCCGGTCAGGGCAAAGCGCACGCCAAAGCGCGGCAGATTAGGCAGAGGCGACGTGCGGCGCCTCAATGTCTGGCTCACGAGCACCTCACCGCCTTGTCCCACGGTGTAGCACGTCTGAACCAGCGGCGGCTCTTTGTGCAGGGCTGCGATGGGTTCCGTCGTGGCGCACCAACGCAGTGCGCTCGACTCCAACCCATCCCACTTTACCTCTTCTAGCGAGCTGTTGAGCAGCCGCACTGGCCCGCGCTCGAGGGCGAGCCACGCAACGGTCGTGCCGGTGGGCTTTGACGTTCCGAGGTCATTGTCGGTAGGCGGCCTCCAAAAGGCAGCCTCAAGTGGAGCGTGCAGCAGCTCGAAGCCACCGATGACCCAGGATCGCAGCCGACCTGTCTCTCCGTCGATGCCCAAAGTCCACGCCTCCCCACCGCTGCCTCCACCGCCACTGAGGAGGTGCATCCCGGTCGTCTCGGTGTGGGTAATTGCGAGCTCGTCTGACACCGGGCGGCTAGCGGCTTCGACTGTTCCCGCCCGCCAATCGAGCTCGAACTGGTCCCACGCCACCTCATGGCCGGCTGGCAGCAGCGCCGTCGCGTCGCGAAGCACGAAACGCACCTACGGACAGGGACGCACACGTAGAGTCGCCGTCGAACTCTGCAATTCGGTGGGACAGCACTCGCGAGCCTCAATGACGCACGAGAAGATCGCGCCCGTGTCTGGCGAGGTGCACTCCGAGCGCAGCCAGTTGGCCGAGAAGCCCTCTGGCAGTGCGAGCAATCGGCAACACCCTCGACCAAACCTTGCTCCAGGTTCTTGGGTGCAAAGAGCGCGGCCACAAGTCACAGGGCCCGCTCGTCCATGCGACCGGTAAAGGCTGGGTCAAAGGGCACAAGGGACAGTACTACGACGCGCTCCATGTCAAGAACGGAATCGTCAAAATTTGTCTCGTCGAAAGCGCCAGGGCGGCATCGCGCCGCCGACCAAGAGAATCATCTTCAACTTCGCCAAAGAGGTCGGCAGCCCGAGCGCCGTCGACCGCACCGACTACGGCACAGCCTCTCCGGCAGCGCCCGGGGCTTTGTCCAGCACCACTCGCAACAGCTCTCGCGCGCCGCCGTCTTTGGCGACGCGCAAAACATCAACAACGCTGCTCGCAACATGCGTGTCGCGCACTCATTCATGACCGGTCTCAATGCCCCACCCCCCTGCGCGCGGGCCTTCTAGGCCCGCGGGTAGTCTCCCCCCATCATCCCCAGGGCCACCAGGGCTCGCACCTCAACCTCTCACAGACAAGCACACAGCGCCATAGGACGTATTTTCTCGTCAATTTCTTCTTCTGTAGTCCAGCTGCGGGGGTACCCAGTACCCGGGTACCCGGGTAAGGGCAGGCGCACACATGGCCTCTGCCCAGGCCTCTGCCCAGGCCTCGAGCTCGCAGGCTCTCCTCAACCGTGCTGTGCTCTCGAGTCCCTCCGACGCACGCTTCGTGGGCCAGCTGCTTCGGCTGGCGGAGGAGGAGCCCGTGGCGCTTCTCGACGCCCTGCTGCTCTCCGCGTCGCTCGACGAGCGGCAAGCTCATCTCGCCCACGAGCTGCTCGCACTCGTGCCGACACTCGCCACCCAAGCCTCCGCTACGAGCGGCCCGACGCCGCTGCTGCTGCTGCGCCTGCGCGAGGCGGTGAGCGGCGCGGCGCGGCTGCCTCCTGCTCGGCGCGCCGCCTTGCTCGCCTTCGTGTCGAGGCTGCACCAGCCGCTTCGCAGGGCTCCATCGGTGGCAGCGGCGCTGGTGGCGGCGGCGCAGGGTGCTGGCAGCGAAGAGGGCGGTCTCGGGGATGGGGCCGGGCGCTTGCGAGCCGCTCTCGAGGCGATGAGCGAGCCAGCCTTTGGTGCGGCGCAGGAGGAGGAGGAGGAGATAGGGCGGGAGGAGGAAAGGGAGGGAAAGGAGGACGGTGGATCAGCGATTGATGCCACCGCAGCCGACCCGGTTGGCGGGTCGAGGCAGGCGAGGGAGGCGCAGGAGGAGGGGGAGGAGGGAGAGGAGGAGGAGGCGGCGGAGGAGAACGACGACGGCGCGGAGTTGGGCGGCCTTCCCCCGCCGGTGCAGCTAGAGGAGCTGCCACCGCTCGTCGGCGCGGCGCCGCTCCTCGCACACACGCTGCTCCCGAGCCTGCGGCCCTCCGCCCCGAGCGAGGTCGCTGCGCTCTGCCTGTCGGCGCTGCAAGGTTTGCTCGCCGCCTCGTCGCGCCTCGACGGCACCGGCAGCCCTCGCCGCCTCTCGACGCCGCTGCTCTGCGCGTCCCTCACGGCGGCGCTCCGCCTCGTCGCGGCGCACGCCGCCCGCCCCCTCGCCGCCGGCTCGCCCGTCGCTGCGGCCGCGCAGTCTCTCTCGCAGGCGTGCGTGCAGCTCTTGCTGCCTCGCGCGCCCCCTCGCGTGGGCTTGGCGCGAGGGGCCGGGCCGGGCCGGCAGCAGCCCTGCCTGCTCCGCCTCGCCTCTGAGCAGTGGCGCGCCTTGCCGTGGCGTGTGCAGCTGCTCACCTGGCCCCTCCTCGACCGCCTCGCGCCGCGGGACGAGCCGCGTGAGGGCGGCGTGAGCAGCGGACAGCCGGCGGGGAGCGGCCAGCGGCCAGCAGCGAGCGGCCAGCGGCCAGCAGCGAGCGGCCAGCGGCCTGGCGCGGGGCGGAGGCTGATCGAGTGGCTGCTGCAGCTCGTGCCTCGGCGGGGGCTCCTCTACGCGCTCGTCTGCTGCGCCGCCGTGCCGTCGCTGCCCGTCCGCCAAGCAATCCGCGAGCTGGGCCCGCTTGGAGGCGAGGGCCCGCTTGGAGGCGAGGCGGCGGCCGAGGCGGGGGCCGAGGCGGCGGCGGGAGCAGCGGGCGGGGCGGCGGCGGGGCATGCGGTCGCGGCCGTCGCGCTCGGCCTCGCCGTCACGCCGCACGGTAGCTGGGGCGCGGCATGCTCGCAGCTGCGACCCCTCCTCTGCGCAGTGGCGGAGAGCCTCTCCCGCGCGGACTCCTCCTCCGCCGCCGCGCTACGCGCCGTCGCGCCGCTCGAGGCGCCGCTCGCTCAGACGGCGGTCGCGCTGCTCAGCTGCAGCCTCGCCCTCGGCAGAGCAGAGGGTGGCGGCGAGGCGCTGCGGCGTGCCTTCTGCACCGGTCTCTCCAAGTGGCTTTGCGCGGCGGCGCGTGAGGCAGAGACCCCGTGCGCCGCCGTGCTCCTCCTCGGCGTCGGCGTCCGCTGCTTGGTCGAGTCCGGCGCGGGCGGCGCCGCTGCAGAGGAGCCTCTCGACGCCCGCCCCTCCGACGACGTGGGCGATTGGCCGCTCGACCCGAACGACGGCCGGTTGCTGGTCGGCTGCCTCGAGCTGCGCGCCAAGCTCCTCGCACCGGCCAGCGCCGCAGCCACCGGAGGCGACGCGGCGGTGGGGGGGGCGCTCCGAGAGAGCTTGTTGGGAGCGCAGCGGCTGCCCGCCGGGGTCGCGCGCATGCTGCTCGTGGGATCGCCGCCGGGAGAGAGCGTTGTGCCGATCGAGATTGCATGATTGACCCGCCGCGCCGAGTCCAATAGCGCAATAATAACACGCTCCATTTTCTGGCGAAAGCCCAATCTCGTAAAAAACAGGCCCCAATGACATAAAAACAAATGTTACAAGTTCAAGTAGAGCGCCGTAGAACACGGCGTGTGCTGTGGTCGCGCGCGCTGTGACAAATTCTCCACCACCGAGATACACTCTTACCGCTGGGGTGCGGTCCGCCCCTGTGAACAGCTCTGCGTCGATCGCGGTACGGTGTACGCCGTTGTCTGACTCTGAGCCGCCCGGCCCTCTCTTGCTCATCCACGGGGCAAGAAGTGCGTGATGAGGCGGCCCGCCCTCCCCTCACAGCGTTGCGCCGCTTCTTGCTTGCGCCCACTGCTCGTACGAGGCGGTGGCCGTGGTACTGCGGAAGCGTGTGAGGCGGAGCGAGTGGCGGAGCTGGTCGGTGATGGTGTGCTTGAAGCCGGCCTTGCGTATCAACGAGTCAATGGTCTGTTGCCGGCTCCAGCCCTGCTCCACCATCACCTCGGGCAGGTAGACTCCACTCCGCGCGACGCCCGACGGGTCGTCAAAGTCGATCAGCACGCCATGCGACCCGACCTCCCAGTCGTGGGCGTCGCGCGCGCGCTCAAAGTGCGTGAGCAGCGAGACCGTGCAGCTGAGCTGCGGCAGCTCGCGCGGCTCGATGGGGTCGAACCGCTGGTCGCGTAGCGCCGACGTGAGGGCATAGTCACGCAGCGACGTGATGGGAAGCGGCTTGAGACATCCGATGCAGCCGCGCAGCGACGGCGCGCCGTTCGCCCTGCTCTTCCAAGTGACGAAGAGCGGGCAGGCGGCGTGTGTGGCAAAGCTCGGCAGCGGCGCAGCGGCGAGGAGAGAGAAGTGGTTCGCGACGGTGTCGAAGCAGTGCAGGCAGTGATCAGTCGTCGCAACAGGGTAGTCATCGTACTCTGCTATCATGAGTCACGGAGTTGTTCGCGCAAGGCCCGCGCTCGAGGTGCGGGTGTTCGCGGGTTTGGCGAAAAAGAATGAAAGGGGGCGCAGTAGGCACGGGACTGGCGCGCACTGGCACTAACACAGGTACACCACGGGAGCCGCCTAAGCGACTCCTGCGAGGACGGCGAGGCACTTAGCTCCGTGCACTCGACCGCCCTCGCCGCAGGCAAGCTCATTCACAATCTGCTATGCGATGGCCGTGACGGGGTTTGCGATGAGGAGCGATCCGAACGTGGTATTCGGGTGATTAGATCACTGTTTTGTTTTGCAAAGATCCCCGAGTTCGAAATCTTGCAGATATTTAACTGATCGCACGCGCTGCGCCGCTGCGCCGCGCCGGCGCAGTGGGAAGCCCGCCCGGCCCTAGCGTCGAGAAATAAAGGCAAAAGCATTCCGCACCGCTCAGACGACGCCGCTCCGACGCCACGAGCCAGCTCATTCGCCACGAGTCCGCCGTGGCGATGCTGCAGGAAGACGACCGTCCGCTCGAGCTGGAGTCCGAGCCCACATCGCTGCTCCGTCCTAGAAAGCTGCTGCTGCTCTCTCCCTCCGAGCGCCCCTCAGCAGCTTGCATTGCCACGACAGCAGTCGCCTGCTGTTTACTTGTTGTGCTTGTCCCTCACCTTCTTCCGGAAGAAGACAGAGCTCTCACCTGCCTTCAGGGACGCTGGCCGAGCTTTGCCACGCCCTCTGCCCTGCGTTCTGATCCTCAATGGGCGCAGTACATCACCCGCGTGTACGGCGCAGTGCCCGAGGATTCGTCTGCATATCCGTATTGCATGGGCGATCACTGGCTCTTCTACTCGGACGTGCTATCCAATGCGCGACTCACGGCCCGCATTCCCGAGTCAGTCGGCGACTGCCCCTCGAGCGTCCACGCCTCGGCAGAGGGTGAGCTGTACTCGGAGAACTCGGTGCTCGCTCCGATGGGGACGGTGTGGAGCTGGCACCCCGCTGTCGACGAGGCGTACGCGCCCTTCGCGCCCGACACGTGGGTCGAGGTGCTGCACCAGGGTGGCATCGATGACGAGCACGTCGGCGCCTGGTTTCTGCACGCGCGGGGCAGCGGCATCTGGGTCCACACGGGGCGCACGATCGCGTTTGGAGACCACGCCGAGGCATGGGAGGCTTTTGGCGTGGGCCACCTCGATCTGAAGGCACGCAACGAGGCCATGTGCGCCAATGCTTCCGCCGCCGGGTTGGACTCGCTCCAATTTATTGGCCATTCTTGCAAAATGATGTACGGCTTGTGCCTCAATGGCAGCCGAGCGCCCACCCTCTATAACATCGAGATCGTATCGACGGCGCTCGTCGGCGTCTACCCGTGTGCGAGCGACGACGGCCGGTCGACTCGGGTGCGCACGGGCTGGAGGGGCGCGAACACCTGCACCTGCAACAACTCGGCCTCGAGCTTTCTCCACTGTCAAGAGGTGGAGCCATCGACGCGGGCGGTCTTTGACCCGAGGCGGCGCGCGTTCCAGAACGAGATGATGGCGAGGATGTCGGCGAGGATGACGGGCGCAGGGGAGGGGCGGAATGGCAGTATAACATAGCAGAATCGTGTAATAAAGCTCCTTCGGGATGTGTCATTCCGTGCCGGGGTGTTGTGCCCCAGCGCCCCCCGCCGCAAGTTTGCTGTTTTGAAATCCGCATGAGCCGATGGGTGATGGGTTTGGGGCTTGATACTGAAGCTCGCCCAGTGAGGAAGTGAGGAACTGCTCGGTCCGGCCCTGATCATGACACACACTGATCATGCTGAACACAAGCGGTCCCTAATCTTCGCTCTTGTAGCTCTGTGTGTGTTGTGTAGCTCGCGATCGGTCACCGCGCCAATCACCGCCGACGTGATCTGTGATCACGTCTCCCAGTGAGATGATGCTTGGAGAGGGGGGAGAACACCGCTCGATCTACCCTCCGGGGTCCCTCAGCGGCGTGCACCTCGATCCTGCACCGTGTTTGTTATGACCCCCCCCCCCCCCCGCCCCCCGTGCCATGAGCACACCAGCGAGGGAGGGCGAGACGATCCAGGGGTCCCGTACCATGCGGAATCGATCCTATCCCAGTGCTCTATTAGGTGCTCAAGAAGTTGCCCGCAACAGGTGAGAAAGAGCGCCGTACGAGCGCTATTCAAAGCGATGAGCTTGCTCATCCCGGAGTGGTTCGACCCCACGGCCACGCAAACCCGAGACGGTGACGGGCGCTGTCTCGATGATCTCAGGCCCAGTGAGGTAGTGCGTCAGACCTGTCCTGGATCCTGCTGAACGAGCTCCCCTCTTGTAGCTCGATCGGTCACGCCGCCATCGCCGTCGGGGGGAGGGGGGACGACACTGCTTCGGCAGCGTGCACCTCGATCCTGTACCGTGTTTGTTATGACCCCCCCCAATGAACACACCAGTGAGGGAGGGCGAGACGATCGAGGGGTCCCGTACCATGCGGAATCGACCCTATCTAGTGCTCAAGTGCTCAAGAAGTTGATATTTGCATCTCGCTTGCATCTCACCGCAAGCCGAAAATGGGCTGGTCCGACCGCGGACTTTCATCTATGCTGCATGAGCCACAGAGTCTCCGCAGCACCTCTCGCCGCTGCGGCGATACTGAAGTGGCCTCCATCACCTCGCCCACCTCTGTTGCCGACGATTTCAACTTTGACCCGCCTGCATTCACCCTCGGCCAGCCCTCAGCCAGCCCTCGGCCATCAACCCCGACGCGGCCCGTTCGACCAGCCGCGCCGACTCAGCCGCGACGGCCTGTGATGTACGCTACGCGAAGGCCGACGATGGTCCGTCGACTCCAAGAGTGTTCGCCTGAAGCCGTCGCCGCTGCCCTGATTGCGACTGGCGTCTCGGCAGAGGGGAGCGATGCGGAGAGAGCGCGGCGGCTGAGCTGGTGCTTCAAGCTATATGAGCCTCGTGATGTGCTGGAGCGCTGGCCGACCGATACGCTTCGAGACGTCGCAAAGCTGCAGTCGGCAGACAGACAGGGCTGCGTCACCGCGCTGCTCGAGCGGTATTTTGGGGACTAGGGTCTGAGTGCCTGCTGAGTGTTGTTCCTGAAGCGGCATACTCGAGTACGGCGGCGGCGCCCTTGGGGGGGGGGGCGGGGGGGGGCATTGGTTGTCCTGACACGGATTCTGCTTTTGCCGAGCAGTGGACTGAACTGGCGCCACTCGTGTATGTCCGAAGGGAAAGGCCCGTTACCGGGCCTCAGACGCTCTCAGGCGTTCTCATTTCACTCTTCTATCACACGACTCCTCTTTGTTGGTGTAAGTCCTGCACTGCCCTCGCTGTCTCCGCATGCAACTTGGAACCCAGTGTCTGTATCCCATGTCATGTTGCGTAGGCTAAACCATGGTACTCTACAAGCGGCCGCTTCATGTGTCCTCTCGCTACTGAGTACTGTACTATCAGTATCACAGTGATTGGTTTTTGGCATCAGGATTTCCCCGCTTGCATCATATCATGGTTTTCGCCATGATATTATGGAGTCATGATATCTCAAAGCTCGGCACGTCATTTTCACGCTCTTGAAATCACACCTTGCGATTTCACACAAAGATCACGCTCTTGAAATCACACTTGCGATTTAAAATTCACTGCTGAGTGGAAGCTTTAGTGTCTAGAGGGGCGCTCCCCCTACATGTGTACATGTTGCAAGAGACAAGAGATATTGTTATTGAGAGTCTTGGGGCCCAGCGGTTGGTGTGTGTTGAAACAAGATAGAAAAACTGCGGTGTGCGGACGCCGGCCCGCCTCGCGCACACAGATCACAGTACCGCGCAAGGCCCTCAACATGTAAACGAGAGTGCCACTGTGCACACACGCAGCGTTTGTTGTTTGTTGGAGCCGTCATACGGTGCTGGCTGCCGATCCGCGGGCCGCGCTGGCGGCGGAGAGACCGCGCGAGACCGACACCGCCGCGTCTCAGCACGACGAGGAGGTGTACTCACTGCTGTCGGAGGAGCCGTCGTCCAGCAGGTCGATGACGTCCGTGTCGGACCCCCCGAGCAAGTTGCGCCGCGCCGCCAGCGGGGCGAGGTCGCCATCCCTGGCGAGGGAGAGCGGCAGGACCTTGAGGCCGCACGGCCCGGCGCGCGGATGGCGGTGCAGCGGGTCCCGGCTGACGCTGTGCAGCGGCTTCACCGCGAACTCGGCGAGCACGCCAAAGTGGTCGCTCAGCCAGGGAGGCGAGTCGAGGGCGAGGCTCGCCCGCGTCACCTCGAGGCCGGAGGAGACGTGGCGAAGGATGTAGTCGTACGTGCAGCGCAGCGCCTCCGCGCCGGAGGACTGGAAGCCGCACCTGCAGCAGAGGCTCCGAGAAGGCTCACTGCAATGGTCGAGGGGGCCGCACGGCATCGCTGCGGCGCACGTGACGAGCGGGTTGCGCACGCCGTCCCACGAGTGACACGGTACGTCGCCGTTGCCGAGCACCCACGCGTCCTCGAAGCCGTGCTTCTCCATCACGTCCACCTCGCGCAGCTCCCTCGTCGTGTTGAGGTCGCCTGGGCGCGCGGCGGGGTGGGTGGGCGGCGCTTGGGAGGGGGTGCGCGGCCGAAGTGCGCGTTCACCCGCCACAAGCACGCGCGCGCGGTCGTACGCGCGGCCGCCGCACGAGGCGAAGCACTCGACGAGCCGCTCGCCCTCCGAGAAGAGCTGCGAGAGCTGCGCGCAGCGGTGGCGCGACGGCTGCGCCGCCGCCGAGAGGGCGTCGCCGCCGGCAGAGAGGGCGTCTGCGTGCGTGTTGCCCACCCAGAGCGGGCTGCCTGAAAGGCGAGGGGGAAGGTGAGAAGCGCGAGTGCAAGTGCAAAGGCTGCATGAGCGATCGGCCGCACCGTCGCACTTCAGCTCGAAGAGCCGCCACAGAACCCCGCGAGGCCGCACAAGGTTCATGAGGTCTCCGGCTTGCTCGGTGTACTGAGAGGCGATTGCTTCCCAGCGCGGACGGAGGGTGGATCGCTTGTGCAGCAGTAATAGCCCCGCTGGGTGGGTTTCGCCGAAGGCAAAGCCGTAAAGCGTCGACCGCTTGACCCAAAGCACCACCCGAGCGGCGCAGGCGCCAAAGGCCATGATGAAAGAGGCAAAGGCTGCCGGCTCGGCACTCGAGCGTGGGAGCGCGCGCGGGTCGATGTAGTACGCGGCCAGCTGCGCAGCCGCCACCAGCAGAAGCCCGTACGTGACAATCAGAAGCGCCGAACCAAAGGCCCGCAGGGCATAGCGCGAGAAGGCCGGATGGGTGGCCGACGAACATCCGTAGTAGTCTGCCGTGGCGCGAATGATCGTACTGCGAACGCCGTCCGCGAGCACCTCCTGGCAGCATACAAGGTCCGGCTTTAGGTGTAGGATTTCTTTGATCTGCAGCCGGAGACGTTCGGAGCCCTCAAGCGAGCCGGCCAGCATCGTCGGCAGCGGAGGGCCGGCATAGACGTTGAGCGTGAGGATGGAGAGGCGGCAGCTCCGTCGCGGATCGGTTCGGCGAGCGGAGAGCTCGTCGCCGGAGCCGAAGCTGACCCGGCGGGTGGAGGTCTGCATGGACTGATCTCAGAGCTGAGCAGCAGGTAGTCGGGCCTGCATCATTCGGAACTTGACCGCCGACGGCCCTCGGATGTCGGTTTTCTTTCCCGCCCATTCGCATTCGAAGGCTCATTAGATTTTCGGTTTCTTTTCCGCCCATTCGCACGGCTCATTAGATTTTCGGTTTCTTCGACGGCTCATTAGATTTTCGGTTTCCTTTCCGCCCATTCGCAATTCGAATTCGTCGGGCCAAGGCAAGCAAGGGTGTTTGGCGCTCTTTCGTATCGTAACTGTAAAAGAAACCCATGTGCGTGGCCCGATATTGCCGTACGACTCTCCGGACGCCGCGGTCGTCTCTCTCTCCTGGGACCTGTGTCCAGAGCGATTTCATTCACGACCTCGCGCGGCACGCGGCGACGGGCGAGTGCTCCGACCCCGGCCACACATGCAGTGCACATGCAGTGCACATGCTCGCGACAAATAGTGGCGGCACGTACGTGCCGCGTCCCCGCGGCGTCCGCTGCCGGCAAGGGCAGCGGCCTCAAACCCCACGCCCGTCGAAAGAGATCAACTCGTACAAAAGGAGAGCCGGCGCTTGCAAACGCTCATGAGACGACGCGCGAGGGCGCCCTCCGTTGCCCGCCCCCCATCCCCGCCGCCGCCGCCGTCCCCTCAGCACACGAGGTGGAGCGAGCCGCCCTTGCAGACCAGCCGGTCCACGCTCGGCGGCTGGCCGTCGGTGTCGAGAGGCGGCTCTGCGCGGCCGTGCGTCTGGACCACGAGCTTTGCGAGGGGCTGCGCCGCGGCTTGCGGAGGCGGGGGAGGAGGCAGGTTGAGCCACGCGGAGTGGCGGTCGAGCGGCTCGGCGCGCAGCTCGTACTCGCCGGCCTGGTGAGTGGAGGAGTGGGTGAGTGGGTGGGTCCGGTGTCGACCGGAACCGAAGGCGCGGGGCGAGCGGGGGACGGGGCACGGGAGGCACGTCGTGGGAGGCGTGTGCGGCGCGTGGGATGGAGATGCGAGGGGGTCGTGGGGAGGGGGGAGGCTGTGGGGAGCGCGGCGTGGCCCTCCCGCCTGAGCCTCCGACAGGAGGGAGACGAGCCGCGAGACGGTGCCTGGCAGCAGCGCGAGACACTTCCTAGACACTTCCTATGACACTTCCCAGCAGCGCGAGACGGTGCCTGGAAGCAGCGCGCCGCTCGAGCCAGCCAGCCTCGCGCCTCCGCCAAGCTCGGCGCAATCCACCTCCACCCGCTCCTACCGGGCAGGACAGGCGCGTCTCAAGAGGCGCCGCTCCCTCGTCGCCAGAGCGCGCGCCGCTCTGCGCTCCTGCAGCGCGCCACCCGCGCCGCCCTCGCGCACCTTGCCTCGGTACCTAAGCCAGGCTCCGGACGGCTCGAGGGAGGTGCGAGGAGCAGCCGGAGAGGCGGCGGCAGAGGCGGCGGCACCTCAGTCGGGGTGCGTGAGGCGCGCCGTGCAGGAAGGCGCGGGGCGCGGCCAGCTGCACGGAGAGGTGGTACTGCTGCTGCTTGGCGCCGAGCAGGAAGGTGTACCTGAGGGGCACACGGCGGGCGAGGGTGAGGCGGTCCACGGCGCGTGGAGCAGCAACCCACTCCGACGCGCGCACAGCGCGTGCAGCGAGGCTGGGCCACGGAAGAGCAGCGCCTGTGGGGAGGGGGGGGGGGGGCGAGAAGGGTCGCAGAGGGCTCCCAGAGTGCCAGCGCGGCGCGCGGAAGAGCTGCGCCGAGCTCGCGCGGCCGTCGGAGGCAGAGAGCCAACGCTCGAGTGCCGCCTCCCGCTCCTCCCTGTCGCCGCCGCCCGCCGCCTCGCGCGCCCTGCCCGCGGTCGGGTCGGCGGCGGAGGCGGCGCCGCGGTTGAGCTCGTCGATCTCTGCGAGGTAGCGCTGTCCCGGCGGGGAGGGGGCGAGCGCGGCGGCGCCCTCGCTCGCGACGAGGTGGGCGCGCGGCATCTCGAAGGCGACTCCGGCGGCGCGGAGGGCCTTTGGCGGCAGGGGGGAGGGGGGGGGGGGTGTGAAAGGCGATCCGGTGGGGCTGCCGGGGAGGTGGGGCGAGGGAGGAGGCGGGGCCGCCGGGGCTGCCGGGGCGGAGGGGGAGGCGGGGCGGAGAGGGGCGTCGCTGCGTTGCAAGCGAAAGAGCAGCGAGAGGGGGGGGGGGGCTCGTGGCCTCAGTCGCCCGGGTCAGGGGGCGACCGCTGTCTCTGCACGGCGTTGGCTCGGCATTGTGAGGATTGTGAGACTTCGTCAGTGGCCAGCCACACTGTGCGGCGTGTGGGCGGAGGCGGCGCGGGCGCGGCGGAGGGGGTTGGGGCGAAGGCTTGGGTGCGCGCCATGCGCAGCCCGCGCGACGAGGGCACGAGCACGGCGTAGCAGCCGCCGCTCCCGCCGCGGAGCAGGTACTCCCACACTGACCCTGGCCGAGGCAGGGGAGGGAGGGGTGTCAGGCCGCCCCCAAGGCGCCGCGGGGCACGTGAGTGGTTCCGCGCGCCCTCGCCGCAGCTGCCGCGGAGCCCGCCCTCGCCGCCGCCGCAGGCCGCCTCCTGCGACGCCGACGCTCGCTCCTGGAGAATCGAGCACCGGCGGCTGAGGGCGAGAGCAACGGGACCCGGGGCTGAGGGGTCATGGTGAGGGGTCGGGGTCCAGGGAGAGAGTGTCTTCCGCAGCCGGGCGCGCGCTCCTCGAGCGGCGACGAGGCGGGCTGCTCGTCGGGCGAGAGGGCGCCGTTGCGCCAGAGCAGCGACCACGCGTCGTGCAGCGCGTAAAAGTACGGCAGTCTGGAGCCGGGCGGGCGTGGCAGGCCGGGGCGGGACGAGGTGCGAAGGTGTCGGGCCGCCGGGCGGCGCGGAGGGTGCGGTGGCGGCGGAACGGGGTCAGGGGGGCGGAGCGGGGATAGGGTGCGAGCGGTGGCGCGCCTCCCCTCCCGCAGGTCGTGGTAGAGCGAGCGAAGGGCGGCCTGCCACTGGTCGCGGAGGGAGCGGACGTAGGCGGCCTCGGCGACGCCCGCGTCGGCCGAGGCGAGCTGCTTCGAGACCATCGGCGGCAGCCGCTGCGCCGGGTGCCGCCACGAGAGCAGCGCCGCCCGCATCCGCACGGCAAGCGCGCGCTTCTCCAAGTGTGTGGGCTCGCCAGTCGCGTCGGAGCGATCGGGCGGCGGCGCGAGGCTGGCGGCGTCGCCGCGGCAGGCGGCGCGCATCGCCTCTCCGTCCACCACGCTGCCGCCGGCCGTCTCGCACCACTCGAGCGATCCCAGCGACGAGATGACGAGCGAGCGCTTGAGCCCCCAGTCAGTCGGAAGCCGCTCGAGCCGCACCCCCGGTGCGCTGGACGCGGCCGCGCGGCCCCCCAGCGAGCGCGCGTGCCGAAGCTGCGCGGGGGTGCCCAGCGCCTCGCCAAGCAGGCTGACGGGCCTGGGCACAAGCGCCGAGCCGCTGCCGCCGGAGGAAGGCTCGCCCGACATGGCGAGGACGCCCATGTTGGGAGACGGCCGGCTCCTCGGCGTCGGCGCCGAAGCCTTGCGCTTGGCCATTGCGCAAGCGAAGGTCAACAAGACTTTGCCTGGGGGCGCGAACAGAAAAAGAATTTTCAGACCTCGTTGGCTGGCACGCCGTCCGTGGCGCGCGCGGACGGCGTGCCAGCCAAGGCGCGAAGAGAAAAGAAAAATGGGCACAGGGGTGGTCTGTTCTTTCCTTCTACTCCTCTCCTCGAATTTTCTGTTTTCTTTCTTTCTTTCCTCTCTCTCTCTCTGACACCTTGCATCATAGCCGCATTGGCGACGTGGGCGGTCGGTTCGCGTCCTCCTGCCCGGCGATCGAGCACGGTGTCCGCGCCCATCTCCTGAAGCAGTGCCGACTCGCCGCTCTCGGCGACCACCACCGCACGCTTCTGCGGCAGCGTGTGGCGAGGGGGTCCTCGCCCGCCTGGTATCCGGGAGGAGGGGGAGCCAAGAAGGACATAGGCAGCAAAGCCGGCAAGGGCGAGCCCGCACACCAGTGGCGCATCCATCGCCACGAGCCTCGCGACCGCGGTCGTGGCACACCTGGCGGCGGCTCTCGGGGCCGTCTCTACGGCGCTCGACACCGTGTGCCGCCGTCGCTCCGCCGGCTCAACCGAGTATCGGGCGTCGAGGGCGGCGGCGCAAAGTGGGTCTGGTGCGCCACACGGCCACAACCCTTGCCACCGCCCTTGCCGCCGCCCTTGCCACCCTTTGCCGCCTTGCCTACGCCGCAGGCGGCGGTGGGAGCGGCCTGCTGGGCTAGCATGTTGTCCTTGCTGGGGACGGGCACGTGGAACGCACGTTACATGTCGAACGGCCTCCGGATTCAAACAAAAAATAGCCAAGGCCCTCTCGCAACCCCTCCGACCCCCTGGGATCCTTGGGCGTCGAAGAGGCGCTCTCGGGGGGCCGTTCTGAGTTCATACTGCCTCGAAGTACATTATACTGCGTCAAAGCACCGGCCCTGAGTCCGAGATATGCTGCGAGGAGGGCGGAGTTGTGCCGAAAGGCGAAAGAAGCCGCGAGAACAAGGGATCGGCCGGCGGCGGCGGCGTCGCAGTACGCAGAACGAGGCAGAGGAGAGCGACGCGACAGAGGAAGAAGCGACAAGGGAGAGCACAACGAGAAGGGGGAGACCGCGAGGTGGCATGAAGGTCGCAGCAAGAATCGGAGAGGGACTGCGAAGAGAGATAGGAAGAGGCGGACGCCCAAGGGTGGGCAATGGCTAGCGCGTAGCGCATCAGGCATCACACCCCTCTCCTTACTTAAATCCCCCTGTG